AATATTTTGGCAGATCTATTTTTTGTTACACCTTATGACGTCTAATATAAAACTGTCAAAGTGAAAGAACAGAATTAAGTGTGTGCTGCCAAGCCCAGTGGCACAGATCAGACTATTGTGTTGACAGCTGTGGTGTTTTGTCTCTTCTCATCTGAGTGGCACAAAGGTGCATTGTTGTGGCTTGTACAAAGCATAAATCTTTTTTTAACCTGAAATTATCAACAGCTTATCCAAAGCGACTATACTTCCCAGAAACATTTAGCTGTGCAATATAAATGTAACAATATAAAATAGCAATATAAAAAGTAACAGAGACACAGAGAGAGGAAAAAATACACAGTGTCATCACAATGTCCCGTTTTCAAAACTGAACCATGAACTTTATGTCTGATGCTGAAAGTTAAGGCAATATTTGTAACAAGGAAGCATAATGTGAATAGTGTTAGAGCTTTGTATCCGTTATTGTTAAAAGCTTACATTTTTAGACCAGGAATGAGCAAACTACTGACAGCAGGGCCTTACTTTATTATTATGTTAAAGCCATAATACTTAACATTTTGGCCAAAAAAATAAAAAATACTGCACAGAAAGCAGGCTTGCTTTTCCACAAACCTGACTCTTAATTGGCCCAGAGGAGGGCCTTGTGCTTGTTTCCATGGAAGCCTTTGTTCCTTTGGCTATAATCTTCCACATTATGGCATAAAACTCATCTTTGGAGAATGTTCCTCAGTATGATGTTCATTTTCTATTTCCATGGAATCATGATGATCATTAGATGATCTTTCTTGGCAGGGTTATTGTGCAATTAACAACTGGCATTGTAAACAAAAGTAGATTACTTTTCTATACAAATGTAATTGAAGGCAGTTTACAATTTTTTAAGTAATAGGAAATGATAAGAATTAAATTGTAAAGTGATTCCCCACTTTGAAAGATGAGCAGTCCCTGTTCTGACCTTGATTAAAATCGATTGAAACTGTAATCGTGTGTGCCAAAAACTTGAGATTTTTGGCCATATCGCCCAGGCCTACCTTCACCGTAACAACGTGACATAAAAACCTGTCAAATAACTGCCAGGTTTTATTTGATATCTTCTTCCCTGATATAATTTCCTTATTGGAAATCTTGTCACACTGGATCAAATAGTTAAGAGACTCTAAGCCTATAATTACTGTTCACTTCCCAAAGCTGTGGGCCGTGATAATAGGCTTTTATTTCATCAGATATATGAGATGTATGAATACAGATTTCCAAGCAGAATTTTTGTCACCTTAACTCTATTATACAAGTTCTAGATAATATATCGTAATCTGAATCTTTTTATACAACCTGTTTACTTAAACTTGCCAAACATTTGATAGAAAAGGTTTGCAATTTTCATTAAAGCTTCTTATTCTTTAGTACAAGTTTTACAACGTTTTAATATGTGGCTTAATTAAATTTTATCTTGTAAATTCTGCTCATAATGATACCGGTTCAACCAGTTCAGATTTAGAGAATAGAAAATAAAGCTGTCTACACACCCCTAATTACATAAATGTGAATAAATAATAATAACTCTTGACATTGCTTGATCTGCTTATACCCATGGAATTACAGTTTAGTCTACAATATTGTGCCTCTATCCATTTTTTATTGGCATCAATAGAGTTAACAGAAACATAATGCCACTATAGTTCGAAGGCTTTACAAATGTGAATTTCAAGATTTAAAATATCTTTGGAATCCTAAAGAAGTCAGGGCTAAATTTGTCAGACGGTTTATATGGATTATACTAATGCATTATTTCCCTTTAATAGAGAAAACGAACCTCTCCCCAGAGTCTAAAGCTGCACAATCAATTATTGTCAAAAAATTATTATACATTTTGCTTGATGTGCTACAAAATACTAGTGCTGTACAAGTTTAAAACTATGTAACTCTGTATTTTTATAAGTCAGATGTTTATTATCTTTTATCATTTAAAGCTTCAATATGTAATCAGCCTGACTGACATGCCCACGTTTTATTCTCACCACCTCTAGATGCTATCTGTGTGTCTGCTATCTGACATTGAACCAGCTTTGTCTTGGCAGGAAAGCACAGGGGAGCAAAGGGAAGGGAAAAAAATTAAACTTACAGATTTAAAGACTTTTAGCCAAAATAATAGACCAAAATAAACAAGCATTTTAATTTTTTATTGCACCGATTTGTTCTTTCTGTGAGCCGACTTTCTTCTCACAAACCTGATTTATATTTGGCCTCCTCCTGCTCGTTTCTATAGAAAGGTTGTGCCTTTCGCTGGAATTTTCCACAGTGTGACATACATAAAACCTGTCTGTCTATATGGAGAAGCTCTGAAGTATGACATTATCTTTTTGTTGTTCCTTCCATAGAATCGTGCAGGTTATGTGCCAGAAAGTAAAATCTTCTACTTTGAACAAAAGCAAACACTCAAGGACGAACACTCAAAAGCAAATGTTTAAACACAAGCAGCGACTAGTGCGTTAGCTTTGTCCATTTATATAAACCAGGAGTGTCAAACTCACATTGACAGAGAGCCAAAATTAAAAACTGCAAACAAAATATTTATTTAAAAATTTAAACAGCATCTGCATGTTTTCTCTTCTTTGGAGATATGTAATGTTAAACCTTTTCTTATTAAAATAAATGTTTAATAATAGTTTTGCTTAAACATTGAATCCAGAAAATAATAACAAAATTTTAAATAAATAAAATAAAAATAAAAGTCTATCACTAGCACTGCAACTCTAATACATATTTGATATAATCTCGATGGCCAAAAATAATTATATCGTGGGCCAAATTTTTGGGAGTTTGACATGTCTGATATACGGTACAGACGCTTTAAGCTAGTTCAGGTCAACATTTTTGCCAGTACCTGACCTACCTTTGACTGAATTTAAATTTAACCTATTTGTAATTTTGTTGTTGAATTGATTAAACTTAACAAAAGGAAAAGGATGGGACATGCATTTGCCTTTAGAGCTGCTTGATTATGGCACAAAAATAATCATATACTGTATTTATTTGAGTCATAATTGCAATCATGATTACTTCTGTTACTTTTCAATGCAGACATTATTTAATTAATGAATTTGATTTTGGATTGCACCATTTTATAACTGATTTGAGTGATAATTGTAATGACGATTTCTGTTTGATTAATTGCACAATATATTTACCAGTATAATTTTGGTTGATGTATTTAGTTACTGTCCATCAAAATAAGAAGTCTATAGCCTTTAGAAGTCTTCAGTTACTTGCTAATGTTCTTTTCTGAACCTCCAAAATTACACGTTATAAAGCAGAAGTTGCACTTTTGGAAGCTGTTTTACAATTTTGGATTTGTCTTGTAAATAAAATTTGCTCCTTGCCAAGCAGTTGATTCTCCGTCATGTTTGTTACAGTTTTGGGGACATCCGGTGGTGAACTCCTGTATTGCAGATTATATTAGCGTAGTAAAGCATGCACATAAACAAAGCAGCCACTGTGTTCTGTGCTTTCATGGTCAGCATCAGAGGTGGGTAAGCCTTTACACTACATTTACTTGATTTTTTTAAAAGAAATTGCACTTTTCAGAGGACTTTTCTAGAAGCAATCTGCAAGTTTTAATATGAAATAATTGGAACATTCATGTTTCTTGCACCACTCCTACAGATATGATTTAGGCTTCCTCAGTTTTGTGGAATATTATTTGAAAGTAGTCAGTTTTGTCCATTATTTAATGTTTTGTCCTTTTTTTACAGTTTTGTCTAGTTACTTTATTGATTAATTTTGAAGTAACGTTACTCTTTCTTGAGTAAAATTTTTGGCTACTCTTCCCACGTCTGGTCAGCAATCTACTTTCACTATCTGTGTTGACGTGCTTATAGTCCTTTGTTTTTAGATTAATCCCACACTGATTGAAATGATAAACTGAGCACACCATCAGATACAAATCAAATATCTGCTGTACTTTCTTTGTCTTGACAACTTCCTTATCACGTGTTGGGAGCAGTGAACAGTGACTTTTACTCATGCATCTCAGATCAGAATCTAGTTTCATTTACAACGTAACTCTATTTTGATTTCATAACAAAATATTTCAGCACTTTTTGTTAGAAATTTATTTGATTAAACTTGCTTTAATTTGGATATATCTATTTTTTTTTTACCATGTTTTAAACATTTTAGCATAAACTTGAAGTGCTACAAATCAAACCTTTTTGTATTGAATTCCCCAGACTGTGACTAGAATGTAGGTTTCTGAAAAGTCTCGAATATCAAATACTAATCAATACTGTCCTGAGCTGTTTCAGAACAAGTGTAAGAGCACATAGACTAGTAGACACGCCAAGGACCACTTTGGGACCTACCTGGACCACTGAAGGAGTACACAGATATAAGACCACATGGTAAGAAAGTATAATCTAATTTTTAAAATCACTTAGTATCATCATCATCATGGCATTGGAATCGGTATTGAGTATCGAGTCTATTCCTAGTATTGAAATAACCACGACAGCACTACTAGAACGCAATGCCTCTAATAGTCCAATGGGATTCATTTGGTCTTCAGATATTTTATGTTATTCGGTTCTTTTTTCAGACCTAGAGTTTGTTTTCATACCTGACAGTTTCAGCTGCTCACCGCGGTCTTCCTCAAAGTGGTCGCGTGATGTTGCTGTGATGTGTCCGGTCAGCTAATTTATACAGGTTTTGCCGCTGTCTTCCTACCGTTGGAGGCAGGACGACAGCACCATCTGCAGTCCGACTTCCTCAGGACAGTATCCCAGGTGTGTGAGAGTAAAAAAGCCCCTTGGTCCTGGTTTATAGACCTGTGGACACGTTTCTGTATTTCAGTTGCCTCTTTAATCCAGCGGTGATGTTTATTTTCCTCTAACTTCCTCTAACTTCTACAGGGGGCAGCACTTATGTGATTCAATAACAATGTACTTTCCATACAACTCTTTCTCTATTAAATAATCTTTCAGTTATTACACTATAATCAAACACAATTGCCTTGATAGTTGAAGTTTTATTTCCAAACCAGAAAGAAAAAAATACTTGTGGGACAAATTCCTTCAAATATTTACATTCACTAGTTTTCCTAAGATGCAGAAACAAACTATTCCATACCATTTTTTTGTTTTTGTTTGGGGTTGTGTAAATAATTTTAAAATAAATATGTTTCCAAACAATATTACAAGCAGTGACATTTGTAGATCTTTTGTTTTGTAGTTACACACAATGGTATTAAATGTTATTTCTTCTGAGAACTTCACCTAAATCAAATTATACATTGTCATTAATTAAGAGGAAAAAACAAATAACAGAGCTGATTCTGTACTGTTAAACAAGTTCCAGTTTTGTTTTGTTTTGTTTTTAATTACTCACCTTTTTTGCTGAACTCTGAAACCCTAAACAGGACAATAAACATATTAACCACAGGCTTCTGAAAGTGTGTGTCACTGCAAATTATCAATCCAGCCAATTTCAGTGGGAATAAAAACAATTCTAGGTTTAGTCCGTATAGTATATGGTTTAGACACCTTTTGTCATATCTAAAACTTTGATGTAAAATATTGCACTAAGTAAGAAACATCCACCATTACAGGAATGTGTCGTACATAGTGATTAAAAAACATGACGAACTTCACAAAAGTAGAAAAAGCTGATTTCTGAAGCTGGCGGAAGAAGGCGCTGAGTCCAGAGGTGATAGATTTACAATGTGGAAAACAGCAAAATTATATGTTTGCAGAGGAAAGCTGCTTTAACTTGGTGCCTGACGAGGCTTGACTGGATTTTTGGCAATTTGGAGGCTGCAGTCTTGAAATATTTAAATGTGACAGGTTAGACTACACATTTCTCAAAAACATACTTAACATCATTCGATTTCAGGTTTTACCGTGACTTTTGCCTAGTCTTTTCTGGTTTTGTCATTTTGGTCAAGTTTATAATTTTACCTCCTGGCTGAGGATGGACAGCAGATTTGACACGCACAGGTATGTTACCTATCAGTCATAATGTTAAGAAGGGCCAAAACTTGTGTAAATTACACAATAGTTATGATAAGACTAAAAAATAAATGACAGCACCTTTATTTTATTAAATCAATATTTAAATTGTCAGAAAAATGCCTTCCTTGGGTGTAGAATGTTCCTGCATTTTGGATGGAATTGATGACAGTTTTTTGTCTACTTTTCTTCACAAACTGCCACTTTACTGATGTAAAATTATGATGAAATATAGTGAATATTTACCAAAGGTACTATCCCACTAACCATAACTAGTCATAATTAGAAAAATATATTTCAAATGCACTCCACCTTTGCACAGACACACTAGCTTAAAGAAAGGTTTCATCATCTAAGATTTCAGTATCTTATCAACAACTTTCTTAAGCTTGCATTATTTCATCTGACAGCACGAATTTTCAATTTAAGACCTTCCCTTATTCAAATTTACTTCAAAGCAGGATTTTACCAAATTGGACATTATCAGTTTACAACACCACACCTGCTCAGGAGTTCATGAAAAAACAACTGTTTATGCAGAAAAAAAGTATTAGGAAGCAATGTTAAAGACTCACTCACACTGCTGTTGTCCTATAAATCATTTGAATTAAAAAAGTGATTAGTTGGCTAAGGCACCATCGACAAAATGCCCCCAGCCCTACTAATTTACTATATGGTGACATGCGTAGTAACTATAGGAGGTGAAAAAATATAAAAAATATCTGTTGTAACTTAGTTTCAATTTAGTATTTTTGAACAGAAAATATCAAAAGAACAACATTTTGCTCAAAATTACAGCAGTTTGGTGGCTCCAGAAAAAAATGGCAAGATAGAATGAAAAATTATGTAATACATGTAAAGCAATAACATATAGTTTTGAGTAAATATATTGTATATATGGATTTTATTTTAATCTGAATCGAGTAGCATCTTCATATCTTCCCCTCTTCTCTTCTTGGTGAAGTACCACACGAGGACCACCATGATGATGATGGAGATGAAGAAGCCCGAGGCGAAGATCACAGTGACGACGGCTGAGCTGAGGAGGGTTCGGATCTTGTGGAACTCGTCTTCATCATCATCATCATGATCATCATAGTCATCATCATCCTGCTCCTCCTTTTCTGAGCCTCTGTTGCGGACAGACCAGCTGGGACGAGGCCTGGGCACTGAAATATCCACAAAACATTTATCTCACATCGAATTTCATGAAGTAGGGTCAAAATAACTCACTGTGTACAATGAATTTGCTCAGGTTTGTGAAGTTGTAGTGTATTGTCAGCGATGGGAAGAATACTTTGAACATGCATTTAGTTACAGAATACTGAATATGTCTAAAAATGCATTCCATAACTCATTTTGATACACGGTCCAATCAGAGTACTGTGTTCAGAATACTTTCGCACAAATATACGATTAAAAATGTCATAATGTTTGTTTCTCCGTTTGTTTCGCATGTCCTATCAGTAACTGGAGAAGGAAAACTCACACATAAGAAGAGCTGCGTTTTTTTATATTTCTCACTGATTTTGTGCAGTTGGAAGCCTAAATTGTGATAAATTACTGGAGTGTATTCTTTTTATTCTTACAAAATGCAACTGTATTCTGAAGTGGCTTAAACCTGAGCGACCAACAACTGAGAACGAGATTGACATTGTGCAAGAGATCTACAGGACGGAAAAGGTTTCATTTTTATTGAAAGTGCAGCTGGACTTATTTTAGAAGGTGTGGTCTAAATGGACAGAGTATGTAAAGCCGGTGGGATCAGACTTCATATAAAACTACTTCATATTTGCAATGTTCTGTTGGTTTCTGAAAGAGGTTCCCTGGCTCCTCAACCTGTTCCGAGTTTGTATATGTTTTAAAATGTAAAAGCAGGAACACGTGATTTTCATTTTACACATTGCAAGGTGTAATCTGCTTTTTCATTAAAAAGTAAATTTGAAAAAAATAAATAAAAAAATGCAACTGTATTCTAAATATCATCAAATGAAATTGGAATACAGTTAAAATTAGCATTCTGAATTCAGTTACTTCCAAACACTGTGTAATGTTTTGTATCATGTTTTTGTGTTTTGAAGGAAAACTGCCATGTGCTGGACAATATTCACCTGGTGCCTGGGTCTTGGGCCTCTTTCTCTCCGGGTCATCGTTCAGCATCGGTGTAGTGGTATTGGGATTTTGTTCAGCCATGAATCCTAAGCCTTCTCCTGAATCATCTTCAATATCGGTGAAAGACTCTCCCACGAAGAGCAAAGGCCCCTGGGTGATCCGGTGGTCCACGGTCTCCTTGGAAACCGCCCGTCTCCTCCTCCGTCTGGCTTGGTTAGCGTTCGACACGCAGCCTTGGGAACACCTGGAGAACGAGTTGCCCTTCTCGCACAGGATGACCGAGCACGTGATGTAGACCTGAAAGAGAGGAGCAGGTCAGTGCTTTGCAGCTGAGGCCGTCAACTTTCTCTGCGGGGGTGAAGCTAACTCGAGGCACTGCTCTGTCTGACGTTCTGTCTCATGTTGGACTTTAATTTGAGCTTTGTTTTACCACAGCACCACCACAATCTGACCGTAAAGAATTGATTTAGAATTACAACAAATGAAAATCAAACACCTAAAACAGGACCATGAACACTTGTATTGATCATAGCCCGAAAATGTGTTCTTCTTTTGTATTTTTTTCTTGTGTTTTCAGTTTCCTAATGTGTGTGTTGCATCTCCATCGTAACTGCTGAACATTCTGCCATAGACATACATGCAGAACAACCATCGTGATGTCACTGCAAAGTATCAATAGCGGTTAAATAGCGACAAGCAGGTGGCGCATCCATCCTCTAGCTGAAACGTTATGCCGAACACCTATAATACATTAAAGGTGCACTTTGTAACTTTTCAGGTGGAGCGTCTGCCGCCTGTTTGTCTCCATGGAGATGTAGTTGCTTAACCTGTAAATTTCCAGAGTATGGCATTAAACTTCATCTATCTCCATTGCAAATAGGGTAATTCGGATCTAGTGTCAGGTTGGGATGGGGCAAAAATTCATCTGTTCACTGTACATTTTATATAATTGTGATAATCCATTTTATCACCAAAATGTACAGAAAGAATCACTTATCCACAAAGTTCTCATCTACATCATTGTTGTTTTCACTCATAACAAAGTACAATACTGTAACGATTGTTTAAATATGGATCTTATTCATAAAAATCCGTGTATCATTCGTTCATTGCGTTTTTCAAAATAAAACCAAAAATAAGAAAATGAAAAAAAAACAAAACTATTTTCTTCATTATTTGCCTCCAAAACCAAAATGAAAAAACGGATAATGATTTGTTTAGTCCTGGTTCAGTTCTGGTTTAGACCTGGTTTAGTCCTGTTTTAGTCCAGGTTCAGTCCTGATTCAGTCCTTATGTGGCACAAAAGGCCAACATGACAGAAATTGTTTTTTTTTTTTTTTTTCCATTATTCATTTAAATACAAAAACTGAAAAAATAAAAAAAAAAAATAGTTTTTTCATTTTAGTTTTGGAGACAAATAATGAAGCAAATAATTGTTTTTTTTGTTTTTTAAAAACAAATGAACGAATGACACATGGATTCATTACATTAAATTCTTCTTATTATTAGTATCCATAACATTTTTAAACCATTTTAAATTTTAATAATTATTGTGAAATAATTGTTAATCACATTTATTTTAGCCCTGATAACTGTATTGTCTCATGCAATTTGAGGAACCTAGCAGAATGCATGTTTTTCCATTTAAATTATTATTTTTTTTATTAATAGTAATGTATAACTTTAAAAACATATTGTGGAACATTCTAAACAAAGCAATAACGTCTGCGTGGAGACATGCAGACGGAGGACCCTCAACCAGAAAAGTTACATTGCGTACCTTTAAGAAATATCGGTGGTGTGACGATGTTAAAAGTGAAGTCAGTAGTTGTAAGTGTTGCTCACCTGGTCATTGCTTCCTGTGAACTTGAACGCCTGCACTTCAAAGTTGAATGTAGTATCTGTAGACTTTTTAATCGATAAAGTCTCATCTTTCTGGCAGCTGTAGAACACATGATCACACAAACACAGTTAACATTTTTACCTCTATATCCACAGTAATTTTTTATCATTATTTATTTAGATTTTATTTTCTCCTCAGACTCACCCGTCCGTGATGATGTCGTAGAACAGGCTGTTGTCCGGGTTGTCATCCGGAGTGGCCTTGCACGACTCCACAAACATCGTCACTTTCTGCAGGTCGGACTTGGCCTGGATGCTCAGGTAAATCATATCAAACAGCTTCACCTGCACTGGGTACTCATTAGCCTCAACTTTCTTGGTGAAGTCTTCGTCTTTGTAGATCTCAAACGTGTATCCGAAGCTGCCGAAGGTGGACTCTGTGAAGATGTAGTCATCTTGGTGCACACTGAAGTAGTTGGAGATACTGAGGAATTTGGGGAACTGGCAGGAGAAGCCGATCTTAACTTTCTTTCTTCTAGTGATGATGGCGTTGGGCAGCTCGAAAGAGTCGATCTCATTGGAGAACACAATAAAGTCACCCTTATCCTGAAATGTAATTCATAAAAATCTTTTAAAAATACAAATTTTTTCAGTAGAAAGTAGGGATGTAACGATATCCAAAACTCTGTGTACGATATTTTTACTATATTTATTGCGATATTTAGTGGAGGTTGACAAAGCTGTCCATACGCTACTTTTTCCTCTAAAAATGCCTTCACAAGACATAGAGAACTAAAGAACTAAGAATTAAAGGTGCTTAAGAACAGTTATTTCTCCGTGTAGTCTGCACTGAAATGGAGCAAAGGATCATGGTCTATGTAGTTCCCTCTGTTTTTTTTAGCTATTGCTGCACCATAACAATGAATGTAAGCAGAGAAACTTGTAATTTGATATATTGTGATGATCCACGATATTATTGTGAGACTTTTGACGATACCGTATCACAGTATTTCGATTATTGTTGCACCCCAAGTAGAAAGTGAAAGTAAAAATTTGAGCAGCGCTGCTTTAAAGAGCCTGTATTACAAAAAAATTTGTAATTAGAATGTTTTGATTTCCTCAAAAACAGACCTGGAGTTGTGTTTTGTTTTAATGATTCATGTTTGAGTAACTCTTGAATGAATGAATGAATGAATGAATGTTTATTTGGACAGTAATGCATAGAACATGCACTGAAAACATAAATACATAGATAAAATACAAAAAGTAAATATTTCTTTTCTATAATAATAAACAAAAATAAATGTTACGCAGACTTTATTTGTGTCTGAAAAAGGAGTGGGAGGAAGTAAATACTTATTTAACCCACACACATATACACTAAGCACTAATTTCTTAAGCACAGTATTTTGAAATAATCCCCTTTTTTGGACAATGTTTTAGTTCTATTTTCATGTTGTTCCATAATTTTACACCACAAACAGAGATACAAATCTCTTCCTTGTCATTCGAGCATGAGGCTCTTAAGCTATTTTATTCAGTTTCTTTCCCTTTCACAGAAAAATATTTTTTGGTAAGAGCTTATTTTTAGCTTTATACATTATTTCCGCAGTTTGGTACATAATCAGATCATTCAGTTTAAGTAATTATTATTATCTGTTTGCATCCCCAAAGCTCAAAATGCTCTGTTCCACCTTCATGTCATAAGGCGGTAGTTTTCAAGTTCACGTCTACCTTTTACTCTTCAGTAAAAGTAGAGTTGAGATTTGCAGTTCCAGGTCTGAAATTATTTAAATGATTTTACTGAAGGTGCATGAAGTTTAAAACACAATGGAGCATTTCCTGTATTACCAAATTACATCACAACGTGGAACAGATTTTTCAGTTTGAGAGAAGAACTCTGCCTTTTGTTGGCCCTTTAAAGTCAGTGCAGAAACCTAAATGTATTTCTAACTTCTCTTTTAATTGTAAATCACTTCAAATTCTGTAGTGTATGAATTATTCTCTATGATAAAGATTGTGTTACCTCGATTTTGGTGCCGCAGGTGCTGAAGCTGATCTTGCCCATGATGTGGGTGTCGTTGGAGGTGAGGGAGCAGGTCTTGTCCAGGAGCATCAGGTAATTCACGTCGATCCCTGGCATCGACGCCTTGTCCAAGAACACCTCCATTTTGTTAGATTCGCACATCACGTTCGCCTTTCCTTTTTATTATATCACAAGATGAAGTGCTTTGTCAGTATATTAATATCAATCAATATTGCTGAAATTTATAGGCCAATATTTGTTGAGTTTTGTTGCACTATATCATGGTCTTGGGTCTAGTCAGTAATACAAATTATTAGGTTCCATATTTTGGGATTTACCTTTCTGATATTTCATGACCAAGTACAGTGTTACCAATAGGAAAAACTTGCTCTTGTCCCCAATCTGGATATATGAACATTCTAGAGTCTGAAAACCACCAATACAAAAACGACGGACTAACCTTGAGCGATAGTGGATTTGGTTACCACTATGACAACACATCTCATCTCTGATTGGCTGGAAGGGGAAAAAAAGGAAGAGTTTAAAGTACACATAACAGTTTAGAGTACTAATTTCTCTAAAACATAGTTAACATCATTGGAAGTTTTTACAACAAATTTGCCTGTTTTCTGGTTTTGTAATTTTACAGACAGATATGACACACCTAGAGGTATGTTGTCTGGCAAGGACTAAAACTTGTCTAAATTACACAAAAGTTATGCTTTGACAAATAAAAACTAGAAAAGCACTCAGAGAGCGCAGACCTCCGCCAAGGACTACCCCCATTTTTTATATAAATTGCGATAAAATCAGTCTTCTGGATCAGATCCGGATCAGCCTTTGGAATATGAAAGAGGATCCCATTGTCCATCCCTGAGTCAAATTTCATGGGGTTTGGTCAATAATTAACCGAGATATTGAGAAAGAAAATTTTTGGCCCCATTTACCACAATGTTAACTAAAATTTCAAAGTGATCCAGAATCCAGGATTTCTTCCGGATCACCCCCAAAATGAAATCAGTTCTTCCTTTTCACATTTCCAACAAATCCTGAAAATTTCATCAAAATCGGTCCATAATTTTTTGAGTTATGTTGCTAACAGACAAACAAACAAACAAACAAACAGACAAACGCCGGCAAAAACATAACCTCCTTGGCGGAGGTAATAAATCATAACATTGACAGTTTGTTAAATGGTGATTAAATGCCTTCCTTGTGCATAAATTGTACTAGCTCCAGATCCCTCTTCCACAGTGTGCTGTACTCACGTTTCGTCCGTTTCCGCAGTGAAGCAGACAGGCACGTGGCTGTACGCGTCCTCTTCCTGTGGAGTCCAGCTCAAAGTCACCTCTGCATGTCCGAGAGTCTTGTCTTTGAATACTTTGGTCATGTTATAAGGGCCGCTAATCTGGAAGTCATGAATACTGTAAAAAAAAAAAAAAAAAAAGGAAAAAGTAAGAGTAAGTAAGAGTAACATGGCTTCAAAATAATAATACTGAAGTACAAGTACAGTATATTAGTGGTCTAAGAAATTACTGAAGTAAGAATAAAAAATAATCTGGGCATCTGGTTTTATGTGATGTCACCAACTGCTTGAAATTGCCATGTCCTCCAAAGTCAGCACGCAGTTTTTCACTGTTTTTGACTAAAAAGCTGCACATTTAACCAGTACACTCAAATGGTAAATAATGCTATTAAAACACCGTAGTATGTGTTTTTAGTGTTTAGTTCCACCTAAATTTGGTAAAAGTTGAAGGAATGAGCAATGCTCACACACAGCCAACATCATCCCAGCTCTGTTATTTTGGTTTAGTGTGAGTAGAGCTTTCACCTGTTGTGGTGAGCCTTGGCCATTGCGTAGATGCTGAAGGGCTGTCCCACTGAGGCGTAGAGCAGAGCCCCCTGTGAAGGCGTCTTAGACAGAAGCATGGGCTGGACATGTCCCACCTTACAGCTGGGCAGAGGAGCCAGCACTGCACAACACCGGACACAGGAAGATTAGGAATAATACACACAAATCGACTCCATCGGGTTGCACACATGGGAGATTTTGCCAGTAATGTAATAATGTATGTTTGTTATTGAATGGAGCTCAAGAGTTCCAAACACATCGGAGTTGACTCTGGTTCCGGAAGTAGATTTTCCATAATTTTTTCCCATAAATGTTTCAAAAAAATTCAAATATTAAGAGTTCAACGGCATCAGGGAGACTAACCAGCTACATGGTAACTGTATCTGTAACACAGTTTTAAGTCCAAAAGCCCAAAAGCATATTTAAAACACACGTTTCCACAAAATGTTTTAATGACTTAGCAATTTGTAAAGTTTCAGAAACAGATTTTTTTGTGTCATAAGTTACCACACAGCTATTTACCCCCAAGTGAGCTTTCAAAACTTTAATATTGTTTTTGAACGGAAAGAGCCCTCCTCCCCCACCTGCTGCAAGTGTGTCCAGATCACATCAGATCTCAGAAGCTAAGCAAGGCCAGACCATTATCATTATTATTATTATTATTATTATTATTAGTAGTAGTAGTAGTAGTAGTAGTAGTAGTAGTAGTAGTAGTAGTAGTATTACCTTCCAGTGAGAAGAGCATTTTGACGCTGCACATTGGCTCCAGGTTTGGGTCGGACACGTTGAGGTACACCTTGGGTCCTTGTGAATATGTCATTTGTATGTCTTTGACCGGGAAGTCCTGCATCATCACTTCAAACACATGCAGCCCCACACTCAGGTTCCCACTGGCAGTCAGCGAGCACTTGTTCTGCACAGACAAGCAAGGAAAAGCATTAGTAACAGCTACAGTAGTTACAATTACCGCCCCTGACTATTGATTCTTTGCAGTAACGTCACACTGGGGGTGTTCTACATGTATCTCTAATGGTGGAATGTTTAGGAATTACCATGGTGACACTATGCACACATAAGAAAACACTGTCAAAAATGTAAATAATACATTTTCAGGAGCCTGTAATCAATATGAGCATGCTTAATTGGCCTGTGACTGTAATTTCAACACAAATCCTCTCACCTGTTGTAGTTCCAGCTAAGTCTGTTCTTTACGTCATATTGTGTTAAAATAAACCACAGATTAAAGTCTAATAAAGCCTCAGACAGAGCAGGGCTTACAGTTAGCATCACAACCCCCGGGGAATGTTGATGACATTGGCTGCAAAGTATCAATTGGAAATATTTTGAGCAAATGATAAAAAAGTCAAGTTTGACCAAAAAAAATAAAATAACAGGAGGTCATTCTTAAATATAGAATGAAAACAAATTAATCTTGCGTACCTCGTCAAACACAACATTTGCTGTAGAGTTGTATATAAGGTGACATTTGACTTCATCTCCGTCTGGATCATGAGCCAAGAGATTCAGTTTGGTGAAGCAGTTCTGAGGCACTCTGCAAAAACACACAAAAACAGTCAGTACATGTTGGCTCACATATATATGCAATAACCAATGAATAAAAACAACACAATAAATAAATATAACCTATAAATATAAATATAACACACGTCTTTCTCTCTTTATCATCTTTCCTTTCATCCATAAATGTTCTCTTTAAAGTGGAACTAAACACTAAATTAACTTTTTTTTGCTACTAAACTGTGTATATGGTGTTTGAATAGTAACTAATAGTAATAGTAATAGTAATAGTTTTCTACTGTTTGTATTTCTTTTTTTTTTTTTTTTTGGCTATTTTAGTGCAGGCTGGGTCAATTTGCTAGCCTGATTCATCAGCAGGTTTCACTTCGTAGAAACCTCGCAGTGTTAGAATTCGTTCACTCGACAGTAGGCGGGCACTTTTTATCATTTAATCAATCGCTGCTCTTTGGTAGTCATGTATGCAATGTGCTGCTAATGGGGCTAACTGGTATATTAAAGGTTGTATGGAGAATTTTTTTTTTTGTTGTTTCAAATTTTCAATGAAAGTTAAAATACCATTACAGAGACGCAGCAGCCTTGTAATTATGATGACTAAAAAAAAAAGAAAATCTATCAACTGTGGACATAGTGAGGCCAGATAAACATCAGCCAATAGATAACAAGGCTACCTCATTTTCTATTGGCTGTTAGGTTGTCAGTCAAACTCCCTACGTTTCTAGTTTAACTGACTCGCCGGCGCGCAGGGATTATGTGGTTTATGCGGTGGTTTTTAGAGGCTTTTTTTAAACTGTAGTTTCCTTGCAGTTCGCACAAAGTTTGGTGGACAAGAATCCACGACCAGTTCACCGCAAAAGAAAGTCCGTTTTTGAGGTCGCTAGAAGAAGAAGAGAAGGGGAAAAGGAGCAAAGCCAAACATGTGATTCTTGGAGATCTCTTCCAGCAATTGCGCGAATGAAGCAGACAAACGGTCTAAAAACTGACGCTAAATTATTTCTAGACAGATCACTTCAGCAGTAATTCTGAACGCACACTGGCTGTAAACAAACGTGATTTCTAGAGTCAGGAGGCGGGAGGAGATGTTTCTACTGAGGGAGCTGTGGAGGAGGAAGGTGGTGTCAGGCATGCACAAAATTTGAAAAAGGACTGTCGCTGTATTTCTTTTCCCTTTAAAAAAATCCTCTATACAACCTTTAAGCTTTTCCTAAATCTTGTAGGAAGAAGGGCGATAAGGTCTTTCCCCTTGATAAAATTCACTAAACATTCTCTTTATTCTGGCTTTAAATCCTCGATCTCGGGAATTGTTGACACACTGAATATATGACTCTTCGCTGATTGGCTGGTGCCCGTACTCGCACTTCCGGGGTTTTTGCGAACCGTCTATTGTATTTTGATTCCTGACCTAGTCGCTGGAGAGAAATGAAATTGAGCGGTCTGGTCAAAAATGCCTAAATCTAAGTTTATACTGCCTTCAGTGGCCTCTACAGTTTCTGATTACAAACAACCTGGCTGCAGGAATTTGAAGTGTGGAGACATCACAAGTTGACCAGAGCATTATGAGCTTAAGACTTGTAGACAGAGTAATAAAATAATAAATGGGTTACTCAAACATGTGTGGATGAAACATAAGTTATGTTTTTGGCTTAAATCTCACAAGTAAATTTCTGCACAATATAGGACCTCTAATAAAGATCAAATAAACATAACAACAGTGTAACAGTAGACCAATGAAAATGTGCTTTCACTCTGACTTTATTTTGGAGACGGTGGCTGTGACGGGGCAGTGGTTGATGGCGAAAGTGTCAGAGCGTTGTCCCAAATCCAGATGAGCTGTGGCTGTCCAGTTCTTTGCATTATCGACATTCGACGCCCAGCAGCAGCCAGAGGCACTGAAGGGCACAACAACACAAACACACACAAGGGTTAGGACTGTAGGCTGACAGTAAAGCTGTTAAATAATTATGTTTTTATTATGTTATTAGACAACAAAAAAACAAAACAAAAACATGTATTTATCTTTAGCTTGTTGTATCTAATGTATAGTTTAGTTTTAAAAGGACTTTCCATTTGAATGCTTGTTAAATAGAAAAAAATATATATTTCAGTATTATAATATTATAAATCATAGCTCTTGGAGGACCATATTTTTCGCACTACAAGTCACACTTTTTTTCATGGTTTGGGTGGTGCTGTGACTTATACTCCGGTGCGACTTATATATTAAAATTTTCAGACTGACAGAGGCTCTAGGTTTTAGGTTTGTGTGTCAGTATCTGCTGCTACTATTACTCCTGTACCACTGTCACTTTGCTCTCTACTACGCATGCCTCCTGTATAAAAAGCCGCTGTCTTGCTGCAAATAGTGAAATATTCAGCTGAAAACGGGAATCGAGCAGCAGAAAGTAAGTTTGGAGTGAGCGAGTAACTTGTGGGTGACTGGCAGAAAACGGGGATGGAGAACACAGCTTCACGGCAGGTGCACCATGGAACTTTCCTGGAAGTCACTGGATGAATCGACAAAGCCTGAACTTCAGTGACACCGAAACCATCCTGTCGGGATTCAGAAAGGCCCAAATAATTCTAACTGGAACTATACTGAGCTGTCAACAGCTACACGGAAGAGGAAGCGGCGCTCTGTTTACCTCATGGATCTATGGTTTATCTCTGGAGGTCACGCAGAAGTGACATCAAGGATGAAGAATTCAATGGATTGAGTGATTTGGAGTGAGATCGTGAGTTTGGTAAATTATGTTGTTTATGCTATAATTATCTGAATAACTGTTCATATATTACGTTAACATATTCAGCCTGCCTATTCAGCCTGTTCTCTGTTCTGCTGTTTTTTCTATAACTTCCCTTTCAAGATGAAATGTCAGTTCTTGGTCTCTGATTTTATAAACATATTTCCCCAAAAAGTGCGACTTATAGTCCAGTGCGACTTATAGTCTGAAAAATACAGTAATATGTACTGAATAATATGTATATGTATGGACAAACAGTTAAGTTTATTTGTACTAAACAATGAAAAACTTGTGCAAGAAGCTTAAAATGCACCATGAAACTATTTAAAACCTAAAAAACATCCACATAAACAAAAATTGGAAAAAATAAATAAATAAATAAATAAATAATAATCAACGGGGCAAGTTTTGTTGTGAGTATCCATCAAGGAGATATACAGAATGCCATTAAACTCAGATCTTCCAGACCTTCCACCAGAAAAGTAACTCACCTTTAATGAAGGTGTTGCACTGTGGCCAAAGGGATCAGATTTAGATCAGAGAGAGGCATTTTAGGTTTAAACTAAGGCCCCTTCTGCTTTCTGATTGGATAATTATCTTGAGAACCAAAACTCACAACATAAAACCAAATTATTATTACTTTTCCATCATGTCCCACGTATTTGTAATTAAAAATACATCAGCGTTAAAATCGTTTTCAGTAAAATATATGTTTGGTTTGAGCATGTTTACCTCATAAACATGTCAGCCTCATCAAAATCTCACATACAGTTTCTTTAAAGGCCCAAATAATACCAAAGTCCAGACCACTGTGGCAGGAGGACAAACACTATTTTTCTTTCTCTCCATCCGTTTTTTTATGAAATGTCAAATAGTCAAATAAAGACAGGATAGTTGTCCCTGGGTTAACTTTAACATAAGAGGTACAGCGTGTACTCGTCGTGACAAAGAGCCGTCTGTATGGACCATGTGGGATCAGTGAAGCGAAGACTTGTTTTGTTTCTTTGACACTACAGTAATAACTTAGGCATTTTTACTTTGAAACTGCATAAAACTATTTTGTGAATCTTCTCACGTCAAATCATCAATGCCATTATTTGTCTTGACAGGTTCATTCAGCGACAAGACAACTGAAACAATCCCCACACCCAAACGTAGTCATTAAACAGTAGTATTTATACAGTTAACTTCTACCATTGTGTTATGGTAGTTGTACTTTACTTCTACTTAAACTGCATGCCAGATTATTATGTTTCTAATTCTGACCTGTGGTAAATATTGTCATAACTTTACATCAGCTAAGTGCAAGTTTGTGAAGAAAAGTAAAAAGCAAAAAGTAGTAAAATACAGAAAGTAGCTGTGAGTTTGAAAACATAACCCTCTATCTATTTCATCGTCAATCGTTATCATTTCCATCCAAAATACAGAGATAATTTATGCCCAAAGAAGGCATTTTTTTGACATTTTAAACATTTATTTAACAAAATAAAGGTGGTGTGATTTATTTTTAATTGTCAAATAATAACTATTGTGTAATTTTGTTTAGTTTTGGCCCTTGTTATTGTGGTTGCAAGTTAACATATCTCTACGAATGTCATGTCTGCTGCCCGTGTCACGTAAAATTATAAACTTCACCAAAATTACACAACTAAAATAGGCAAGATTCTAAGTAAAATCTTAAATATAATTATGTTAACTATGTTTTAGTAATAAAAAAAAAGTAATATTTTGAAGTAAGAATACTCCACATACAGTGTTTGAGTTTTTACAGTTTACTCTTTGAAAATTATGTAAACAACAATCGCTTGTCAAAATCATTACAGAACATGTTCAAAATCTGAAATAGCCAAAATGAGCTCAGAAGTACGGCCATGTTTATCAAAAAGAAAATCAGAACAAATATTATGAAATTTTGTAAATCTGTAAAAGTGGTGGGACTCTAGAACAACTGTACAGAAAACCTAAAATTGTGCACCAGTCTCCTCCAGTTCATAAAGAAATTTAACTCTGAGCAGATACATGAATGATGAGACTTAGTTTGTGCTGTAGTACTTTGTTGTTCTGTTACTGATTAGTTTGTTTCCTCTTGCTATATTTATGAAGATGAACTGGGGTCAAGATGACGCTCTGATAACGGAATAAAGGGTAAAGGCAGAATAAGTTCAAGCTTCAGCCGACACTTTTTCAGTCTGTGTATGTTAAATATGATGTCAGAATATACCTGTGAGTACACTCTTTGTCACTGCCGCTTCATTTTACCCATTCATTAATGTGTGTGGAGCAACCTGTCTGGAGCAGCAGACCCACCTCTAGATCTCAGCCAGGAATTACTTTAGCCAGAATATTTCCAGAGGCATCACTGAGGCTCACCAGCTCTGCATTAACTATCATCGCAAGGTCTTAAAAGTCTCAAAAAGGTCTTAAATTTCATGTTCCTAAATTAAGGCCTTAAAAAGTCTTAAATTATGTTGTCTAAGTCTTTTTTTTTTTCACAAAGGTCTTAAATTTCATTGGCCTATTTATTTGTTTACTCAATCGGGCTGCAGTGCGATGTTAAATGGAGGGAGGGGAAAAAAAACAACAACAACGTGAAATAACGTAACATGAATGAACGTCTAATTTGGAGTACGCGCAAACAATACGTTGTTTTTTGGCTTCGGCGGCAATGAGTGCGTATACATGCACATCAGTAACCCGGTTATGATCGGGTTTTTTGAGTATCCCGGTTTCTCAGTGCGCATGTATACGCAGTAACCCGAATACTGACATAACCGGGATATGGCTAATAACCGGGTTACTGATGTGCATGTATACACACTCAATGAGTAAACAATCAGTTTCGTCTACACTGTCCAAGACGCAAAACTCTGGTCAGATCTGCTCACATCACATACACGTTTACGTCACATACATCATCACAGAGTGTCACCACCTACCTAGATTTCCTCAACCCAAAACGCTCGTCTAAATACGGAATAAAAAGTGAAGACGCTGTGCCACTTTTGTGTCTTCTGTTAGGACCGTCACCATGTAAAAGTAGCCTTAGATTCTAGATATAGAAGCGTGGGTGCGACGTTGGTCTTAATTTTCATTTAAGTGGTCTTAAAACACCTTAAAAAAGTCTTAAATTTGGGGTGGGCAAACCTGGGGATACCCTGATAAAGCTTTTGTTTAAAGACCAAAAAGCAAATTTTTCTGTGAAATGCTTTAATCACTTTGCAGATAATAAAGTTTCAGAAACACATAAAATCACATAAAATTGTAGGTCTTGTCATTAAAGAGAGAGAGAGATACTTTATTGGTCGAGAGGGAAACTCAATTTTGATGCAGCAAACTGTTGCAGTTTTCCAGCAACATTTCCACTGCACTTCTCAGTCCCTTTGTGTCTCATTTAAAGGTCTGGACTGGTCAGGTAGGGTCAGCAGTAGAGGTGTGCAAAAATATTGAAATATCGATATATCGTATCATTTAATGTAATAATACAGTATTGATATCTTGGGCTGCTGTATCGATATATTGCCAAGAGTATTTTTTGGTATATTTTACTAAATTTTTGTTACAGCGCTATGGTTTTGTTGCTTGTTCAGAGGAAGGAAACTTGTTTATTTGACATTTGACACTGTTTTGATGATTAAAATGTTTGTGTTTTATATTCACTTTGCACAAGAAGTGGTTTAACAAACACTTTTAGTATCACAGCCATGATTTAGCCATTGTTTTTTACTGAACTGTATCGAATCAATTTGAGATATATCGTATCGAATCGAAAGTTCACTGTATCAAGATATCGAGATAGCTATCGTATCGTGGCCTATGTATCGAGGTATGTATCGTATCGTGGCCTATGTATCGAGGTATGTATCCGTATCGGCAACTTTTTAATGACACCCAGCTCTAGTCAGCAGAAAGTTACTACATATTTGATTAGCTCTGAGCAAGTCTGTAAACTTTATTCATTCATTTTTTTCGGAAAGTCTATACAATAAAGTAAATGAATAACAAATTAATTCTGGAACCAGGGAGTGGGTGGTCATTGGGTCATTGTTGAGGAGGTATTTCAGAACATAGGGGCACCATAGTCTCCTCCGATTCACTAATATCGCCACAGTTCCCGGTGCAGAGTTCATACCTGAGAGCCACGTTTTTGGCGTGAGCCGATAGCTTGGTGGTGGATTTCTGCTCCGTTTGGCACCAGCGCTTCTCTCCGGTTATGTCATTGGTTGTTTCCTCGGCGGTGCCTGTGGTAAAGTTCCCACACGCGTTACCGTCGCACGAGTACGACACCTGAGCAGAGCAGGATGAGTGGCCATTTTCTCTGCTCACCAAAGTCAGCTGAAACATAAAAATAAAGTCAAGTGAAGGGACGTTCTGCTATGATTGGTCATTCAAAGGGCTGAAGTCTTTGAACAGAATTATGTTTTTTGTTGTTGTTTTTTATGTTTAATGTCATACCATGGAACATTCAAAGCAGATAGCGGACCCTTCACCAGAAAAGTTACACAGTGCATCTTTAAAGTTAGGAAACAGGTTGTAGTTAAATTGGGGTTAGGAAAATGTTTAAAGTTAAGGATTGGTTAAGTTTAGAAACAGGATTATGTTAAGGCGAGGAAAGGTTAAGGTTAGGGAAATGTTTTGGGTAAGTTGGCACAGGTAAGTCAAAAAAAACAAAAAAAACATGACTAGACTGGGGACAGAACTAAACTAAACTGGACTAAGATGAAGAGAAAGAGGTAGAGAGCTTCACTGGGTCATAAAAAAGATAAAAATAGCAGTACAGGTGATCTACAGGGGTTAAAACGGTAGTCTTTAAATATATCTTTACATATATTGTCAAACTCGAGGCACTCTGACTGAATATATTAAATCCTTTATTGCATGAAGGGACGCCAACGTGTTTCGACCAGCAAGATGGTCTTCGTCAGGTCTTTGATTCAGTCGGAGTGCCTTGGGTTTGTACCTTGCCCACTTTTACATTTTCCAGTAAGGGTAACTTTCTGTTTAAAGACTAAATTGGACTAAGCCAGGACTAAACTGGTACTAGACCAGGATTCCACTAAAACAGGTCTAGACCAGGACTGGACCGGACTAAAACCAGGACTAAACTGGGACTAAACCTTGTGTCATTGTCTGAAAAAACAGCATTCCTATTTAAAATGTAAAAATAACAACAACAACAAATGAGTAGATATAAGCAGCGAGCAATTGTCTACTCAAAACATTTAAGTTGCTTTGGTTATGTCATTTAAATGTATATTTTTTTTGTCTTACTTATCCAAACCAAATATTGTTATGACTCTGTTTAATTTATAGCCCTTTTCTGCTAAATTCTGCATTATTTCTTTAACCCTTGGCCTTAAATATATCGCTCTGCAGTGGAGCAATGCCAGGACGCCTTCAGTAAATCCTGTTCATCTGGATTTCTAAGACACTTTTCTCAGAACAAACTACCAGCTTCATCATAACTACCGACCAACGTGCAACTGTTCTGTGCTACGTTAACCTAAATATGAAACTTGAACTGAATTAGTGAAAATAAAAGTTCATTGTTAGATATATACACAGTAAATATTTACGTAGAGTCGTTTCTGGCTTTGTTGGGGCCCTTAGAATTTGTCAAAATTGTGGCAGCTATTCATGGGTTTCAAGATATGGAACCATCCATATATTCTATTTATTTTATTATTTATTATATTCCACGGACGTCAGATTAGGGAAAAACCTGTAATGTGCATTTTTCATTAGACAACATGTATGGGCCCACCAAAATAATTTGTACCCAGGACTCAGAATTTGGCGCTACACTCCTGATGGTTCCTCAAAAAGTCCTACAAATCATGAAGAAATTATTTGTCTGAAGATTCAAGATTTAACATTGTAGAAAACAAGAAAATTACGTTTACAGCATCAAAAACTGCAGGAATAAGGACCAGAGTCTATAATCCCAAACCCTATTCATAACATCGCACTTTGCCATAAAATATCCAAATTACATATTCACAAATGTTGAACCTGATCATTTTTATTATTCTCTAGACCCAAGAACTTTTTTTAACAGCATTAACTTTCGCTGTTTTCCGTCTGTATTAAATATTATTGTCCTATTGAATCTGGTAATGCCGTCTTAAACCCAGTAATTACAGCAGTATTGTTTTGTAATTGTCTGTGAAAGTTATTTGGACACCTCTATTGTTGTTAATGGACTGTATATTTTAGGGCAACAAAATACTGTTCACATTACTTTATCTTATTTATTACTTTAACATACTAAATAAATAAATAAAGTATTGTTTATTTGTTACAGACAAAAGAAAGAAAAACATGTCACACGTTTATCCTTTTGTTTCCTTTCGTTTCCATTCTATTTCTGTCGCCCTGTAGTGACCATTGGGGGTCTGTTTTTTTGTGATAAATACATCCTGGTTTGGTCCTGGTTTAGTCCTGCTTTAGTCCTGATTTAGTCCTAGTTTGGTCCAGGTTTAGTCCTGGTTTGGTCCTGGTTTAGGCCTGCTTTAGTCCTGGTTTAGTTCTAGTTTGGTCCAGGTTTACTCCTGGTTTAGTCCTGCATTAGTCCTGGTTTACTCTTGGTTTAGTCCTGGTTTAGTCCTGGTTTGGTCCTGGTTTAGTCCTGCTTTAGTTCTGGTTTAGTCCTAGTTTAGTCCAGGTTTAGTCCTGCTTTATTCCTGTTTTAGTCCTGCTTTAGTCCTGATTTAGTCCTGGTTTAGTCCTGATTTAGTCCTGGTTTAGTCCTGGTTTAGTCCTGGTTTAGTCCTGATTTAGTTCTGCTTTAGTCCTGCTTTAGTCCTGCTTTAGTCCTGGTTTAGTCCTGGTTTAGTTCTGATGTAGGCTTAGTTTAGTCCTCATGTAGTCCTGGTTTAGTCCTAAATTAATCCAACTTTAGTCCCAATGTGCAAGTGTGGATGCCCCATTGTGAACGAGCTCAAAGCCCAGACCAAAACCCAAATTCCAATTTAAACATCAGTAAATAAAGATTCTGCGTACCGGTATCGTCCCGTCTGATTTCTTCTGCAGCTGCAAAAACCTTACGCTGTGTCCGTAGAAGTCCGCCGCGTGACTTGTTTGTATGAAAACGCTCGAAATTATCAAAAATATGAACACACCAGACTCCATTTTTACCTCCTGAAATCTGTCCAAACTCTGAAACGTATCTTGTGAGTCTGAGATTTTTAGATGCGGGAGGCGTTTCGCATTGTTCCAACAGGTTTGTCCGGCTTTACCTACACTGTCGCAGCTTTGTTTTCAGAAATGACAACTATGACAGCCGCGTAATCTTTATTTAGCAGCGAGGACTGATGTATGTGACAGAGAGATAATGCTTTTAATATTTCTTATCATGGAATGTACGAGCGCTGCGAGATTCATCACAATCGTAATTTGAACAGACGTAATTAGCAAAATCGAGAAGATGCAGTTTTTGAAGTACCACAATTTCCTTATTCTGCTTAAAAAGTGCCAACCCTTCAATTAACAAAACCACGATTATAAAATTTAGGACAGTGGCCATAGCAGTTTACAATTTAGAACAAAGTATTTAATTTTTTGAGGATTATCTGTAGATCTCTGAGATGACTGAATGAACATTGGGTACTTTGCAGTGACATCATGCTGGGGGTGCTCTACATGTACACTACGGGTCAAAAGTTTTAGAACATCCTAATTTTTTCAGTTGTTTATTGTAGTTAAAGTCGTGTAAGTCCATTGAAGAGTTTGAAATGGTACAAAGGTAAAAACTGAACAGACAGAGGATAAAAAATAAATAAAAGATACAAAACACAAGTCCAAGCTCTGCCAAAACTAAGATTAAACCAGATCTAAACTAAGACTAAACCAGGACTACATCAGATCTAAACTAGGACTAAACCAGGACTAAAACTGGACTAAATTAACTAAACCAGGACTAATGCTGGACTAAACTAAGACTAAACCAGGACTAAACTAAGACTAAACCAGGACTAAAACTAAACTAAGACTAAACCAGGACTACATCAGGTCTAAACCAGGACTAAAACGACTAAATTAACTAAACCAGGACCAATGCTGGACTAAACTAAGACTAAACCAGGACTACATCAGGTCTAAAACAGGACTAAACTAAGACTCAACCAGGACTACATCAGATCTAAACTAGGACTAAACCAGGACTAAAACTGGACTAAATTAACTAAACCAGGACTAATGCTGGACTAAACTAAGACTAAACCAGGACTAAACTAAGACTAAACCAGGACTAAAACTAAACTAAGACTAAACCAGGACTAAACTAAGACTAAACCAGGACTAAACTAAGACTAAACCAGGACTAAAACTAAACTAAGACTAAACCAGGACTACATCAGGTCTAAACCAGGACTAAAACGACTAAATTAACTAAACCAGGACCAATGCTGGACTAAACTAAGACTAATACCAGGATTACATTAGGCCTAAACCAGGACTAAACTAAGACTAAACTAGGACAACATCAAGTCTAAACCAGGACTAAAACTAAACTAAGACTAAACCAGGATTACATCAGGCCTAAACCAGGACTACATCAAGTCTAAAACTGGACTAAACCAGGACTAAACTAAAACTAAACCAGGACAACATCAAGTCTAAAACAGGCCTAAACCAGGACTAAACTAAGACTAAACCAGGACTACATCAGGTCTAAACCAGGACTGAAACTGGACAAAATTAACTAAACCAGGACTAATGCTGGACTAAACTAAGACTAAATCAATACTACATTAGGCCTAAACCAGGATTAAACTAAGACTAAACCAGGACTACATCAGGTCTAAACCAGGACTACATCAAGTCTAAACCAGGACTAAACTAGGACTACATCAAGGCTAAATCAGGACTAAACTAAGACTAAACCAGGACTATATCAGGTCTAAATCAGGACTACATCAAATCTAAACCAGGACTAAACTAAGACTCAACCAGGACTACATCAGACCTAAACCAGGACTAAAACTGGACTAAACTAAGACTAAACCAGGACTACATTAGGCCTAAACCAGGACTAAACTAAGACTGTGCAAACACAGCAACAACAAACAGCCAAAAAAAACTTAGTAACATGGTGTGAAAACTCAAGAAAAATGCAAAATAGATTCATGGTCTTGTTTAAGTGTTTATATGATTTTCAGCAAAAAAAAGGATCGATTGTGACTGTAATTTTATGTGTGAGAGATTTGTTTAAGAGCGCAAATCTTACCTACTGTAGTTCCAACTAAGTCAACTCTTTCTGGTCAAACTGTGTCAAAATAAAGCTCAAATTCTAACTTCCAAAATCTTTCTTGAGTCTAACTTGAGTAATAGAGAGAGAAGAGCCTTCGGTTAGCTTCACACCCCGAGGGAATGTTGATGGCTTCAGCTGCAAGTATCAATCATTTTCCTATTTCAATTATGCACTATTCTTGGATTTCAGAATGATGAAAGATTATTATTACTTTTGAATGAGGAAAGAGTTCTCAGAATTTTGCATATAGTTAAGAGAAAGCTGAAACCCACGAAAAGGTGTTGTACAGAATGTTGCGAGGTCATTTGAAACCAGCAATTTCCCTGTTCAAATTTGTGAATCGTGCTATAATTGTTTTACAGGATTTGCGCTCTGGGGTTTTTACATGAGTTCTGCGAATGTGGAAAAGGACTAAACCATACACAATGAGAAGAGGGGGGTGGAGTAGCCAAAAATGGAACTCAAGTAAGAGTAACGTTACTTTATATATTACTAAAAGGGCCCATGTTATACTTTTTTTTGTTCTTCATCAAAAAACATACCTGGAGTTTTGTTTAGTTTCATTCACACGCAAATCCTTCACTACATTGGCAGTCTAATACTCAAACCCTTTCGTGTACTATAGGATCTTTAAGTACAAAATAATGATCTCAACTCAGAAAAGGCCCAACCGTACAAGAGGGATCAAACCTGTTACTGTGGTGTTGTCTGTCAGTGGTAATTATCATCTATGTTTGCTTTAAAATGTACACAATGTTTGCAACTTTTCTCGACCTGGTTTCAACTGTGAGGTGGCCTATTTGTTTTTGTTTTGAAATATTTCGGTGTTGTTTTCAGTAGTTATCTTGAACAATAGAAGGGTTCTTGAACGTGCTATTTTGAATTCTCAAAACATGTTTTGTTAAGTCATTCTGACAAACATTTAAAGGTTACAAAAGGTTCCTATGTTAAAGGACCTTTGTTAAGCTATTTTCTGATCTGTTATAATGATGTTTCTTCATTAAAAACATTAAAAGCCGTTTTGCCCACTTCACTCACAGTGATGGAAATCTACCAAAATCACCATGCAACTGGTTCACTGACAATTAAAGTTGTATTTTGTTTCATCCACACATTTAACACACAAACCCTGCATATTTAGGCTGAGTTTTTCTCTCAAACAGAAAACTCTCTGTCTCTGTTCCACCTTTTGTGATGTCATGTGGTAGAACAACAAGTGTTCCACTGTGTTTTTAAACTCTGCACCTTCGCTAGAATAATTTGGATAATTTTATCCCTGGGTAGCTCTTAACTTGAAAACTGCTTTATGTTATCTCAAGGTAAAACAGAGGAGCATTTTGAGCTTTGGAGATGTAAACAGACTAATAATAAAGAATTACTCAAATGTGTGAATGAAACAAAAATTTCTGTAATTACTGGGCTTATCCAGGTGTCACAAAAACTGTTAAAATGTTCAACATCTTCTGTCAGCACAAACTAACACACAATTATTTGCTTTATTTATTCATTCCCACAGGCAAGATTATTCTACTGTCTAAATAAAGATTGTTTTTATTATCATCGTGGTATCGAAAATGGTATTTACTCTTCTCAAAATAACACTTTATATCGAGGCTATTCCTTAGTATCGAAATAGAGTACAATGTAATATGCAATTGTAACAAGTCAAAATAATAACATGCAGAATTATATATATATATATAAAATGTGTTTCTCACCTTCCACGGTGGTAGGTCTCTCACCCTCATTCAGCTCGGGTCCTCTACCAGAGGCCTGGGAGCTTGAGAGTTCTGCGCAGTATCTTTGCTGTTCCCAGTACTGCACTTTTCTGGACTGAGATGTCCGTTGTTTTTCCCGGTATCTGTTGTAGCCACTCTTCCAGTTTGGGGGTTACAGCCCCGAGTGTCCGATCACCACAGGCACCACTGATGCCTTTACTTTCCAGGCTCTCTCCAGCTCTTCCTTGAGCCCCTGGTATTTCTCTAGCTTCTCGTGTTCCTTTTTCCTGATATTACCATCGCTTGGTATTGCGATGTCAACCACCACGGCTCTGCTCTGTTTCTTATCCACCACCACTATGTCTGGTTGGTTCGCCATCACCATTCTGTCCGTCTGTATCTGGAAGTCCCACAGGATCTTGGCTCGGTCATTCTCCACAACCTTTGGAGGTGTTTCCCACCTTGATCCTGGGGTCTCCAGCCCGTACTCTGCACAGATGTTTCTGTACACTATGCCCGCAACTTGGTTATGTCGCTCCATGTATGCTTTCCCTGCCAGCATCTTACACCCCGCAGTTATGTGCTGGACTGTCTCAGGAGCCTCTTTGCACAGTCTACACCGTGGGTCTTGTCTGGTGTGGTAGATCTGGGCCTCTATTGCTCGAGTGCCCAGGGCCTGCTCCTGAGCAGCCAGGATCAGTGCCTCTGTGCTGTCCTTCAGACCAGCCCTCTCAAGCCATTGGTAGGATTTCTTGATATCAGCCACTTCAGTTATGTTCCGGTGGTACGCCCCATGTAGGGGTTTGTCCTGCCATGATGGTCCCTCCAATTATGTCTTATCTTGTCTCTTATCTCTTTTGGTACTTATTTAGAATTTATTAGTACCATTTATATTTTTCTCTTTGTTATTATATTATTTTGTGATGTGTGAGCTGCTGTGTCCAGATAATTTCCCTTGTGGATCAATAAAGTTTATCTAAGTTTAAGACTAAACACAGTCCCAATTTATATTTCAAGTTCCATACAAAGTGCTTTCGTTTTTATGACTTTGGAATTTGTGCAATAATGTCGAGAATTTATATAAGAGGACAAGAGGGACTGAAATACAACAAATGCATGAGTGTCTTTCTCAGAGTTACCAAAAAGTACATGTTTTATTTTAAATTGTAGGTTTGCATGAAGCTTTCTGTTCACAAACAAAAAATGTGTCATTGTTGGCGTGTTACTCACCAGTGAGCACAGTGCAGAATGACGTGTCCGAAATAAAACCAAGGTTCACTTTTTTTTTTTCACGCTGATCTGGACTTTCCGGGAACCCGTAGTTACGTCACCTTATGGAAATTGTCCGAGTGGCAAGATGGCTACCGAACCAAATAAGACCGAAATCCTTACCATTTTCAAGCGATTAAGATCGATCCCGACTAATAAGGTAACGCGGATTCACTTTGTCTTGGGCTTTTTAATGTTTCTGAGTGTGTTAATTGCATTGGCACTTTAAAACAGCCTCGTCATGACGGTGAGAAAAGCAAAGCTAACCCGGTGTCGGCTAATGAAGCTAATGTTAAAGGCAAAGGCCACGTAAACGCTTTATGCTGGATATAATGCGGCTATAATTTACGATAATGTTCCTCTAAAACCACAAATACACTCGTAGATCATTCCCCATGAAACCCCCTACTGTCTTAAACCAAACTATAAGTATTAAATGATGTTACGTGTTTAAATCGCGTTAAAATAGCGACAATCCTGAACCATATGGTGATCGCGTTCGCCGAGTTTCATTGATAAAAACGTATCGCAATAAAAGATCGATTGTCGTTTTATCCACATTGACGCTGTCTAAATCAATAATAATTACATTTACCAGTGATGAATTTATGTAATATGTTTTGCCTTGTCGATACAAAGTGTTCATAATCCAAAAATATCGAAATATCTATATATCCAAATCTCTCGGCACGATATTATCACGATATGCATCTCACGGTACGATATTTATTGCGATATTTCTAAATGTACATGGGACATCTTTTTTTGCTTTTAAAATACTTTGACAAGATTTTGATGTGAATTATTACCGTCATAATCCCAAAAATTTAACTAAAAACATATTTCTTCACTGTTAAACTTTTTTTTAATAAAAAATAAATGTTTAATAATACTTTTACTTAAACATTGAATCCAGAACAAGTATAATATAAAATAATAACAACATTTTAAATAAATGATGTCTCTATAGTCTATCTGTAACAATATGATATGATCTCGTGGGCCAAATACAATTATATCACAGACCAAATTTGGCCCCCGGGCCTGAGTCTGACATGTCTGCTCTATATCATGTCCATTTAATCCAATTTACAGACAGATAAATATCCTAATATTTGGCCCCGCATCAATACTTATCTGCAGAGTAATGTGTTGTGTGTGTTATGCCGTACTGCTCCTGAAAGCACCTCCAGAGTCACGTCACTCGAGCGCTTGTTTACATCCGTGCACAACCATAGATCCGTGTGCCCAACTCTGAAATACTGTTTTAAACACTCTTGTGTGTGATCCACGATACTAACTACGATACTGAAATAAAAATGAACTTCTGGGCAGTTTAGGCCAGCAACAAAACTACTGTTGTTTTCATCAAAGTGAAAGTGCGGACAAGAGAGGACTGTTTCAAAGACTGAGGACACACAGCTGCTGTCCACATGCTGGATTATATAATTTTTACAGACGATCATTTTGAGTCAGGATTAAAAGGACACTTATTTATGAAGAGTTGTGATCTGAGAGGAGCCTGTGTGAGCAGTGAGTGTTGCAAATGTGTCGGTTTTGAAGCTACTTTTAGTTCTTTCTCATTGGTTAGTGTTTAGCTGCTGTAGCTCCCACATATAAACAGCCTCTTACATTGACCTAAAGTCACTATAATGGCTGTACACACATTACTGGACACACATTGATATGTAAATGTGCTGTGAATAGAGGTGTCCGGTATCTAGGATACCAATGGTGGAATAACAAGCCAGACAAAAGTAAACAATGTGGTCAAATTGAATCATTACAAAAGGATCTTCAGAGCAAAGCAACTCACAGAGACACACTGACGGCTAACTACAAAACCCAAGTCCAAGAGATGTGCTACCACGTCCACCCAAAAGAAGAGCTCCAGAGCCTCAAGAGAGTCTACAAGAACTTGCTTCAGCAAAGAACTCGCCTGAGGACTGTCCTTAAGGAGATGAAGAACATGATGCAAGAATTGGAGGACGTAATCAAGAAGCTTCAGATCGGCCATCGAGACCTGCTGGAGAAATATAAAGAGAACACTGAGCCTCATCAGAAGACGAGGAAGGTTCAACGAGAGCACGAGTGTGAGGATGTGACTGTAGAGCAGAGTCTAGAGGAAATCATCTCAGACCTTGAGGCCAAAAGAGAAGAGTGGCTAGCCAATCAGCAGGAGGTGGAGAGGGCCATATCGGAAAGTGGGACAAAAACGCTAAGACTCCAGGATAGAATTGCCTTTCTTCAAGTTTATTTAGAGCAATAAAAAACATGTTGTTAAATGAATAAGTGCTTTTGAACTTTTCTGTAGACCACAGGATTGTGATGTTTCACTTCACAGAGTTTTCAGTAAGCCTAATGTTAAACCAGTGGAGATTTTAAAGGTGCCTGGAATTTTTCACAGTGAGTGTGTTTACATGCACATCAGTATCCCGGGTATGTCAGTATTCAGGATACTGTGTTTACATGCGCGCTGAGAAACCGGGACACTCATATCTTTGTGTACATGATCTGATATAATCTTACAAATGTGCAAATGCAAAAATTAATTTAAATCAATTTAATAAACCAGAAAAAATACAAACCATGAGCTCCTTTAGCAGAGGAAGCTCAGGAGGTTTAACCAACGATACGGGGCTATGAGGTATCCCACAATCCACTGCACAGATCAAACCAAACAGATTCTTCATTAAAATCTTCTGCATAAATAAACTCAACTTTACAACATATAAACCATAGCCACTATAGAGCATTTATTTACATTTTACAGAAACAAAACTTAAAACCGCATGGCTAATATAATTATATATATTTGCCAAATTTGAAAAGTTTGACATGTCTGTGATAGAGGCTGGACGTGATTCTTGTTTTAGCAATATTTAAAATTAGAATACCAGTTGTATATTGTCGTTAAAAGTATTCAGAGTGTCAGAAAGAGACAGAAACTTCTAGTGTTACGTTTTATGATCCATTCAAGTTTTGTGCAAAACTTGTGCCTGTAAATCTCTTGTTCGAGGTTCATTTTGACACGATAATTACAATATTGAGTTCATATATGTTTTATTATTTTATTTATTAATTAATTTATTTCATTCATAATGTATAAAAAGGCATCAGCAGTGTCACAACATCAAACATACAAGAAATGAATGAAACTTTTCAAGACAAAACATCAACACCAATTGTTACTAAACATTTCAAATCATTACATTTAATTTCAGGCGCAATTATTAATCAATTGCAAAAAGAAATCTTCACTTTTATGCACAACAACTTAATTTTCTCTTTCATACATACACATTGTCATCATTGTACTTGATTCTTTTATTTCTTTGTCAAGACTTTTCCATAAGTTTACTCCTTTCACCGCGATGCTTTTCTCCATAACTTTGGTTCTGAATCTGATTTTTTTTTTTTACCATGTAGGTTCCTTTTAAATTGTAGCGGCTTGTTCTTATCTCAAACAGTCTTTGAATATTTACGGTAACACACTGCACTTTGCTTTATACATGACTTTGAGGAGACTTAAGTCAACAATGTCATGCATTTTCAACACTTTAAGTTGAACAAATAATGTTAGATGGAACAATAATTTTTAGAGGTGAATTTTTATCATGGGTTCTAGTGGGGAACCTTTTGCTATTTTTCTATTTGTATGATAAGATTTGAGCTCTAAAGGATTAAATGAATAACTTCTGTGACCCATTATAGAATCAAACCAACTACTAAAGTGTTTTATTCTTCTGTTTATTTATTTATTGCAGTTTGTGTGGGAACATTTTGTTATTTTTCCATTTGTACGATAAAATTTGAGCTCTAAAGGATTAAACGAATAACTTCTGTGGCCCATTATAGATTCAAATCAACTATCGATGTGTTTGATTCTTCTGTTTATTTATTTATTGCAGTTCGTGTTGTACATTTAGAATAGTTTTTTGGGGAATAATCCTGCTTTAGAGTTACGGTGTCAGAGGCATGACACCAGGGAAGTTCAATATTATAATTTATTGTTTATATTTTCTTCATTAGTATATCACACTTCAAAATATGTTATCATGGCAGGCCTAATTCAATTCTTAAAATATCTGAATATTGTTAAAGCGAATGTAAAAAAAAAAAAAAAAAAAAAAGTAAAGATATACATTTTTGTCAGTGTCATCCACCCTTATCTTCTGAGTTAACTTTATATAAAACATATTGTTGTAACAAGATGACATATTTGTTGAATTGTTGTCAGTTTAATCACGCTCGGGGCAGATCTTGTGCTGTTCAGGACAGTTCACATGATGTGGACGCACTTCCGAACCACAAAATAAACAGTTGTTCTTATCGCTGGGCAGTATGACACTTGTAATTACATTTTCTGCTCTTGAATCACTTAAAAAAACAAAACACCTTCAATATTAATTTCCTGAATGCAAACAATACTCTTATAACTAAGCCTGTCAACATTAATAACTGAACGAGTTATCTTTCAATATATGAACGGTGAAGCAATATTTTGGGGGGCAATATTTTTATTCTTTGCAAAATTTGAAAGATTTTTGCTATTTTAGTTGTAATATGATAAGATTTGAGCTGTAAAAGGTTGAATATGTGACTTATTTGGTGAATTATTGGTTCATTTTTCCATTTATTTGTTGCAGCTCATGTCTTTTATTGATACTGTATTTAAAAAGGGTTCACTGGGATTGTTTTACTTCATTTTAATCTCAATCAGGGGCATAATATTATTGTTTAGCTCAGTATTTCTCTGTAGTGATATATTGTGCGACAAAATTTGTTATTGTGGCCGACCTACTTAAAACCATTTCTTTTTAACTCAAAAAATAGTCTAATTTCTTCCTCCTAAATCTGAACTCTGGTCTGTACCGCATGTTCTTACAGAGGACTGACTGTTGACATCCATAATTATGACTTAGCTGATGATTGTCTGCTTGTACATCATAATTCCACCGTGTTTGTCACCACATGAACAGGTTTTTCCTGTGCTTCAGGATGCATTTTTCCAACAAAAACTGGTCATATTTTCTGGTTTCAACATCAGTCCGTTGTGTCATAAGACTTTCCTTTGTCTCGATATCTCACTGTGATTCAAGATCTGTAATAATTAGTGTTTTATATTAGGACTGTAATGTTTACTACTATTAATTAACCTTGAACCTAGTGCGCTATAAAAAATTAATGGATGTTGTGTTTTGATCATCATAGTGATTATCTGGACTATACAGACTCTGAAACACATATGAAAAACCCTTTTATAACAAAAACTGCAACATTATTCAATTAAAATGTAAAAAAAAAAGGATTTTTGTCAATATTGCATTTCACTTATGAATATATATTAAAAACGGTTCACCATACAGAGCTCAACAGTGACTGCGCTCCTGGTTCTGGAAGTAAAATTCTCGTTTTTACCATTGACTTTCCATAGAGAAAAATCCCGCACATTGTCTTACTTAGAAAATATATTTGTCCTAATAAATCTCACATTTTGCAAGTAAGACGATGTCTGGATTTTTCTCTATGTTCTTGGGCTGCTCACTGTCCTCCAACGCACCCATCTCAAGTAATGGATGTGCAAAGTTCTCTTTCTTTTATACTATAGACTTTCTGAGAAAAAAAAAGTGTATATTAAAAGTTTGAAAGCTCAGAGCTCATTAGTCATGTGGTAATTGATGACTACAAGACCTATAATTTTGTTTTATAAATTTATTAAAGCATTTTGCTGATTCTTGCGTTTTAAAATGTGATTTTTGGACTTAAAAAAAACGCATTATAAATATTAGTTTTGCACGCAGCTGGTTATGATGTTTTTGAACTCTTAATATTTTAAATTTTTGAAAAGTTTGAATGGAAAATTTACTTTGGATTTCGAAGTGGGCGGGACAGCTGAACACCATTTCAACCTTTGTTTTGTTGAATGTATTTAAAAAGTCTTAGCCTACAATAGAAATACTCGTTTAATTGATCAAATACTAAAATAATAATTAGTTGCAGCTCTTATTTATTTTCACACGTTGTCTCTTAGGGGAATTGTGAGAAGTGGATAAAACGTTATTGGCTGAAATAGCAGTGTTTCTTCATATTGTACGTGTGACTTGTGATGAGTAATGCTCAGAGAATGCTGCATTCTTCTTGTCATGCTGTTAATATTTTGTCCACTTGCTGCTGCTTTGCTTCAGTAGTGTTTTCTTGAGCCGAGCCTCTGCTCTGACGATGTTTAAATCCAGGCTCAAATGGTTCTGTTTAACTCCATTTTGTTCTGCACTCTTTTCATTTAAACTAACATTTTGTTATAATTGTTTTTATGTATTAATTATTCTGTGAAGCAATTTGAATTAGGGCTGCAAGATTAATCACAATTGAATCAGGATCCCAGTTTGACTGAACAGTCAATATTCTGCGTAAAAACGGATAACCCTGTAGTTTAGAGCTTCATACAAACATGTTCTGTTAGTTTGTCAGTTCTTATTTCAGTCCTTCGTTTTGTCAGTCCTTCTGTACAAGTTTAAAATGTGAACTTTGGGCAGGATCCTTGTCATAATGCTTGTCCTTTTCTCAAATCGTTTAGCCTTACTTTGAATGTCTTTGTGGTTGAACTGTGCTCTTTAAATAAACCTATTTTGCCTTTTTTTCAGGCATGTTTCGACTGCGCGGCCAAGAACCCGTCCTGGGCCAGTATCCCGTACGGAGTGTTCCTCTGCATCGACTGCTCCGGGATCCACCGCTCTCTGGGCGTTCACCTCAGCTTCATCAGGTGAAAGCACTTTTTTATGTTTAACTGTCAAACAAGCATCTCATTTATTGAAACATGTTGAGAAGAAATGTACAAGCCCCAAGCTAAATGTCACGTGTTGTATTAACTAAGAACATTTGTGTGTTTTTTTATTAACTTAGATCAACGGAGTTAGATTCCAACTGGAACTGGTTTCAGCTCAGGTGTATGCAGGTGGGAGGCAACGCCAATGCAGTAAGTACAAGAGAACACTTATACAATGATCATAAAATAGTTTTCTTTTACAGTAGGGGTAAACAGATTTTAAACAGAAAAGTGTAAAGTGTGTACAGTATCACGCACACCAGATTACCGTATTTTCCGCACTATAAGGCTCTTTTCAAACTTTTTCCACATATAAACTGCACCGGACTTTAAATGAAACACAACAGTTGGATGGGTGAGTGGTTTTGTTTATTTGTGGCGTTCACGGTGACTCTGGGCCCGCTGGATTGTCGGCGTGTTCGCAGTGACTCAGTTGTTCAGTTGTATCTAGAAGTGGCACATTGCACTCACTTTTTTGGTTCGTTCCTCCGTTCCGTTCCTCGTTGGCGTGGAGTGATGAGTGTGGCTGCGGGTTTTTTTCGCTGTGCGGTCACTGTCTGCTCTGTGTGTGTTTGCATGCGTGCTGCGGCTTTGTAGTTTACTGAAGTCGTGCTGGGACTCCTGAGTGGATTCGTGTATTGGGCGCTCTGGATTGTGGGGCGCAGTCGTTTTTTTGATGTGGTTGGAGACTTATGAGCACGCCCTATGGTGCGGAAAATACGATAATCTGAATCGAGTCATGCGTTAAAATGGAACATTTCTCTCTGAAAGTGAACACCAGAACATCAAGACTAATATTTGAAATTTGAATTTGTCTGGTCGAAGCATCAAAACAGGGGAAAATCTAACTTTTTGTTACATCCAGTTGAGAGAAAAACAACTGCAAGTTTTTCACAAACTGAATAGTCTGTATTGACGCTAAAATAAGCTGAAGTAAGTCTAAATAAGTAAGTCTGCTTTGGTTCACTTGGGTGTATAGAGTCTACTCTTTAGTATCGAAATAGTTTGAAATTTTAGTAACAACACTACTCATGAGAAATATTGCCCCTAAAAATAATAGTTCCTTATGTCGTGTGTTGAACGAAAAGTCAAGACATGTGAATACTTAATAACATTGTGTCAAAGTGTTTGTGAAGGCCAAGTACACATGACAGCCTCGGATTTATTTAATCTGATCCTTTTCCTGTTGCATCTAGGCACATTATTGTAACTAGTTTAGGCATTTGGGGTTAAGTGCTTTGCTCAAGGGCACAACAACAATAAACAACAAAAATGTTTCTTTTGTAACTTCAACAATTTGCAGGCCATTATGCAATGTCCTCACTTTGAGCTGTCAAAGTACTAAGTTTGTTTTGTGTCTCTGGGCAAGACACTTCCACCCTATTGCCTTAACAATATCATTAAATCAAAATCTGTTAAAAGTTATTATCGATTTTATTATCATTTTTTTGTACTAAATTGAGAGAAATCTTAATTTTCTGCATATTTAACACCTTTGATTTTACTGATATAATTAGGCATGGCACAATAATTACTACATTAACACTTACTAAGTATAAATCTGTAATAACCAGCTGTTTTATTGTAATTCAGCTCATCTGTTGAAGATGCAAAAATAATTATATATCGAATCGTTTAATGTGATGATACAGTATCGATATCGTGGGCTGCTGTATCGATATATCACCATTGTTGTTTTGTATATTTTACTAAATTATTTTGTTACAGCGCTACAGTTTTGTTGCTTGTTTAGTGGAAGGAAACTCGTTAATGCGACACATTTGACATTTTCACTGTTAAAATGTTTGAGTTTCATATGAACTTTGCACAAGAAGTGGGTTAACAAAGACTTTTAGGATCACAGCCATGACTTAGCCTTTATTTTCGTTGAATCGATTTGAAATATTTTGTATCGTATCGGCAACTTGTTAATGATACCCAACCCTATTTAGAAAAGATCTTTGAAATATCATAGGGCTGTGTCAGTGTAATAAAATGGTATCCAGTATTATAGTTTCTTTAATAATAATAATAATTAATATTTTATACATATTTATATATTACACACTTCAAAATTATTAGTAGCTGGTGGATTATTGAATTTTGTAATAGTGTTCCTCGGACTGTGGGACCTGAGCTTCTTCAATTTAGAGTTAATTTTACAGTTTTTATCCTCCTTCTGGATAATTTCTCATTTTGAAGTACATTGGATATGATGTACTTCACTTTTAGACCAAGATTAGACCCGGAATAGTCCTGATCTGCGTACACCCCTAAAGCCAAATCTTGTCTTTGTTGGATGTAAAAGTTTAAGAGCCACTGTTCTAATGTTTCGTTTCCCCGGTGGCAGACGGCGTTTTTCCGTCAACACGGCTGCACCACGAACGACACCAACGCGAAGTACAACAGCCGAGCGGCGCAGATGTACCGTGAGAAGATCCGGCAGCTCGCCAACGCCGCCCTGTCCAAGTACGGGACAGACGTGAGTACAGCCGAGCACCTGCACCTCACAGCAACAGGGGCCTTTGAGTCTCTTATTGTGTGGAGCTTACACAATATAGATCGCCATATTGTTTATTTGAACTGGGTAAATCAACTGTTTTCCCTTTGAAATTATTGATTTTTTTTCCTCTACAAAATTAAATGAGAAGTTTATTTCAGGAATCTCAGTGTCCAAAAAGCACTTTGTAAATCTAATGCTCTATTTTTATTTTATTCCGAATTGAGCACAGTTTGAATTGTGGAGTTAATATCCAAAATGTACGTACTTTGTAACATTGCAATTTGTATGATTTATGAATTATACATTTTTATTGCAGTGGTTTCTTTTATTTTTTTCGCTAATCGATTTTGAAGCAGTACAAAGCAATATTTTCTCAATTGATTTGTGCAAAAACGCAACCTGATTATGAAGAGAAGGGCAATTTATTTTAAAAATTGAACCTTGGATAAAATTTAAGGCGATCGTGCTGCTCACATTTTCTCTGCTCAGCTCTAACTGCAACAAAATGCTGCTCTACTTTTCATCTTGAGCAGGCATGTTGGCCATTTCCTGTCAGCTTCCTGAGCTGCAACACAAACTCACAAACACAGGCTCCGAGTCCATTGTTTTCAACAACTGTTTTCATTCACTGCAATAGATTAATCTTGAACTGTAGTGTCAAATGGGAGCTGACGTCCCTGTAAACACACAAAAAAATCACAACAAAGAGCCGTACGTCTCGTTAGTGAGTAGTGGATTTTTTTCTTTTTCATTTGTGCAGAAATTACTACGCAATGCTGCCAAATCCTACATGTATCACTGATTAAGAAATACAAATAAATTAAAAAATTAACAAAGTACAGAGTATTGGTGGGGGGAAACGGGCTGATCAGAGCAATGACGTCTTGAATACATGAGAATAAAGATTACCATATTTTTCGGACTATAAGTCACTCTGGAGTACAAGTCGCACCGGCCAAAAAATGTGTAATGAAGAAGAAAAAAACATAAGTCGCACCGGACTATAAGTTGCACTTTTTGGGGAAAATTTATTTTATAATTTCAGGGACCGGAAACCAAGATTTCATGGTGAAAGTCAAGTTCTAGTAACAACAGAACAGAGAACAACAGGCTGTTAATGTCACATATGAACAGTTCTTCAGATAAACTATAACATAAACAACAGAACAAGTTTACCAAATTCTCCATCTCACTCCAAATCACTAAATCCATTGAATTCTTCATCCTCTGTGTCACTTTTGAGCAACTTTGCGCAACTTCGGTTTTCACTGAATTCCAAACTTTGTGACTTATAGAGACTTCCAGGAAAGTTGCATGGCGCACCCTCCCAGTTCCCGTGAAGCTGTGTTCTCCATCCCCGCTTTCCGCAAGTCCCTCATAAGTTTCTCGCTCACTCTAAGCTTACTTTCTGCTGCTCAATTACCGTTTTCTGCTGCCTATTTCACTACTTGCAGCAGGACAGAGGCTTTTTCTGCAGGAAACATGCATAGAAAACTGACGCACAAGCCTACAGCGCCCCCTCCCAGCTGTCAGTCTGAAAATTTTAATATATTAGTCGCACCAGAGTATACGTCGCATGAAATACCCAAACCTTGAAAAAAAGTGCGACTTATAGTCCTAAAAATATGGTACTCAAACATGCACCAATCATTCTAAATAAAACTTCAGAGTGTAAATGAGGAGTGTGAAACAACTATGGCGTGGTTAAAAACTCTGAAAAATCTTGCAGCATAAGTCCGCTTTAAGATCTTTTTCTTTTTTACAGCTGTGGATCGACTCTTCGTCTGGAGCCAACACTCCCGCTGGCGAGAAGAAAGAGACAGACTTCTTCGCAGAACATACACAGGTTTGTTAACTGCCTTTAAATCAGTGCAAGAAAGTAATTTCAGTGTTTCCCGTACATAGACTAATCTGTGGCGCAGCACCACAGAATGAAAACCAATGACCACAAATTGATTCTGCCTGTTTCCCTTTAGTAGTTTCTTATATCTAATTATAGTATTTTATTTATTTTATTTGTATTTTATAATTGTTAGATTATACTACTTAATTTTGTTTTACCAGAAAAAGTTAAATACAAGAACAGTTTATACTATTGGTTGAGCTATAGGTCTTGAGTTAAGTATTTGAAATAAAAACCTCAACATTTTGTTGTTGGTTTTTTACCTCCGCCAAGGAGGTTATGTTTTTGCCGGTGTTTGTCTGTTTGTTTGTTTGTTTGTTTGTCTGTTAGCAACATAACGTTATAGACCGATTTTGATGAAATTTTCAGGATTTGTTGGAAATGTGAAAAGGAAGAACTGATTTCATTTTGGGGGTGATCCGGAAGAAATCCTGGATTCTGGATCACTTTGAAATTTTAGTTAACATTGTGGTAAATGGGGCCAAAAATTTTGTTTCTCAATATCTCGGTTAATTATTGACCAAATCCCATGAAATTTGACTGAGGGATGGACAATGGGATCCTCTTTCATATTCCAAAGGCTGATCCGGATCTGATCCAGAAGACTGATTTTATCGCAATTTATATAAAAAATGGGGGTAGTCCTTCCTCTCTGAGTGCTTTTCTAGTTTTGTAATTAATTCCTTGAATGTCAAAGAATCTAAAGTTCAGGTAAAAGCTAAACTTTAACATCAATTGTGATAAGTAATTCTCAACTTGAAACTTAAAATACAGGTCTTCAACTAACATAATTTCTATGTGCAAAGTGTACTGGTGCGCCTTACAGTCGCTCTCTGATCAGGGGAGAGGGCACCACAGAATACTGCTTGGTCTGTGGAAAGCACTGAATGTCCTGAAACAAATATAAGAAACACAAATCTCTGTTAAGTGTGAAAAATGCTCTGTGATGTATTGACCATTATGAGCACGAGTGTCTGGTTGGATTGAACGATATGTGTTAAATGTCTGTGTCTGTGTTCAGGAAACCAATACTGAAAGTTATTTGAATTTGTTTTTGAAAAGTAAAAATGTAATTGAATTGAAAATTGAGATTATAGAAATTAAATGAATTGTATGTGGCCTGCACTCTTACAGTTTAAAAAAAAAAGGTTTAACAATCACACCTGAACCTGGGTTGTCAGTGCCTTAACCTACAGATATAGAGTCATACACGTTTTCCACCATCCTATCAAGATGAGTTATATTTTTAACTTACTAACATTGCTGCGTTCTTAAAGAATCTCATGCAAGTTTTCTTTTGTTGTTTTCAGGTTTCTAACGACTGGAACATGCTGTCTCCCACTGAACCAGAGCAGAACGGTTCCTCTGTCACTTCACCACAGACCGACTCCAACCCAAAACTCCAGGAAGATGCTCGTACGTTAAACTTCTACCAAAATATTAATATAATGTGTTAGTCTTATATCGCGCTTTTCCAGACGCTCAAAGTCGCTTTATATTGTCGTACATTATTAATTCACTCTACACTATTGGTGGTAAACTGCTATTGTAGCGCAGCTGCCCAACACCACCAACATTCACACACACTCAACACTTTCATATCTGGCAGTGTAGGTGAAGTGTCTTGCCTAAAGACACAATGACACTGGCGCCCCAAAATGCTAGCTTGATTCATCAGCCCCTTTCACTTCGTGGAAACCATCTGACCTCGCAGCATTAGGATTCGTTCGCTTGACAGTAGGCGTTTTTTTAAAAAAAATTTATTTAACCAATCGCTGCTATTTGGTCGTGACGTATGTAATATACCAAATCCCGTAGGAAGAAGAGCAATAACGTGATAAAATTCACCAAACATTCTCTTTGTTCCGACTTTAAATCCTCGATCTCGGGAATCGTTGCCAACACAGAATGTCTGTCTTCGTCTATATCCATCTCGACAGCTTTGTTTACTGTTGTGCTGAACCACAAAAGGGACCCAGACAGGTGCTTGAGTTTGACGTCATGGCTTCACAGCTCTTCTCTGATTGGCCGGTGTGCTGTCTACAACTTTTGGGGTTCTCGCAAACTGTCTAGTGTATTTTTATTCCTGACCTCGTCACTGAAGAGAAATGAAATTGCGCGGAGGTACTAGGTGGCGCCAGCCTGGATACCAAAATGCATGAACAAATTTTTAAAAAGTTATTTTTGTTTTCTATAGAGCCAGAGGAGGGGCCAAGCATTGATGGGCTGAGCACGTCTCCTAAAGCTGCTATTGGTGAGTAAAAATAAGAATGCTAATTTTCAATATTAAACCGGTGCCAATATCTGGGAAAAACTTCGATATCACGAATGCCAATATTGGAGCCGACCTATCGCCCATTCCTAGTTTTCAGAGAACACTTTTATTTTGATTTATAGTTCATACAGTTTACTTTTATGTTTTGTAAAAAGGAAACACTCTAAATTCTACCTGGGGTGGGTCCAGAGCAGGGTTGTCAGAAGTATTGAAAATCAGATACTAATCAATAATAAAACGAGTATCTAAACTAGATACTAATTTGAGCAGGTATCGATACTAAAAATACTAAAAGTCATATTCACAAGACAGAAATGAACCTTTCCTGAATAGTTTTAGAATGATTTTGAGCTGTATCAGAACAAGTATAAGAGCACATAGACTAGTATACGCACATGGACACTATGGAACCTCCCAATGGGGTATTGGAGTCGGTATTGAGTATTTTCCTTAGTAACAAAATCGAGTTTGAACTTTTAGTATTGTGACAACCCTAATTTTGCACCTTTATATGGAACCATAAACATTTCTGAGAACATCTATAGAGGCCTTCCCTCACCTACCTTCAAAATACCACTTTTTACATTTTTGTACAACCTAATTTCTCATCTGTCAATCATCGGAGCATTTTCTGTAGGAGTTTGTCAGATGCCATTTGTTCTGCTTTAGAGAGGTAGTCAGGTTGAATGTGCTATCATAAAAAGACACATGTTTTGGAGATTATTTTGACTGTAAATCATGCGACTCTGACATTGAAATATTCTTGGGACTCCATTGATGCTTTGCAGCTGATGTCATCACTGTTCTCTGGGGGTGTGACGTGAACTCAGTGCTTCTCAATTATTTTCTGTCACGCCCCCCCGGAAAGACGAAAACATTTCATGCCTCCTCACTCCACAGAATCACTACCAAACATGGACAAATCTCACACTCACCTTCAGTCGCCTACGAACGAGAGCAAACGTTTCAGTCATGTCTCCAAAGCGATGTGTCCGTTCAGATTCCGCGCTCACCTGCGTCATGAGGCGGCCGCTCCTGTGTCCTCCTCGTCTTTAACGATCATGACGTTGTTATATTTCGGCAGTATCGGCTCCTCTGCTCGCTGGTTTACTGAAGTAGCATTCACAAAGTGGGTTGATTGTTGGAAATATCTGGCACGTTTTCACTGAAAAAACTCAAGTGGCTTATCAGCATGATTGGGGTACAATGTCTTTTAGCAATGCCGTAATTTATTTGGCTTCATGCTGCTCGCTGCCAACATTTTTAGACACAGTAAACACAGCGGTCTTTCCTTGTTACCCACCATAGTCACAGTGAAGCCAAGCGCAACTTGGTGCAAAAAACCCGACACTATATGACACGTATGATTTTGATATCGTTACATCCCTATTTAACATAATTCTTACAGTTAAGGTGTTTAAAGTTGGTTATTGTACATCCCACTGCATCCTATAGTTCAATATTAATACACATGGGGGCAGCTAAAGTTAAGTCAGGTCTTGGGTTTGGACTAATAGAAAAAATCAGGTTCAACATTTGTGAATTTACCTTTTGGCTGTAATGGCATAGATGCTACATTGATGACACATTAACAAAGGTAATAATATTTTACTTATTATCCACTAGAGATGTAGCAATAACCAAAATATCATGATATCATATAGTCAGAGACTCACAATAATATCGTGGGCTGTCAGAGTATATTGAATTAAAAGTTTGTTTGCTTAAATGCATTTTTTTTATAGTAGCAATGGCTAATAAACATCAGGAACTACATATCCCATGATTCATTTCAGCGCAGACAACATGATATAATGTGTTTTTTACTGGAATTCTTGGGTTTATGACAGTAAGAATTCACACAAAAATCTTGTCAGGGTAAAAGCCAAAAAGTGTCCTATCTACAATTATATCAGCCTCTCCAAAATATGCCAATAAATATCGAGAGATTTGGATATTGTTACATCTCTATTATCTACAATACATAGAATTCAGAAATCTCTTGGATGGGGGTCGAGAGCTACAGGTAGTTCCCGAGCTACAGGTTGAAGGCCCCTGGTCTAGTCTGTTCATGGACTGCTTTAGTTGAAGGTATAATTAAGTGTTCTAAGAAGACAAAAGGCTATGACGCAGTCGTGTCACTGTCTGAAAACTGAAAAAGATGTGATGGGAATTTGGTTTTGGAAATAGATTGCTACTGATTGCTGCTATTATTTAATCTATATCATATCTTCTGCATTGGGGTTGTCAAAAGTATTAAAAATCAGATACTAAAACAATATAGAAACTAGGAATGGGCATGATTAGTCGACTAATCGATAATTGATCATTAAGAATTTCGTCGATTATGTTCATTTCTAATTGACAAACCGAATGTGGGTTTCTGTGCGTAGAGACAAGGCTGCGTCTGACAGCGCAAACACTGGAATTGCGGCCTCAGTCCAACATTTGGGCTCTGGCACCTCTTTGGAGACACTGTACCTCTCAGTGAGTGTGTTTACATGCACATTAGTGTCCCGGTTTGTCATGGTGCATGTTTACGCAGTATCCCGGTTACTGCAACATAAAGAGCTGCGCTAAACCTGCACACGTACGATCTTTGAAAACATCGTGACAAACACACAGAACAGACTCACCTTCAGCATCAACATCCCTCTGTCACAGAAAGAACACCTATATTCCACTGAGTCGTGTCCTTTAGTCCGACAGAAGCTGAACCACATCAGCGCACAAGAGCGTGTTGTTTTTTTTCTCCACTTAGTGTATACAGATTAGCCATGCAGTTTTAAGCTTAGTTTCTGTGAGACTTGCGCAAAGTTGCATTAAACACATTCTAATCTCAAACGGGCTGATGTGGTTCTAGAGTGTGTATGGTTTATATGTTGTAAAGTTGAGTTTATTTATGCAGATTAGTAATATTAATAATAATGAGGATACTTATTACCGTATTTTCCTGGCTATTAGATGCACTCTTAAGCCTCCAACCCCATCAAAAAACGACCGCGCGCCCCACAATCCAGAGCGCCCTATACGCGAATTCACTCGGGTGTCCCAGCACGACTTCAGTAAACTACAAAGCCGCAGCACACGCAAACACACACGGAGCAGACAGCGACCGCACAGCGAAAAACACCCACAGACACACTCATCACTCCACGCCGATGAGGAACGAAACGGAGGAACGAACCGAAAAAGCGAGTGCAATGTGCCACTTCTAGACACAACTGAACAACAACAACAAAGCCCAGAGTCACCGTGAACGCCAAAAAGTCCGACTGACCCATCCAACTGTTGTGTTTCGTTTAAAGTCCGGTGCGGTTTATTTGTGAAAAAAGTTCAAAAATAGACCATTTAATGACAGTGCGCCTTATAATCCAGAGCGTCTAACAGCCTGGAAAATACGGTATATAAAAATGTTAATGATTAATAAAAAATTGATTGTTAATTTTCCCGACGATCGATTAATAAAATTTCATCAAATGCCCATCCCTAATAGAAACTAGATACTCATTTGAGCCAGTACCGACACAAAAAAAAAAATCACATTCACGGGACAGAAATGAACCTTTCCTGAAGCTTTAGAATGATCTTGAGCTGTATCAGAACAAGTGTAATCGCACATAGACAAGTTTAGTTTAGTTTAGTTTATTTATTTATTTATTTAATGAGACAGGGACGGTGCACAATCTATATTAACCTTAACAGGAGAGATGCTTGTACCAGGTTACAGCGCCAGTGCCAATTCCCACCTGTAGTCCCTCGGCAGGTTGATGTTATAGTTCATAAAATCAAACATACAAAGAGAATGTCTTTATAATGTCCAGAGCATCATAATAGTTCTGTATCATGATTCACTCCCGGTTCTCTCAGCATCTTAAAAACATTTTTATCAAAGGCATCATTTATTTCATTCACTCCAGAGTAGGGACGGGCATTTGATGAAATTTTCTTAATCGATCGTCGGAAGAATTAACAATCGATTATCAATTAATCATTAACGTTTTTATATTAAAATGATTATCATTATTATTACTATCTGCACTACTAATCTGCATAAATAAATTCAACTTTGACATATAAACCGTAACCACTCTAGAGCCACATCAATCCGTTTGACATTATAATGTGTTTAATTCAGTTTTGCGCAACTCTCACAGAAACTAAACTTAAAACCACATGGCTAATTTGCATAAACTAAGTGAAGATAAAACTACAGCTCTTGTGTCGCTGATGCGATCAATTTCTGTCGGATTAAAAGACATGACTCAGTGGAATACAGGTTAGTGTGACTATATTTGCGTTTGTCAAAACCAGGACACCGTACGGGAGGAGGGAGGTGGGGACTCGTCATCGACATTGCGCGACTCTCACCTGGCAAAACTTTTTCCCACTGGACACTGAAACATATGTGCTGCTTTGTGCACTGTGCACATGGACTCACACTTGTCCTGAACGCAACGGAAAGCCTGGAATTTCTCTTACAAGTCATCGTTAAATACGCATTTGTGCTTCGGTACATTGCAGGCTGACCGAATGTTTCTGTTTGCTCTCTCCTTCTGAGTGCAGAGAGACACATGTACGGACCCCCGTTTGGTCACGCTACACACAGCAACCTACATTCGGTTTGTCGATTAAAATTAACGCACTCGATGAAATTCTTAATGATCAATTATCAATTAATCGATTAATCATGCCCATCCCTACTCCAGAGCATCACTTTCTCTTCAACTCATCAGACACTCATCAGTCCACATTATGGGCGCAGGTTTGGTTTGAGAGGAGCCGCTGTTTCGCCAGGCGTGAAAATGTGCCATAGTTTGTACTTGTGATCAGCTCAGTTGGTAACATGTTCCACTGACGGACGGCTGCGCATGAAAAGGCTCAGTTTCCAAATGCCGTCCTGCGTTTGGGGATCCTGCACTCGCCGCGCACAGTAGATCGAGTGGCTCGGGAGGTGGTTTCAGAGCTCAGAGAAACATCTTAAACAGCAGACAAACATTTGCGTACATTATCAGATTTTCAAAACTTAAAATACTGTTTCACAAGAATATGACAATGATGGAAGAGACGACTTTTCTTGTCATGTGTCTTGAGAGCGCTTTTATATGATGATTCTAGAGGCCTCAGAGCTGATTTACAAACCTGCGACCAACTCGTTATGTAGTAAAGAAACAGTGGTCAGGGAGTTTCTAATATATCTGAAATTGGCCATGTTAAATTTTATCGTATTTGTTAATTTGTTAACTCAAGTATACGCCCCTGGACCACTGAGGAATTACACAGATATGAGACCACATGGGAATATTTTAAAAAGTGCTATGATTTCATGTTTAAAATCTCAAAATTGATTGAAGATCGTGACAAAACTATGCTTTACTGCCCCAAAAACTGCAATTACATTTTCCCGCAAACTTGTAAATCCCCAGTTCCAAGATGGCGGCGGATCAGGTTGGGTTGGTTGTAGAAAGTGATATTTATTGCTGGTTTGGTTTTCGTCCTATAGACTCGTCCATGCGTTTGTCATCAGGCCTTACCCCAGCGCCTCCGGGTAACTGCTCAGTCTTAAACCTCTGCATGCCCCTGACGCTTTGAGTGACGGCTCTCTGCACCGCGCTGCTGTTTGTTGCAAAAGAAAAACTCAACTAACCCGCAACACAATGAAAGCTATGTGTGAGAGCGACGTGAGCTGACAGACGCAGAGAAAACTTCCATATAGATAAATCCTTCTATATGCATTGTTCAGATTATTTCAGTAAGACGTGTACACAGAAACACGCAAGGATAAAAGGTTCGTGACACTGATTATAAAGCATATACTAGACATAATAATAAAGGTCCTAAATTACACAAAATGTACCTTTTTGTGAGCTTTGAGCCAAGTTAGAAGATCATTAGTGCATCAAAAACACACCCAGAGTTGTGTTTTGTCTCATTCACACATGTTTTAGTGATCCTGGATTATTAAACTGTATCTACATTTTAACTTTAGTTCAGTAGAGATCATCCAAAAGACTCTAGAAAAGGTGTATGGAGTTTAAAAACACAGTGGAGTACTTAGTATTATGTAGTTGTGTACTGACAGTAAAACCATCTGCTTATTTGCGAGTTCATACTTCAGTTCTAACAGGATTTGTGGGTGAAGTGTCTTCAGGGTTCCCACGGTCATGGAGATCCTGGAAAAGTCATGGAGATTGAAAATGTCATTCTCCCCCGGCCTGGAAAAGTCATGGAATTTTAGTATCTCTTTCACACAACTACAACGTTTTGTTAAGTTTTTGTTAAGTTATCAGTAGAATATAATGATTATTTCTGTTCATTCGTTTTTCAATATTAAACCAAAAATAAGAAAACGAAAAAAACAACTGTCTTCTTCAATATTTGTCTCCAAAACCAAAATGAAAAAAAAAACAGATAACGATTTGTTTTTTTCAGTTTTTGATTTTGTATTTAAAACGTGACTTAAACTGCGATGCTGGACTGAACCAGGTCCAGGATCAGACCAGAAACAGACCAACACTGAGACCAGGATTTAGACCGAGACCAGACCAAGACTAAGCCTGGGACTGAGGCCTGGGACTGAGGCCTGGGACTGAGGCCTGGGACTGAGGGCCGGGACTGAGACTGTTTAGTCCAAGTTTAGTCCTGGTTCAGTCTTGGTTCAGTCCGCATGCAGTGCAAAAGTCCCACATCACAGTTTAAGTCACGGAAACGGGAAACAGTCTTTATCCGTTTTTTTCCATTATTAATTTAAACACAAAATCAAAAGATAAAAAAAACAAATCATGACCTGTTTTTTTCATTTTGGGTTTAGAGACAAATAAGTTGGATAAGAAACCAGTTTTTTCGTTTTCTTATTTTTGGTTTTATATTGAAAAACGAATGAACAAATGATACATGGATTATTTTCGAAAGTATGCGCCTTTTTTTTTTTTTTTCTTAAGAGACGACAATAAATGCACTGACAGTATTTTGAATGTTAAAAATACTATAATCCCAAACCATAAGGTGAGTGAAAAGGGTTAACATTCCATATTTAGCCCTAAAAGTCTGATCGATTCTACACATGTAGGTGCCAAAATTCAGTTTAGATCATGAAAAAAATCACAAAAAGTTTTGAAATTTTGTCAGTGAAAGAGTGGGAACCCTGTGTCTTGCTTTTGGTTGTAGACGGTTGCTTTATTTGGGTCTAGATTGCCCCAGTGGTTTTGCTTGTTGTGGCGTTTATTTAATTTCAGTTAAATTCTTTGAGGGACTTTCTTCTTCCTTGTTAGAAAAGTGTTAAACATTTTTCTTGAAAATATTAGCGGCAAAGTTATTTTTGTCCTTGGGCTTCGGCAGGTGCGGCGGGTGTTTAAAGGCAGTATTTAAAGCACTTAAACAAATTCACATGGTACACGCCTCATTTCTGTCTGTTTTTGGCTTAAAGCAGTGCTCTTGGATGATTTAACATTTAACCTTTGGCTGAAGCTGGTCTCTCAAACTCGCTGCTCTGAAATGCTTCATATTAACTATTTATGCATCAGCCGTTTCATTACGACCACTGAAAAGGGAACTGAATTACGGACTAATTATCTTTGTGTGGGGAATGTACTGAGAGCAAGAGGAATTAAAAAATTTGACCAGTGTCTAGAGACGATTTGTCAAACTTGTAACTTCGTCCTGGTTTGGTCTCTGCTTAGAACTGGTTTAGACCTGGTTACTCCCTGTTCAGTGCAGATCTTGGTGAATTCGTGCAGTCTGGTCATAATCAGAGCTGGTTCAGTCCTGGTTCAGTCCTGGTTCAGTCCTGTCAGTCCTGTCTTAGACCTGTCTTAGACCTGTCTTAGACCTGTCTTAGACCTGGTTTAGTCCTGGGTTAATCCTGTGTTAGACCTGTGTTAGACCTGGTTTAGTCCTGGGTTAATCCTGTGTTAGATCTGGGGTAGGCCAGGTTTAGACCTGGTTTAGATCTGGTTTAGTCCTGGGTTAGATCTGGGTTAGATCTGGGGTAGGCCAGGTTTAGACCTGGTTCAGTCCTTCTGGGTTAGTCCTGGATTAGTCCTGTTTTAGCCCTGTCTTAGCCCTGGGTTAGTTCTAGTTTAATCCTGTCTTAATCCTGGTTTAGACCTGGTTTAATCCTGTTTAATCCTGGTTTAGACCTGGTTTAATCATATCTTAATCCTGGTTTAGACCTGGTTTAATCCTGTTTAATCCTGGTTTAGTCTTGGTTTAGGCCTGTCTTAATCCTGGTTTAGTCCTGCCTTAGTCCTGCCTTAATCCTGTCTTAGTGTGCCTGTGTGTAGCAGTGGTCATAATGTTCTGGCTGATTTTGACTGAACTGAAGTTAATTTTACGTCCTTTTGTTTTTTACAGACGTCAAACCTTCAATCATCGGAAAGAAGAAGCCCATGGCGGCCAAGAAAGGGGTACGTAACTTCATTACAATATCATGAAAAAGTTCAATAATTTTTGTCATACTCCTATAATATCGACTCATGACAGACAAAGCTTCACTCTGTGCCGTGAGTTTGATATTTTGTTTAGCGTGGGACTAAAATAATTAAGTAAAAAGTACCTGTCTGTCAGAATGTAATTGGTCTCGGTGAAAGAACAAGGAAGTATTTAATGAGGTCACAATAAACCATTACAAACCATTATGATTTTAAACCATTAAGCACTTTAGTTAATTAAAGGGATTCTCCAAGTTTTCGTTTATTTTACTTTAAGGTTTGGCAGCGTTTTTGGCAGCCAGACTGATTCTGGCTGATTCAGATTCTGTTTTGTTGTTCTTTTTAATTACCCATATTTGCCGATGTAATTATGGGTATTAAAAAAACAGAACATGATTGAGGTGTGATAATAATAAGTTGTAATGATTTGTATTTTATTGATGACTGTGTAAACATTTAACTTCACTGCTCTTCTGATTCTGTTTGAAATTTTAAACTAAACCACAACAATAGTCAAGAGAAAGATTTGATTAAAAAACAGAAAGAAAACAAATGAAATGAAAAAAAAAAAAAAGAGAATGTCCAATGTCCAATTGTATTTATCCATTATTTTTTGTTCACCCTGTAGTTTTTGATTGACGTGCTTGTGACATTTACATTTGCACAAAAGTTGGGTTTTATTTTTGTTGCGTGAAAAATAATTTGTATCCTTAACTAAAAAACATGAATAAATCTCAATTGGAGAAAATCAGGTATGCAACGAAAGGCTCAAAGGTTAAAAAATGTTTATAAAATCTGGAATTATCTGTCTTATTTCCAAACCATGGCAGCAAGTGAAATTGCATAAATGTAGTTTAATTTATCATTTATTATTTTTATTTTATTATATGCTTTATTATAATTTTATTTGTTTCATTTCATATTATATTTATTTTATTTTATATTTATTTTATATTATCTTATTTTTTATTTTATTGTTGTTTCTTTTAATAATTTTTCTTTTATAATTTTTCTTTTTATTTTCTCTCTCTTTTTTTTTTTTTTTTTTTTTTTTTCTTCTTCAGTGTTTATTTCTCGTACCTGTCTGGCTCATGTTCTCATGTTTACAATTTCAGGGTTTGGTTTTAGGGAGAAAAACTTAAAAATGATGAAGACCTGTTGTGTAATGTTGTTACAGAATATTTTGGTGAATAAATAAACCTTGGAGAATAAAAAGAAAAACAGAATAAATATATAAATTACACAAAAAGTTTAATTAAAATTCCTGTCTGTTGCTGAATACATTTTTCTTTTTTCCTGCTGTGACGTTTCCTTCCAGATTAATAAAGTTTAATATCTACAAATACAACAATTACAACTGTTGTAACACATTTAATACATTTTTTTTAATATATATTTTTTGTCGCGTTGCAGCTGGGAGCAAAGAAGGGCCTGGGCGCTCAGAAGGTGAGCAGTAAGAGCTTCTCTGAGGTGGAGAAACAGGCTCAAGTCGCGGAGAAACTGAGAGAAGAGCAGGTGGCAGAGGCCAAGAAACAGGCCGAGGAATCCATGTGAGTAAAGAGAAACTACACAAGTACACAAGATTATGCACCACTAATTATTAAATGAGATAATAAACACTAATTCTAAATGGGTTTTCAGTTGTAAATGACAAATATTAAACCTTAAACCTCCATTAGTTACAAGTTTTTAAGTAGACAAAGTATTAAGCAAAGGGGATCATTCTGTACTTTCAGCACTGCCCCCTGGTGGTGAAATAGAACTCAGCACACTGACTTGGGGAAACAGAAAATGTTGTGATAGATGCATTTAACCTGCTCTTCACATCTGTGTTTGTTTATTAAAATGTTGTTCTGTGTGTCCCAGTGTGGCCTCAATGCGGTTGGCCTATAAAGAGCTGGAGATCGACAGAAAAGTGGAAGAAAAGAAATTTCAGAATTTGGAGGGAAAGAAGAGGGAGCAGGCGGAGAGACTCGGGATGGGCTTCGGAAACAGGAGGTAATTATCTGTTTATAAATGTGCTTCTTGTTCATATTATTTATGTATTGTGTCAGATTATTTACTAGAAAAGTTACAGGCTCAGATTACTGTGAATCCTGATTTCTCTTCTGAATCTCTTCCAGTGCCGTGTCCCACTCGGTGATGTCGGAGATGCAGATGATTGAACAGGAGAGTCCCATCGGAGCAAAGACCTCATCCAGATCTAAGCTGGACCTGTTTGATGAGCCCGGGTTCACCTCTGGACCTCCAAAGTGCGAATCACAACAGCCTACAGCATCACATCATAATTACACTACAACTGACACTGGTGTGAAAAGGAGGAGACAGATCTATGCTTATGTTTTCATGAAGAAAATCTTAATAATTTTACTTTTCTAACTGTAAATTGGTTGCAATACTTTTGACTAGTTTACAACATATTTATTTTTTGTTTTTTGGACTATACAAACTATAATACACACACCTAAAGATGTTTTATAACAAAGATGTATTATTACTAAAATTCTCGATCTTTTTTTTTTTTTTTTTGCCGGTATCTTGTTAAAAAAAAAAAGAAGAAAAAAAGTACTTTAAATGCGTAGATGAACAGTCAACTAATTTAAAAAAAAAAAGGCCGACTAGTAGACTTCTAAAATAATAGTTTAGTTGCAGTTTTTGTTGAGTTTTTAGTCTTGAATTAAAGACTGTTTGATCTTCAAGTGTAATTTTCCCCCATTGAAACCTGTAGGAAACACTGAATAGTATGTTGAGTGTAATTCTAACTATCTATTCTTATCATGTTCAAATGTGTGTGTGTGTGTGTAGGTATAAGGATAACCCATTCACGATGGGCGAGAGTTTTGGCTCCAGGTGGGAAAGTGACACAGGAAGTGGATCTTTCACTGCTTCCTGGGCCTTAGACAAAGAGGAGCCCAAAGAGGAAATCACCATCTCCAGTATCCAGCCAATCGGGGAGAGGTATGCCTGATCCATCTGACCCTTTGCTCTGTTCCTCTGACCCTCTCCTCTGCTCCTTCTGCTCCTCTCCTCTGCTCCTTCTGACCCTCTCCTTTTCTCCTCTTTTCCTCTGCTCCTTCTGACCCTTTCCTCTGTTCCTCTGACCCTCTAACCCTCTCTTCTTTTGCTCTGCTCCTCTGACCCTCTCCTCTGTTTCTCTGACCTTCTCCTGCTCCTTCTGACCCTCTCCTCTTTTCTCTCTCCTGACCTCTCTCTCCTCTGCTCCTTCTGACCCTCTCCTCTTTTCCTGCTCCTCTGACCCTCTCCTCTGTTCCTCTGACCTTCTCTGCTCCTTCTGACCCTCTCCTCTGACCCTCTAACCCTCTCCTCTTTTCCTCTGCTCCTTCTGACCCTCTCCTCTGCTCCTTCTGACCATCTCCTCTTTTCCTGCTCCTCTGACCCTCTCCTCTGTTCCTCTGACCCTCTCCTCTGCTCCTTCTGACCCTCTCCTCTTTTCCTGCTCCTCTGACCCTCTCCTCTGTTCCTCTGTTCCTCTGACCCTCTCCTCTGCTCCTTCTGACCCTTTCCTCTGCTCCTTCTGACCATCTCTTTTCCTCTGCTCCTCTGACCCTCTCCTCTTTTCCTCTGCTCCTTCTTACCCTCTCCTCTGACCCTCTGCTTCGTCTGACCCTTTCCTCTGCTCCTTTAACATGTATGTGTGTTGTAATTCCCAGATTGCCCAGCAGGAGGAAAGCTGAAGCTCCAGCTCCCGTCTCCGAGTCGAACGAGGCTCGACAGAAGTTTGCCAACGCCAAGGCCATTTCCTCCGACATGTTCTTCGGACGAGAGAGCAGCGCCGAGGTGAGAATCCAGGTCTCCCATCTGTGCTGATGCAACAACTATTTTGTGCAAACCTTGATTTTTGGTTAATCAGATAACCCAGATTTTAGTCAAGGTAAATCTGATTATCAAGAACACCTGATGACGTGTCCGCAGCTTTTGTATTTGGAAGAAACGTAGAATGGATTTTAAAATATCTTTCAATCTTTAACATGTATTTATGCTTTACTTAAAAATAAGTTTGGATGGTTAATATTCTTCTTGAGTTGACTGTATTTATATACATTTGTATTTTCCCGTCAGTACGATGCAAAGACGAGGCTGGAGACGATGTCTGGGAGCTCGGCCATCAGTTCTGCAGATTTGTTTGGAGACGGCAGCAAAGGTTCAAACTCACCTCTCTCTAGGATATTATCATTACGGTTTGATCTGAGTTTATTTGCACAGGGACAGTGTAGTTGCATTGACCAAAAAGAGGAAGATTTCTTGTTCCAGGTTATAGAGAAGCCTTTTCCATTTCCACCATCACTTCCACATCTAGACCCTGGACAGGATGATGTTACAATCTCCAAAAATGACTCTTAATGTAGATGAAAACTTGACCTGAACATTCTAAATAATAATTATACATCGGTTTCATTTAGAGGATTTCTCAGTAACTCAAAGAAATGATGAAAACAAAACAAGTACTAAGTAAATACTGGCATATTCCATTTAATAAAAACAAACAAATTTCCACCCTTGGATCAAACACGACTAAAACAACTGCATCCAAACACATCTCCTCTTCTCAGGCACACACTAAACTTGTCTTTCCTGTAGCCATTTTCTTGTCAGGTGTGTTTTTTGATTGTAAATTTACTACATGTGATCATCTCTGTTTTTATAAAAGTCTAATCACGGTTTGTCCCTGTTGTCCCAGCGCGGTCCTCGGCCGGTCTGGACAGTGTTCTGCCCTCGGGTCCTGACATCACTCAGTTCAAACAGGGAGTGAAGAGCGTCGCAGGAAAGATGGCTGTCCTCGCCAACGGAGTCATGAACACCATCCAGGTCCGTGCACATTTGTACAGTGATCCATACACGTCTGAAAACACATCTGATGCTGCAACACTGTATACGTCAATAATATTTCATACAGATGGCGGCAGCTAAAATAAATATCGTTAACCTCCTAGGCTGGCTTTATTGATTTCTATTTGTTATTTGGGCTGATTGGGACCTGATGAGTGCAAAAACAAAGAATTATATTTTTGTATTTATATGTCCACATACAATATATAAAACGTTCATTTATGTTTTAAAAATTTTGATTGAACACAATATCAGGGTAGCCGTGGGGTCTTAAAAGTCTTAAAACGGTCTTAAATTTCATGTTCCTAAATTAAGGCTTTAAAAAGTCTTAAATTATGTTGTCCAAGTCTTATTTTTTTCACAAAGGTCTTAAATTTCATTAGCTTGTTTTTTTGTTTACTCAACTGGACTGTTCAGTGGAGGGAGGAAAAACAACAACAATGTTAATGACGTCTAATTTGGAGTCTGCACAAACAATACTTTGGTTTGTGGCACCAGCGGCAATGAGTAAACAATCAGTAGAGTGGACAGTGGAGGAAGATGCTCGATGGATCATGGAAAAGTGTCGGTTTAATCCACAGTGGCTCTTAGATTTTAGATATAAAACCGGTAGTTGGTTGGTCATTATTAGATTTGGGTCTGGACTTTTTCGCCAACATAATGAGTGCGATATTGGTCTTAATTTTCATTTAAATGGACTTAAAAAGGTCTTTAAAAAGTCTTAAATTTGGAGTAGTCAAACCTGAGGATACCCTGAATAAAGTCACAACTGAATAATGATTTATAAAAACTATTAAGTCTGTGAACAACCCAAAATATGTGGACGCCAGGTCCAAGAGGCTACAGATGTTACAGATTGTTGCTGTACTTTCCTTTGTCCTGTAGATGATTTTACATCAACTTGCCGAGGGACTGAAGATGGAAATTAGCCACGTTGGCTATAATCTTTACATGTTTACATTTTTAATGTTCATTAATATATGTTGTCCCTTTAGAAATAAAGAAAATAAGAAATGCAGATTTCCATTTCTATACAGTGAGTTCTAGGGTTTAGTAGTTGAAGTTGAAGTCAGTTTGTAATAAAAAATATATACTATGCTACGTTGTACACAAGTTATTACATCTTGAGATAAATAATTACAAAATGAATGAAGATTTTCACTAAAAACACTGATGACTCACCCAAATAGAGAATGTAGATTTGTTGACCTGGTTTATGGTTCAGATCTTTGTAAATACTGGACCTATCCACATGAAACAAATAAATAAACAATAAATGTCAGGATAATAACAAACAAAAGTGAAGTCAACAGCTTGTCAACCCCCACGAAATGATTGTCAGTTGAAATGATTTTAAGTGATAAAATGAGTAAGACAAATTTGTGGAGCCAATCTCTGAGCGTTTGGATATTTCTTTCTAAAATCTCCTGTAGAGTTTGTGCAGGCCTCTTTCCATCTGAAATTCTGAGGTTGCGTGATTGTTTAGGATTATCATTTGTTCGTAATATGTTAATTGTAAAAACTAAAACTATCGGTGGCATGTTGGTCCTAAATCCTTCTGTATTTTGTCTCTGTAGGATCGTTACGGCTCATATTGATTTTCCGCTCCCATTGGATAAACCCGAGCGTGTGGACCTGCCCAGCCTCTTCACCTGGATCCAGTCGCACGAGACCAGATCCGGACCCAAACAGTTTTCAAGGATTTTGCATGAAGAAAGCTCCGTCTTTCTAAAAACTACCATGACTTTTGGAGACATTTTGACACGAACCAGTATTCTCATTATTACTGCTTTTACTTTTTATTATTTTCGTACCAGCGACTTCAGAGGCTGTGTAGATTTTTTTGGTAATTTACATTGAGAATATTTTGGTCTTAGAGTTTCAATAATAGCTTCTTTATTTTATTCTAAATCAACGTGTTGTTTTTGGTATATTATGTTTTGATCATGTCAGAGCACGTGCATCTAAAAATGTCAATATTGTGAAACGTATTTATTATCAGATATTTAGGATTTGGTGCATATTTTCGTGCGAAACTCAAATTTATTAAACCATTTAGTGTTTTAATAAGCTATAAGATCAAATAAAACCCAAATTAACTCAGAATATTGACAAAAAACGCTAAATTTAAAGAGGGGGTATTATGCAAAAGTGTTTCCTCATTGAAAACATGTCTGAAGAGATCCATGTTTGCGTAATCTAGCGATCTCTCTCGGGCCCTGTTCAAACCCTTTTTAAGCGGTAAGATTTTGTACGAGGCTCCGCCCACAAGCCTACGTCACTCATGCTTCCACACAACAATTCTCCAGAAATAAACAAAAACATGGTTCAAAACTGTACACTACACAGGGTTCCCACGGTCATGGAAATCCTGGAAAAGTCATGGAAATTGAAAACGTAGTTTCCATGCCCGGAAAAGTTTAGTATCTCTTTTACACAACTGCAGCGTTCAGTTAAGTTCATCATTAGACTCATTAGAATATTATGATTATGGTAACACTTTATTTTAGGGTGCACTTATTAACATCCAACTATGCACTAATTAACTTACCGTATTTTCCGCACTATAGGGCTCTCTGGATTATAAGACGCACTGTCATTGAATGGTCCATTTTCAAACTTTTTTCACATATAAACCGCACCGGACTATAAGGCGCATTAAACGAAACACAACAGTTCAATAAGTCAGTCAAACTTTATTTAACGTGTTCACAATAACTTTCAACTTTGTTCAGTTGTAACATGTAAAAAAAAAAAATACTGTCTGAGACGCTAAATTGTTACAGTATTCACAATAACTCATAATTGTTCAAACAGTTGGGCGATTACGGCGTCCAGCACGCCCACATCCCTCTCGTCATTATCCGAGTCAGTGTGGTTACTGTTCCCTGGAGTTCAGTTCAGTGATGATTCTGGTCTTGGTGAAAGCTCAGACCACAGTTGATACCTGATCTTTAGCCCGGGCGTCCATGATCCTTTGACAGATCGTGGCGTAAGTCGCTCTGCGCTGTCTCTCTGTCTTGGTGAATGTGTGTTCGTCTTCTCTCATCCACTGCTCCCACGCAGCTCGCACTTTCACTTTATTATAGTCTTGAGTTTAAAGTGGGCGTTGTCAGCATGTCTCTTGACAGGTGCATTTTGATATTAAAAGGAATCACAGTCTGTATTACTCCTGATGCTCCTGACTACGGGAGTTGTAATACTGCAAGTGGTGTGGCTTTGTAGTTTACTAAAGTCATACTAAAACACCCCAATAAATTCATATATAAGGCGCTCTGGATTATAAGGCGCGCAGTCCTTTTTTGATTAAATTAAAGGCTTTTAAGTGCGCTCTATAGTGCAGAAAATACAGTAGTGTTAAATGGTTAATTTGTCATTAATTAGTATTTATTCAGTCCTTATTAATGTCCAATTCCCCACAAGATTATTTTGTTATTAGTTAGACATTTACAGACACTTTCCTATTAATATACTCCTTAGTACTTCTTAATAATATGAATAGGCCATTTTTGTCCATGAATTATGATTCTGATTTTTGCTTTTGGCACAAACAAGTAAAAACTAAATTTCTTGTGCTACTAGTGCATAACAACACGCTTATTACCAAATTAGAGTCATAATTCATGGACATAAATTACCTAGTATTATGTTAATAAGCAGAAATAAGGAGTGTATTAATAGGAAAATGTTTGTAAACATCTAACTAATAACAGAATAAGTTTATGGGGAATTGGCCATTAATAAGGACTGAATAAATACTAATGAATGACAATAAACCATTGACAGCTGTGCTAAATAGCAGGTAGTTAGATAAAATAAAGTGTTACCATGATTATTTCTGAATGTCTGCACCTTTTGTTTAAAAAGAGACGACAATAAATGCACTGACAGGATTTTGAATGTTAAAAAAATATAATCCCAAACCATAAGGTGAGTGGAAAGGGTTAACATTTCATATTTAGCCCTAAAAGTCTGAGCAATTCTACACACAATTCTTAGAAAATTCACTTTACATCATGAAAAAGTCATGGAGAAGTTTTGAGATTTTGTCAGTGAATAAAAGTGGGATCCCTGACTACAACTTCACAAACCTGAGGCGATGTGCAGTAGTTTCATTAACGGGACGCGCCCTGATTGTGTTGTGATAGCGCTCTGAAGGGGTAGAGATTTAGCGCAGAGAGCAAAGGCAGTGGGGAGTCAAAAAGCGTCAAAAACAAAAGCAAAATTTACTGTATTAAACATATTTTTGTCAAATACTGTACAGCGTTTTCTAAACAATAAAAGGAAACGCGGTGATCTAAAAATGTTACCCCCTCTTTAACTATTCTCCACTTTATTATTATTGGATCTAGAGAATTAAAACTTTCGGAAATTTTAACATTGCCAAACGTATTTAATCACAATATTCATGTTTTTGAGATGTGCATTTTATTCATTGTTCTGTTAAAATTTTAAGTATATTTTAATATCATTTGAACAGTTTAATTTGCAGTCAGTGTTCGGAGCACTAGTCTCGCTCCAGTGGTTTGTTTTCATGTTTTTATTCAGAAAAGCACTGAGATCATTTCAAATAAAACTCATAAATATACTGGCCACTTTATTAGGTACACCTCAACTCATTCTTTTTGTTTTAGGTAAATGGTTCAACTTTCTGAGACTCACTACAAGGAAAATATTTAATGAGTTTTTTGTAAATTTTTCTTTCAAATACAAGGATTCTTTAAGTTTTAACCAACTAGAGAACGTAAGAACTATCCCAGATCTGAAACAAGCCTAAACCACGGCTAAACCAGGACTTAACCTGGACTAAATTAGGAATAGTTATAAGGAAATGACCAAATCAAGTCTAATCCAGGACTAAATCAGGTCCAAACCAAGGACAGAACCAAAACAAGTTTAAACCAAGGACTAAACCAAGGAATAAACCAGGAATAAACTAGGAATAAACTAGGAATAAACCTGGAATAATACAAGAAAATAAGCTAATCAAGTTTAAACCAGGACTAAATCCAATCCAAAACAAGTCTAAACCCAGGACTAAACCCAGGACTAAACCAGGAATAGTTATAAGGAAATACCCAAATCAAGCGTAAACCAGGACTAAACTAGGACTAAATCATATCCAAACTAGGAACAATTTTAAGAAAAGAACCAAAACAAGTCTAAACCAGGACTAAATCAGATCCAAACCAAGAAAAGAACCGAAACAGGTCTAAACCAGGGACAAAACCAGGACTAAATCAGATCCAAACTAGGAACAATTATTAGAAAAGAACTGAAACAAGTCTAAACCAAGAACTAAACTTTTTGAGTCTCTCCAACAAAGACTGTTTCAGAACAACTGGTACAAGGAAACAAATACTTCTGACAGTGTTGAAAATCAGACACTAATCGATTCTAAAACCAGTATCCAAATTAGATCCTCATGTGAGCAGGTATCGATAATAAAAAAAAAGTCCCAGAATAGCTTTAGAATGATCTTGAGCTGTATTAGAATATGTATAAGAGCACAGAAACTATCCTTCTAATGTTGAAAATCACATTCTACTGTTTAAATAAAGTGTGTTTTTTATTATTATCATGGTATCGGAATCAGTATCGAGTCTGGTCCTTAGTATCGAAATCTAGTTTGACATTTTAAAACATTAACGTTTATATGGATAAGAACTGACCATGCTTCTCTCTGATTGGCTCATCCACCTGTCAATCACGCCCATATGTAATCTTGAGTGGCCAGGAAAAGCAAATTTAACCTTTTATAACACTTAAAAAAAAAAATCTAAAACTACAAAATTGGTTTAATCGTGATTTTAAGACATTGTTTTCTGTTATTGGGTACATCGTGGCATTTCAGAAAGTCGAATCAAATCATTTTTACGTTATTATTTAAGTCTTTTAATACAGAATAAATGATCCAAAAGGAAGTGAGACAATAGGAACTTGTCTGTACCTAATATTGTGGCCATTTTATTTGAGTCCTGTAGCTCATAAATGTCATAAACGTCATAAATCACTCTGCGTCTGTTTTAACAGGGTTGAGTTTCAGTTTGCCTCAGTGTCGTCTCTCTCTCTCTCTCTCGTGCCGCACTGCGTTTTTATTTAGTTTAGAAACATTTTTAAATTAGTTTTTTGTAAAGTTGGTCTTTCAAATAGAGGGATTTTTTCACTTTAACCAACTAGAAAATCTAAACTAGGTCTAATCCAGGACTAAGACAGGACTATACCCAGATCTAAACCAAGGTCTAAACCAGGACTAAACCAGGTCTAAACCGAGGTCTAAACCGAGGTCTAAACCGAGGTCTAAACCAGGTCTAAAACCAGGTCTAAACCAAGGTCTAAACCAGGTCTAAACCAGGACTAAACTGGGTCCAAACCGGGTCCAAACCAAGGTCTAAACCAGGTCCAAACCAAGGTCTAAACTAGGTCTAAACCAGGTCTAAACCAAGGTCTAAACCAAGGTCTAAACCAGGGTCTAAACCAGGTCTAAACCAAGGTCTAAACCAAGGTCTAAACCAGGTCTAAACCAGGAATAAACCAGGAATAAACCAGGTCTACACCAGGTCTAAACTAGGTCTAAACCAGGACTAAACCGAGGTCTAAACCGAGGTCTAAACCAGGACTAAACCAAGGTCTAAACCAGGACTAAATTAGAACCAAATCAGATCCAAACCAGGAATGGACCAGGACTAAACCAGGTCTATTGCAATTTTTTGGACTTTAACCCAGACATGAAATCTGGATTAAAAGGACTAAAGCAGGACTAAAAAACAGTTTAAAACTAGATCTCAACCAGGACTAAACTATGTCTAAACCAGGACTAACCCAAGTTTCAAACTAGACCTTAAACTGAACCAGGACTAAACCAGGTTTATTACAACTTTAATCAAATTTGGACTTGCTTAACAGCCATAGATTAGAAAATAAATATGGCTCTAAAAGGACTAAACCAGGACTAAAACCCATTTAAAACCAGATCTGGACTTGGACTAACCCAGTTCTCAACCAGAATTAGACCAGGACTAAACCAGTTTCACCACAGTCAAAATACCAGACTTGGTCTTATGAGATTTAAGGTCTAAATAAGGACTAAGCAAGATCTAAAACTAGTTGAAAACCAGATCTGGACCAGGACTGAGCCAGATCTCAACCAGGTTTTATGAAAGACTAAATTTGAACCTTGGACTTTTCTTAGTCTCACTGAAACCAGAACTAAACCAGGTCTTTTGGAAGTTTAATCAAATTTGGACAAACACAAATCTGCCATCGATAGTCCAAACTTCGTCTTGCAAGATTTAAGCTCTAAATGAAAACTAAACAAGGTGTAAAACTAGTTGAAAACCAGAACTGGACCAGAACTCAACCAGGTTTTATGAAAGGCTAAATTTGGACCCATACACTACTGTAGAATATGTTGAAAATCAGTCTAGCCCTGGTCTTAAATCGTTTTTAAACTTTGGTTAGTCTTGCTGAAACCAGATCTCAGCCAGGATTAGACCAGGACTAAACCAGAACTCAACCAGGTTTTAAGAAAGGCTAAATTTGGACCTTAGACTTTTCTTAGTCTCACTGAAACCAGAACTAAACCCGGTCTATTCCAGGTTTGACCAACTTCTTGCCAAAAGTACAAAGCTTGGACCTTATCTGGATCTGTAGTCTTGTATTTAAAAAGTACTAAACAAGAACTAAACCAGGACTAAACCAGGACTTTTGGAAGTTTTATCAAATTTGGACAAACACAAATCTGCCAGCGATAGTCCAAGTATCAAGTATGGACTTAAAAGGACTAAACCAGGACTAAAACCCATTTAAAACCAGATCTGGATTTGGACTAACCCAGTTCTCAACCAGAATTAGACCAGGACTAAACCAGGACTAAACGCGGTCCTAACATTTATCAAAAAACACATGCACCACTGTTGAGTCCGTGTACCAGAGTTTGAGAACCACTTTCTTAACAAACAAACCTCCTTTTTTGTTTCTGTCGAGGCAGATTTTACATTTACATCTCATCACGTTTATATTTTTAAGTTTTAATTTTGTATCTGTTTTTATTTTTAATCAAACTATGAGAAAACCAACTCAAACTGTCGATGGAAAAGTTATTTATTTGTAGGATAAAATGCTACTTATTCATATGTTAATAAAGGATAAAGGTTGAAAGGTAAATTGTTTGTGATTTTCAAGACTCGTGTTAAAAATATTAAGATAGTTTTGCTCTGGGGCAGATGGATGGAAACGTGTCTTGCTCAAGGACACGTCAGCAGTTTATCAAAGTTATATAATAAAGCCAGTATATGGATTATTTCAATCGGGTATTTGTACGGCTCGTGTGGTCAGTATTATTCAGGTATAAGTAAGTTTTTGTCACTTGTAGATTTACTCACACCAAAACTTTTACTCATTCTTTACGTTTTAACCAACTAGAAAAAGTAACAACGACACCAGATCTGAAACAGGTCTAAACCAGGTCTAAACCAGGTCTAAACCAGGTCTAAACCAGGTCTAAACCAGGTCTAAACAAGGATGAAATCAGAACTAAATTAGATTCAACCCAGGAATAGTTATTCCTCCAGAACCAGAGCCCTGACCACCCCCACATAAGAAAATAACCAAAACAAGACTAAACCAGGACTAAACCAGGTCTAAACTAGGTCTAAATCAGGTCTAAATCAGGACTAAACGAGGATAAAATCAGAACTAAATTAGATTCAAACCAGGAATAGTTATAAGAAAAGAACCAAAACAAATCTAAACCAGGACTAAACCACAATTAAATCAGGACTACATCAGGTCTAAACCAGGAATAGTTATTAGAAAATAACCAAAACCAGGACTAAACCAAGGACTAAACCAGGTCCAAATCAGGTTTAAACCAGGAATAGTTTTAAGAAAAGAACCGACTCAAGTCTAAACTAAAGTCTAAACCGGGTCTAAACCAGAACTAAATCAGGACTATATCAAGACAAAATCAGGTTTAAACCAAGGACTAAACCAGATCTAAACCAGGATTAAATCAGGACTATATCAGGACTAAATCAGGTCTAAACCAGGAATAGTTATAAGAACTGAGCTGAAGCCTAAAACTTTTTTTGATCGAATCGTATCGAATCGTGATGACCTTGCTAATTAGACCCCACACCCTGTACAGATCAGTAGGTCAAACTAACAAACAGAAACTGTAAACAAGTGTGTGTGTTAGTTTCAGTGTAGTTTCAGTGTAGTTATCTCCTCCCTGCAGACAGATATAAGGAAGTGTCCACCAGCGTCTGACCAGAACTGAAGAAGTAGCTTGGATGAGCTGAGAAACGTCTTCGACCAAACTAACTTTTGTCCATTCGACAAACTGAATTTTCTCCTCGACACATCAGTACAGTATTTTAGCCTCACTGATCTTTTCTATTCTATTTTATAACTTGTTTTCTAACTGGGAAATCACACTTTTAAATTTAATCATTGCATTTATATAGTGCCTTTCAAGATACCCAAAGCACTTTACAGTTCATTGTTCGTTCACTCTTCACTTGGTAGTGGTGAGCCACTACTGTAGCCACAGCTGCCCTGGGGCAGACTGATAGAAGTGAGGCTGCCAGTCTGCACCATCGGCCCCTCTGACCACCATCACTCATGCACACACCACGTTCATAATAGGCAATGTGGGTGAAGTGTCTCACCTAAGGACACAATGACAGTTTTTGTGACTGGCGCCCCCCTGTGGCACCAGATTTTCCCAGGTCTCCCATCCAAGTCCTGACCAGGCCCGGCCTTGTTTAGCTTCTGAGATCTGACTGGATCAGGCTTTGACAATCCGGTATGGCAACAATTTATTTGTTTGCATATTTTTGTTGCCGATTTAATAATTGGTGATAACGGTTGTTTATGTAGAAATTCTCAACAATTTTTTTTGAAGAAATTCCGCAACACGACACAAGAGACGCCCTGAACTAAAACACGCTCTCTTTAGACAAACGAAAACACAAACACGTGGGAACTGAAATTTTAACATTTCAAAAACAGAAAACCTTTTATTTGATTGCATATTAACACATTTGGGGAAACAGTCATTATTTTGTACAGTTTTAGTGCAAAATCTCACCACTTGAAAAGCCTTATCTTGTGAAATGATTAAATTATTATTAAGAATCTTGTCAGAATTTGCTCTTGGACAAAAGTATGAACTGCATAATATATAAATACAAACAGATAATATTACAAAACGGGTAATGACGAATCAACGTTTTTATCAAAGAACATTATTTTTAGGCTCGGCGATGCTTTTCATTCATAGAAATCAAACAGAAAATAATGATCTTAAAGTGCATTTGACAAGTTTTCATGTATTTCTAGTTCTGAGAGCAGTGGGAGAGAACCTGGGCGGAATTTTCATCATAGTTTAAGCGACGATTTGTGGAAAAAAATAAAGGTTGAGAGAAAATTACAGTTCAAAAACAGAATCCCTCTAATCCCCATGTCAACAAAATGGAAAAATCAAAAATAAAAAGACAGTTTATACACAAGAAAGGCATTTTTTTCACAGTTTAGACACTGATTCAGCTAAATAAAGGTGATGTATTTGTTAAATCATAATTATTGTGTCATTTTCACAAGTTTTGGCTCTTGTTTACATTATGGTTGCTAGGCAACACAGCTCTACGTATGTCATAGTAAAGTAAAAAACATCATCAAAATTACAAAAAATAAAGGAGATTTTAGTAAAATTTTAAATACAGTGAGAGATTTTGTGGTCTTAACCTGTCATATGCACTTCAGTGTTAATCCACGGGAGATTTTGAGACGCTAAAAGGTGCATTACGTAACTTTGCTGGCGTCCGGTCTGCTCGTCTCCATGGAGATGTACCGTAATAGAACTTTTTCACAACAGAGGGAAGTGTCCAGCTGTAGGTTTGCGGGATTTCTGGTAAAAAAAAAAAAATTTCTATGGTGAAATGTCTGTGGAAATGTCTCATGTATATTTTTCCAGCAGCTTCATAAATCTGATCCATCACCAAATCTTCAACCAACAAGATTGACAAACATGAAGATTTAATCCACAACTATCAAGGTAAGAAAGACGAAAACGTAACGGAGAACAACGACGACGCATTAGTGAACTACTGAACAAAACTAACATTATGGTCATGAATAACACAGAAGTAACTTGTTCACTCAGACTGATTAATCCGTGTGTCATTCGTTCATTTGTTTTTCAAAATAAAACCAGAAATAAAAAAAAAAAAGAAAAAATGTTTTTTTTTTTCAGTTTTTGATTTTGTGTTTAAACTGCAATGCAGGACTGAACCAGGAATGAACCAGGTCCTGGACAAGACAGGAACCAGACCGGGACTGACACAAGGACTTAGAGCAGGACCAGGACTCAGACCAGGACTCAGACAGGGACCAGACCGGGACTGAGACCAGGACTGAAAACATTTTAGTCCTGGTTCAGTCCGTATGTGGCGCAAAAGTCCAGAATCGCAGTTTAAGTCAAACGGGAAACGGAAAATCCGAAATGGCGTTATCCGTGATTTCACAATTCAAACTTTAAAAAAAATGACTGAAAATGAATTGTTTTTCATTTTGGTTTTGATTTTGGAAATCAAATAATGGAAAAGTTTCAATTTCGTTTTATTTTTGTTTTTCATTTTGGTTTTGGAGACAAATAATGAAGAAAACTGTTGTTTTTCGTTTTATTTTTGGTTTTATATTGAAAAACGAACAAACGAATGATACACGGATTCTGATTCTAGAATTAAAATTTTAAAATCACGCAGATATGAGCAGTTTGAATGCTACAGATGTTCACAGATTACATGTCAAGCATTTGAACTGCACAAATCTCTCTGTCTGTGCTAATATCTACATCATGAAATAGATTTTTAAATTTTAATTCTAGAATCAGTCTGAGTGAACAAGTTACTTCTGTTTTATTCATGACCATAACATCAGTTTTACTCAGTAGTTCACTAATGCGTCGTCGTTGTTCGCCTTCAAGTTTTCATCTTTCTTCCCTTGATAGTTGTGGATAAATTCTTCATGTTAGAATGTTTATCCTTTGTCGATCTTGTTGGATGAAGATTTGGTGATGGGGCAGATTTATGAAGCTGCTAGAAAATACACAAGTCATTTCCACAGATATTTTGCCATTGAAAACCATTAACATAATTGACGTTTACCCGACATTGCAGCACTTCTGACCAGAGGTGGCATCAAGTCGTTGTTTTACAAGTCTCAAGTAAGTCTCAAGTCTTTGGCCTCAAGTCTGAGTCAAGTCCCAAGTCAAAATACGGGCAAGTCCAAGTCTCGAGTCACTGGCCCATAAGTCCAAGTCAAGTCCAAGTCGTCTGCTTTGAGCTTCAAGTCATTTCAAGTCTTCAAACCAAAATACCAAATATAGCTTAGATTTTTACAGTTTATATGAATTTTAAGATAAATTGTACTTAAAAAAATCATAGTATATTTATATATGAGTATTTATAGAGTATATAAGAGTTGTAGAATTGTAATTTTTTCCTTTTAAAATGTTTTGACAAGATCTTCAAGTGAATCATTACGGTCAGAATAGAAAGAATTCAGATTTAAAAGTGCTTCTCAAGTCACAGGCCTCACGTCTGAGTCAAGTCCCAAATCATTGACCTTCAAGTCCAAGTCGAGTCCCAAGTCTCAGTCCATTTTATCAAGTCAAGTCTCAAGTCCTAAAAATAGTGACTCAAGTCTGACTCGAGTCCAAGTCCACACCTCTGCTTCTGGTCGTTGTAAAAAAGATCTATTACTTTGTCTGGAATGTTCCGTTTAACGTCACTATTACCATAGAGACAAATTGGAAACGCCGGCAGGACAAGTGAAGAGGTCAAATGTCAAAGTATTTTTAGCGACAAAAATACCTACAAATTTAAAGTTTAATGCCATACTGTGGAACATTCCAGAAGACAAGCACGTAACAAACCTAAAACCAGAATAGTTACATAGCGCACCTTGAAATGCTCTCAAAAGTAGGAGATAAGATGTTTTTTTCTTTCTCTAAACTGCCCACGGACAATTCCAACTCATTATTAACAAATATTTTACATTATTCATATAAACCCAGATTTTCTTGGTCACAGTACAGGAAGATTTAACCCCAGTTGTAGAAGTAGATTTCTGCCAAGTGGGAAGGTAGTCCATGAGCGGCCCTGAAAACACAGAGCGAGAGAGTTAAAATGTGAAATGAAATAATGACATAATACATAATTAAAGGTCCCACAGTTTTAGATCACCCTCATTTTTCCAGTTATTTATTGCAATTCAAGTCGTGCAAGTCCAACGAAGAGCTTGAAATGGTACAAAGGTAAAAACTGAACAGACAGAGGTTTAAAAAAAAGATAAAAGAACAAAACACAAGTCCAAGCTCTGCCAAAACTACCTCAGGAAAAAAAGAACAAGATGGTAAAGCTTGAAAACATGGAGTTAAACCCCATCGAGCTGGTTTGGGATGAACTGGACAGAAGAGTAAAGCAACCGACAAGTGCCACACATTTATGGAAACTTCTGCAACAGACTTGGGAAGAACTTTCTGAACAATATTTGATTTCTGTTGAAAAAAGAAATTGGATTTGGTTCTACAGAAGCCCTGAGAGGCAAGAGAGAGAGAAAAAAGAAGCAGGTCATAAGCAGGTCATTTGGGCTCTATTTTCTATTTTTTTTTTTTTTTTTTCACCAACTAAAAAAAATAAATAAAAAATAATAATAATTCTACAAAAAATGTTTTTTCTATAATTTTTTTTCTTGTTTTTTTTCCACCATTGATGTTGCTGATGAAGGGAAAAAAAACACAAGAGAAAAAAAAAATGGTAAAAAAAAAAAAATTGTAGAAAAAAAAAAATGTGAAAAATTTTTTTTTAGAAATTATTATTATTATTTTTTTTTTTTTTTAAGAAAAAAAATTTTTTTTTTTTTTTTGAGTTGGTGAAAAAAAAACGCTTAGAACGCTCTCTTTTTTTTCCCTCTTGCCTCTCAGGGCTTCCGTAGGTTTCTTCTGTTTTTTTGGATTTGTTACATTAAACAACTGAAGCAGTCCTGTATTTTGTGTCCTCCCTCTCTTTCTACCTGACAGTTTAACACACAAACCCTGGTTATTTATTAGGCTGAGTTCTTCTCTCAAACAGAAAACACTCTGTTCCATCTTGTGATGTCACGTGGGAATACAGGAAGTGCTCCATTGTGTTTTTAAACTCCGCACACTTTCACGAGAATCATTTGGATCATTTCAGAAAGTAAAAAGTCACTGTTAACTTGAAACTACTGCTTCATGACATCACAAGGTGGAACAGAGCATTTTGAGCTTTGGAGATGTAAACAGACTAATAATAAAGTGTCACTCAAACGTGTGAATGAAACAAAACACAACTTCGGGTTTGTTTTTGAGGAGGAAACAACATTACAACATGATTTAAAGCTCATAAGAGTCAATTTTGCATAATATAAAACTTTAATAATATTAGTAGTAACTTACGAGCCACAAGTCCGACTCCAGGAACATAGTCTGACAGAAGTTTGAGCAAAAACAAGATCTTCTCCCTGAAACATAAGAAAGAAAACCAGTGATTACAACTTAACATATACACGTTTTTTTAAGGTTTTTGCCCTGTTCAGTTGACAGGGACAGTAAAGTCTAAAGTGACATTCAGGAAAACTTTGAAGCCTGGTCTTAGCCACTCAACTACCAGGCAGCTCTGTACATTACAAGTTAATTGTACTATTTTTTTGCATCTTAAATGTGTGGATTGTGTTTTAGTTGCACTGTTTACTGTCCCTAGTCCTTTTTTTCACCAATTACTTGAAAATCTCTTCATTTGCAGCTTTGTGTCAACTGTTAAATCTCGAGTTTGAAACTACGGTTTAACTCTGCTTCTGCATTTAAAGAGGCTTCTGATGTCATGAGAGATGGACACCTGCAGGGGGGCGGAGTCAAGACCCCGTCCCTCCTCCCCTCTCCCCTTTAGTCCTCCAGGATTTACAGGATTAAAAACTGTGTAAGTCTGGAGTTTTCATCTGTGACGCAACAATCTGTGCAAAATGTGGCTCATACATTATATATTGTATATTTCTTTCAAAAACGAATGAAAACTTACATAGGCCCATGTGTGAGTGTAACCCATTTAAAAATAATCTTTGTTAAATATTGAAATGACACACACCTCATTCCAGTTTCAGTCTAAGGGACTGTTTACACGAGAACGCTTGGGGGTAAAAACTACTAAATATTTTATCGGAAGTGCCTTTCGTTTAGACGGTGACAGTGTTTTTGGGGCTTAAAAACGCAAAAATCTGAAACTCCCCTCCAGAGTGGAAAAGTTGAATACGCTCCGCTGTAGTGTTTCCGTCTACACTGCCCAAGACGCAAAACTCTGGTCAGATCTGCTCACGTCACGTACACAGAATAAAAAGTGAAGACGTGACGACACTTTTGCTTCGTCTGTTCAGATCGTCACATACGGCCTTTTGGTTGATTCTGACCAGCCCCTTTAAGCTCATTTGGAATTACAAAATAAACATATTAAAGCTCAGTTGGTTTTATTTTAGAGGTGTTTTTTTTTTTTTTTTGTATTACATTTTTTGTAAGGCAACCTCACTTTTTCATTGCTTAGTCATAACATAAACTCTTACCAGTTCGTCAAAACAATGATATTTACTGCTTTTTATAAAGAAATACAATTAATATTATGCAGAATTGAGTTAAGCGTTTTGGTCCTTCACAATATTTTTAGTTTCTCATGTGGCCCCAGGGAAAAAATAATTGCTCACTCCTGGACTAAAGAACCAACTGAAGTCAAACTGGAGTTATACTGATAAATAAAGTCTGTAGTTTTAACTATGACGTAACAATCCGTGCAAAATGAAAGTACTTTTGAGTGCTCAGAGAAGACAACAAAATTATTGAAGTAAAAATACAACTCCAGGTATGCTTTTGATGAAGGGACAACAATATAATATGGTTTAATAGCTTAAAAAAAGTAAATTTACCATAATACACAATCCACAGCACAGCCCTCCTTTGAGTTTGTGTTTTTAGAAATACATACTCTGAGTATCTGTCGTAGAATGGAGACCGCAGAAGGTAATAGAGCAGCAGGAACCCTCTCCTCCTCATCTCGGCTTTCTCCCAACGGGTCTGGAACTTTGTGTTGTTCAAAACCGCAAAACTGAAAATAAAAAAAAAACATTTATAACACATTATAAACTAAATAATTCTAAATATTCTGTAATAATGATCGTATTTCGTCCACATAAACTGACACAGACCTGGAGAGTTCAAGGACCGCAGACAGGATCCAAGGTTTCCAAGACTTTTTCCCACAAATTCCAAGACTCAGCACTGCGCTGGATTTAAGGGTTTAACCAGGACTAAACCAGGACATAACTGGGTCTAAACCAGGTCTAAACCAGGTCTAAACCAGGACTAAACCAGGACTAAACCAGGACTAAACCAAGAATTAAAAAAGACTTGACCAGGACTTAAAAAGGACTAAATCAGGACTAAACCAGGACTAAACTGGGTTTAAACCAAGTCTAAACCAGGACTAAACGAGGACTAAATCAGGATTAACCAGCACTAAACTGGGTTTAAACCAAGTCTAAACCAGGACTAAACCAGGACTAAACCAAGATTAAACCAGGACTAAACCAAGAAATAAGAAGGACTTGAACCGGACTTAAAAAGGACTAAACCAGGACTAAACTGTGACTTAAAAAAAGGAATAGACCAGGACTTAAAAAGGACTAAACCTGGGCTAAACCAGGACAAAACTGGGACTAAACAAGAAGTAAACCAAGACTAAAGTGGGACTTAAAAAGGACAAAACCAGGAATTCACTGGATCTTAAAAAAGGTTAAACCAGGACTTAACTGGGACTTAACCGGGACTCAACCAGACATAAACAAAATCTAAACTGGAACTTAAAAAAAGGACTAGACCAGGACTTAAAAAGAACTAAACCAAGAATTACAAATTACTAGACCAGGACCTAAAAAGAACTAAACCAGGACTAAACTGGGACTTAAAATAGGAATAGATCAGGACTTAAAAAGAACTAAACCAACTAAGATGGGACTATATAAGAACTAAGCCAGACTAAACTAAACTGGGACTTAAAAAAAGTACTCGACCAGGACTTAGAAAGAACTAATCTGGGACTTAAAAAGGTCTAAACCAGGACTAAACTGGACTTAAAAAAGACAAAACCAAGAATTCACTGGATCTTAAAAAGACTAAACCAGGACTAAACTGAGACTATACACAAAACTAAACCATTACTAAACCAGGACTTAACTGGGACTTCAAAAGGACTACACCAAAAAGCCAAGGACAAAAACAGGATTAAACCAGAACTTAGAAAGAACTAAACTAAGAGTAAAGTAGGATTAAACCAGATCTAAACCAGTGATGAGGTTGAACATTTGTGTTTCTGAAGAGAACAGTGAGTCTCTGTAGAGTCTCTATAGGCTCCTGCGTGAGCGTGACACCTTTAAACTTAATCTCTGTGAAATGTTTAAATGACACGAGTCTCATTCCAGTTCGAGTCTATAGGACCGACTGAAGCCAGGCTGTAATTAAACTCATAAACGACACGAACATGCTGGCAGTTTTAAATACTTTCTTTTACCTTGTACAAAGTTTCTTCTAGTTGAATGCAAATGTTCTCCCTGTGCGACTGTGGCAGAGGTGTAGCCCGTCCCCTCCCTTCAGTGACGAGGTTGAGGGTTAGATTCCTGTTAGATTCCAATCAATTTTACAATTTTTCTGACTCTTTTTTTATTCGATTCTGTTTTATCCACTTTATTCCATCCCGCCAACCTCGATTATTCTTCTTATCATTATGCTGATTATTCTTTGTGTGGAAGCTGTAGGGGGTTAAGGCCGTACAGTTTTTTGACCGGATATATTGTGTAGTCTTCAGTTGTGGAAGCTGCATCTTTAATTAAACCTTATAACCAGTATTCTGTAAGTTTGGACATTGAATCTTTCCGTTTTCATCTAAGACACGTGAGTCAAGCTAAAGCCACACAGCTCCTCACAGCTATAGAGGCTTTGCACCGTCACATGACCCCTATAGCAACGGTACCTACGCCGCCATGACACCGGGCACACTATGTCATTGACTTCAGCAGCATCGGAGAAACATAGGCAGGTTTTGTTGTGTATTTGGTTGTTCTAGATGCTCTGAAAGGGATAAAACGAATCGTTTCTTCAGTGTTTCTCTGGAAATGACTCATCAGGAGCTCAAACAAGGGAATTGTCGAAAAAAGACAGGAATTATGGCTAGAGAACATAAACCGCAAAGAGATTTCCAATGATACCATCAAGACACTCGAAGTTTCATCAAGGTATTTGCTCTTTAAATTGTTTCATAGCTTATTTAATGAAAGAAGCACATTTACTGAACTAAAATTTCATTAATTTATCCAGGAAAACCTGCACTAGTTTACGATTCAACGAACCCACACTGGTCTCCTGTGATCAACATGACGCACGAGTCGAAGAGTCTGTGAGCCGAACCTCCAAAGAATCAACCATGAAAAGATCCTCGCGAACGTTAGAAAGATCCACTCGCAAAAAGTGATTAATTCTTGAAGACATAGTTGTGGATAAGCAAGACAATGAAGAAAACATGGGTCCTACAACGAGTGACATGTTTATATGTGCGTTGGAAGATACAGTTTCTACTGCCACTCACACTGCAAATGTTTTCTTTTTACATTTTAGTTCAGTAAATGTGCTTCTCTCATTAAATAAGCTGTGAAACTATTTAAATAGCAAATGCCTTGATGAAAATGACAAAAGTGTGTCTTGATGGTACCATAGGAAATCTCTTTGCGGTTTATGTTCTCTAGCCATAATTCCCGTCTTTTTTTCGATAATTCCCTTGTTTGAGCTCCTGATGAGTAATTTCCAGAGGAACAGTGAAGAATCTAATCGTTTTATCCCTTTCAGAGCGTCTAGAACAACCAAATACACAACAAAACCTGCCCATGTTTCTCCGATGTTACTGAAGTCAATGACATAGTGTGCCCGGTGTCATGGCGGCGTAGGTACCGTTGCCATGGGGGACACGTGACAGTGCAAAGCCTCTATAGTGACAAACTCTGGAGTTAAACTGCCACTACAATATCGTACCCAGAGATTCTGATACATCTCTACTTATAAATAAAGTTGAAGTAGCAGTTGCAGCATAAGATCCTTCTTCTTAAATACAAAGCCCTTCAAAATCTTGCATCCCATTACACTCCCTCACACTCTCTGCACTCTCCTGTTTCTCCCACAGACTGTACTGTTTGTATAAATGGACAGAGCAAATCCGCTAGACGGCTCCATCAGCTCTAATTCACTTTGTATTGAAAAAATCGGTTTAAGGCTGCAGTTTGAACATCTCTTTTCTTTCAAATCCTTTTAAAACCCACCTCTTCAGACTGCCCTGTGAGACCTGAACCCCCTGGACCCGCCCACTGATGTAAGGAGGTTGTGGGCTAGACTCCTGGTTTCTCTGAGCGTGCTACAGTGGCAGAGTGGTTAGCCCGTGTGAAGGATACGGTGCACCAGCGGCCTCGTGATGTAGACGGTCTCCGCTGTGATCTGGTTCAGGTTCAGGTCTGTGGATCTGAGCTGGAGCTGCTCCTCTGGGGACCGAGCGCTGGACCTGGTCTGAGCCGGACCCCAAATCCTGGACTGCAACGAAGAACCTACAACACAAAACACATGAGGCACTGTTAAAGCTGCACTGTGTAACTTTTCTGGTAGAGGATTCATCAAATGTTTATCTCAGTGGAAATGTGATTGCTTTGTAAGGTTTCATAGTAAATCTGTGCAATTAATCAGATTTTGATCGCAATTTCCATTTGTGTGTCAAACAATCTCCAAACTCATATAATCCAGTTCAAATGATTTAAAGCTTAACAAAGGTTATTTTTGGATATTTTTAATGTAAATAAGTGTATTTATTTGATTTTTTAAATATAGAGATTGTAGAACAGCTGGATGTAGAGTTTATTTTGGATGCATTTATGTTTTTCTATGTGTAGCGGGCGGTACCACGGGGTGTCGCTGCTGGGCCACGGCCAAACAGAATTTAAGGGGAAATTGTCTGGGAGGTGTCAGTTTCCGTGGGTGGCCAGGTAGACCGCTGGACCCACGTGTGTGTGCGTTTGGCCGAGGATACTGGGTGGCCACACTGTTTTTAAAAAAGCTGAACGGTGCTACGCGGTAGCTGTGTGTGGGATTTACGACACAGGTAGCAACATTTTTAAATCGTTTTAAAATTATTAAAGTTTATCAAGCCTGTCCATTTTTTGTCATTTTGGATTTTTGTGTTTTTACAGTTAGCCATTGTCCTTGCTGTCCTGTAGTTTGTTTGTTTTTTGTTTTTTCCGGTCACTTCCCTTTTCCCGAACTTGTCCATTCATGTTAAATAAATAACCTAAACTGCATCCCCGGCTCCAGACTTTTATTACCACTGTTATAACATGTCTTATTTCATGTATAAGAGTATACAGTATTGTATATTTTATATTTTTTTATAAGTATATTTTATTCATTTTATGTTTTATAGATCACAAAACTGCTCTGAGGTTCATATTTGTAGCCTATATTAAACCTACATTGCCTACAAGCCTACATTGAACGTTTGAAAGTTTTTTGTTTTTTGAGAGAGAGAAATGCTGAATAAATCCATCATGTAACTAAAAAATAATTGTTTGAATAATCGTGATTTCAATATTGACCAAAATAATCGTGATAATGATTTTTTCTATAATCAATCAGTTTTGTTGTTTCACAGTATGGCATTAAATCTTTCTATGTTCATGGAAACCAAACCAGACCAAATTACAAATCAGATCTGTATTTTTGACCTATAAAATCACCTGTAATTGAATAAATGTAAAGTAGAGCTGTTTATTGTCATACTGTGGAACATTCCAGACAGAACAATGACATATCTATAGAAACAAGCAGGTGACGAACCCTCCACCAGAAAACTTACACAATGCACCTCTAAGATACATTTGTTCCACACTGGTGATATTACAGTGCTGCAACATAAACTTTACAAACAGTAATCAAACCACACACTCCCACTCACCTGAACTCATCGGTCGAATCACTCGTCCCGACCTTTGACCCACAAAACAGGCGTCCTCCTGCTGCTCTGCACTAGCGCCATCTGTAGACAAAACATTTATAAACAACTTAAACAGTCTATTTACAAAACTTTAAAGGTCTGTTTTCTGATCTATGTTATAATGTTGTTTCCTCCTCATCAAAAACAGACCTGGAGTTGTGTTTTGTTTCATTCAGTAACCTTTTATTATCAATAATCAATTAAATTATAGTTGTTATCAGTTAAAGGTCTTATATTACGCAAAATTTACTCTTGTAAGCTTTAATACATGTTAGAATTTTGTTACTTCGTCAAGCACAGACCTGGAGTTGTCTGTCTACATCTCCAAAGCTCAAAATGCTCTGTTCCTCCTTGTGATGTCATGAAGCGATTTTTTTTCTTTTTTCTACTTAAAATCATTTGTTCAGTAGAGATTGACAATTCCAGCGCTTAAATCATCCAGATGATTCTAGTGAAGGTGTACGGAGTTTGGAGTAACACAGAGGGGCACTGCCTGTATCACCACATGACATCACAAGGTGGAAGAGGGTGTTTTCTGTTTGAGAGAAGAACTAAATATGCAGGGTTTGTGCGTTAAACATGTGTGAATGAAACAAAACACAACTCCAGGTCTGTTTGTGATGAGGAAACATTATAACATAGACCAGAAAATAGGATAATATAGACTTAAACTTATTTTTAAAGGAACTGTACATAGCCTGCCCTCTTACAGTTTTCAAAAAAAATATATATAATCACAATTGAAGTTGGGTTAACAGTGCCTTAACTTGCTCATACAGGATTTGGGTGGTCAAAAGTATGGAAAATCAGACACTAAGCTATACTAAAACCTGTCTTGAAACCACAGAGACTCATTTGAACAAGTATCAATACTCAAAAAAACACATAAACAGGACAAAATCTGACCTTTTCTGAACAGTTTTAGAATGATCTTGAGCTGTATCAGAACAAGTATAAGAGCACATAGACTAGTACACGCCCATGAAGCATTATGGAACCGATCTGGACCACTGAGGGATTACACAGATATAAGATCACATGGGAATATTAAAGAAAGTACCAAGATTTAATGTTGAAAATCACATTCTATTGTCTAAAGAAAAGAGATGTTTTGTTTTTTTTCATGAATGTCAAGGCATCAGAATCAACATTGAGTATAGAGTCTACTCCTTAGCATCAAAATCGAGTTTAAAATGTTGGTATCATGAGAACACTAAAAGGACTCGTACACGTTTTTGTCATTCTCAGTGTATGAATCACGTACAGGAGCAGCAAATGCCCTGGGTAATGATTGGCAGGCGCTGGGGTTCAGGTCGTGAGTCTTAGTGATGTTTAAGGAAGTTTAAATCAAGAAGGAAGTAATCATATTCGTACTATTCAACCTCCACTCCTTTAGCTGGTATAGAAAAACGTGAATACAGAGATCGCGTGTACTTTTGCGCTTCGATCCTTTCATCCAGCTCGTCTCTTTTCAAACTCAATCAATCAAAAAGCAACAGGAGCCTGAAATACATACTTAACATTTCCAGACGTTCTAAAGCAATGATTAAGCTCTGCCCTCAGGTTGAAAAACATTGAGCCTGTGTATGTGCATTGTTAGGAACTCAATTAATGACATTCCAGCAGATCTATTATGCCATATTGAATTTTCAGAGCTTTTAATCACGTTATAGTTGTTTCCCCTCCTCATTTACCCTCTTAAAGTTGTATTAGGATTGATTTATGCATGTCTGAGCAATCTTTAATCACTCAGTTTCAAGACAACCAGTTTGCCCATCAACCCGTTTTCACTGCCGCCTGTTTACTCCGTCCTCCAGTTTTATTTTCTTAATCGACGATAAGTGTATGATTCAGCAGCGTCGTGTGGTCGTTTCGGTACAAATGAAAAATAATCCGACTGCCAGCTACTCAGCGCTTTGTTCTGATGATGTTTACAGCAGAACGCAGAAGTCAGTGTGCTTGCTTCTTTTATTAAGTCGTTTTAGGTGAATATTTCGATTTAAAATGTGCAAATTATAACATAATGATCCACGGTGTCATAGATTATAACTATATAGCAAATTAAAGCACCATAGTTCTTATTTAAAGGTGCAATATGTAACTCTTCTGGTTCTGGAAGGGGGTCTGTCACCGAGTTACTGCATTTCCTGTCGACAAAAGAAATTCTTGGTCGACTAAAGACATGTTCAGTCAATCCATAATTTGCCGCGCTCCCAAAATCTCACAAAACTATTATACTAGTCTGTGTGCTCTTATACTTGTTCTGATACAGCTGAAGATAATTCTAAAGCTTCAGGAAAGGTTCATTTCTGTTCTGTGAATGTGGCTTTGGACTATTATCGATTATTATCTGATTTTACCAACCCTGAAATAAAGTTAAAGTGTTAAAAACCGACTTCCTGCTTGAATAAAGAGATAAGAGATAAGAGAGGTGTGGCTGTGATTGTCTGACCTTCTGTTCCAAAGTCTGTGTTCCTGTCCAGAGGGATTACGGGAGGTGAAGTCCCGATGCCCGATTTGTACCACAGCAGAAGAATGAGCCGGAAAACTGCCCTGGAAAAGCATAAAATGAGAAGTCAAAAACCATTTAACCATTTTACAGAATATAAAAGTTATTTGTTATGACACTTAGCAGAGCATATCTCCGGGACAGTGCTTTTGGTAAATATTTATCATAATTTGTGAAGAACCTGAACAAGAAATGTACAAAAATCCAGGATGTTACAGTAAGTTCTTAAACAAAATGCTTATCTGTCATCGGAAAAAACTGGAAATTCCATCCCAAAAAATAAACAAAAACTCAAAACGCTGTCATACTTTATGATCTGGATGAGCCCAATGACGACCCAGCGCCCGACCTCTCCCCCGACTCTACAGGCCCCCATCTCCAGGAACACCTCCACAGACTCCAGCACCGAGAGCCATGTCCGGAGCCTCTGCTGTGACAGACACTGAGGGCAGAGGAAAAACGTTACTCAAATTCAAAATGTGATCGATTAAAAAAAACAAAAAGCTTCAAACAGCCTATATTACTCTTCCTGATCTGTTATAATGTTGATGTAATGACCTGAAGTTGTGTTTTGTTTCATTCACACAAACCCTGCGTATTTAGACTGAGTTCTCTGTTCCAATTTGTGATGTCATGTGGTAATACAAGAAGTACTCCACTGTGTTTTTAAACTCCATACACCTTCACTAGAATAATTTGGATTATTTCATTCCTGTTAACTTGAAAACTACCGCTTCATGACCTGGGGCGGCAGTAGATCTTTTGGTAAGCGCGTTTGTCCGCTGATCCGAAGATTGGAGGTTCAAATCCTGCTCTCGGAATAAACATCATTGGTTTAACAGTCAGATCCACAGACCCACAGTTTGGTGGTGCGATTTCAGCTCCCACAGATGAATGCTGTCGTTATGTTCATGGGCAAGACACTTCACCTATCTCAATCAATCAAACTTTAATTATAGAGTGCTTTTCACACAAAAAATGCAACACAAAGCACCCCTAGTATCTGCGTACACTGGTGCATGAATTGGTTACTGGTTCCTTGATGTAAAACGCTTTGAGACATGAAGGTGGAAAAGCGCTGTATAAAAATGTGACCATTTACTATGACATCACAAGTTGGAAAAAAGCATATTGAGCTTGAGAGACGTAGGCAGATTAATAATGCGTGTTTACTTAAAAATGTGTGAATTAAACACAACACAACACAGGGTATGTTTTTGGGGGAGGTAACAGCATTCTAATATGACTTAAAGCTCACAAGAGTCAATTTTGCGTAATATAGGACCTTAAGGATTTAGAACTGCTGCTATTCTGCTTCGCAAGACTGAAATTTCCATTATACAACTATTTAATCTAATCTTCTAATCTTTAAAAGCACTCAAAATGCAGTATGTTTGTCAGCTTTTTGTTATCGTCAAATGCCAGGAAATGTTTTTTACACTTGCTGACTCGATAATCAACTCGTGTCACACCTAATGAAGACGAATTTAATTACAAGAATAATATTGTACTAATGTAATTTCTCACCACAGGAAAGGCACTTCTCAGTTTTTTTCTCAGGATGCTGTCATTGAACAGCACCAGGAGATTGGCGGCAGAGGACACTGGAAAAGAGACCAACAACACCATATTAAAAGATCATATGTATTTATTTCACTTGAATGCCATAGTAACCCATATTCTCCAATAACAGAGCTAGTTAAAAAAGTTACAAAAGTCTCCCTTTGTAATTAGATTGGCTGACCTGTCTCTGTTGCATTCTCGCATATCACCACTAGATGCTGTTTACGTTCCATCTGTCTGATAATGTGCCAGCTTCGGCCTGACAGAAGAAGGCCAGAGGACACAACTCTCTTTCCTCACTTAAAACATATGTTCAAACCCATTTTCTCAAAGCAAATTGTTGATCTGAAGTCCTAGAATAATGATATAAAATAAGACGTAGTATAATTCTCACTACAGGGTTATTTTGGACAGAATCTGCGTCTGAAGAAAGTCTGTCCCATTCACTCTATAGTTTGTTTTTCATCCTGCCTCTCTCCTCTGTTTCTCTCTCCTCCCTGTGTCTCACCCAAAGGCTAGAAACACATCTGCCATCTGCTGGTAACAAAATCAGATAAACCTACAGGTGGTAAGTTACTTTAATATGCAGTGTACATGATTAAATCTTCTACCCTACTACCATATTTCTATCATGACTGAAAGATGCAAAAAGCCCTTACCGAGTTCAGAAAGTTCATGTGAGTCTGTGAACCGTCCTGAAATAGACAAAATAACAAATTAACATAAAATTCAGTTTTAGAGCAGAAAGATAGACATGATTAATAATCGGCGTCGTTAGTAAGCTTCATGTGCCTTTAAATTAGGGTGACCAGATGTTCCTATTTACCCGGGACAGTCCCAGTTTTGAGCCCCTGTCGGAGCAGATTTATCCAAAACCAGTGATTTGTCCCAATTTTATGCAAGAAATGTCCCAGGTGTCCCTATTTTTGACCAATTTGATTATCACAGCTATGATTTTTTTAGTCTTTTTTCACAGAACCGTATCGAATTGTACTGAATCCAAAGTGCACTGAATTGAAAAAACATGTCATATTGTAGCCTTTGCATCGAGGTGTGTATCATATCACAAACTTCTTAGTGATACTCAGTAGGGAAGTAACGATATCCAAATCTCTTGGTACGATATTATCAAAATATGCAGCTCACGGTACAATATTTATTGCGATATTTTATATAATTCAAATATAATTTCAGATGGGACACTTTTTTGCTTTTAACCCTCTCCAGGCAGGCGTTGCAGATTTGTAACAACTAAATGCGAATTACCTACTTACTCCAAATCCATATTTTATGAGCTTTTTTTAATCAGAAGCCTTTTTTCCCCGTCCATACTGATAAACATGGACGATGCAGACAGTGCAAGAACGGCTACACACAAACGGCCTGCCAGAAGTGTAAAGTACTTTTGTTGTTTACAAAGGATAAAAATTGTTTCTTGGAGCACCACACGAAAAAGTGATGTTATTCTGCCACTGTAAAGGTGTTACACTCTGCTTTATGTTTTCATTGTTATGAAAAGTGGTATACACATAAAGTTAGCATTCATATCTTTTTCAGTCTTCAGTGTTAATTTACCACACCAGACCAATGCTGCCAATCTGCAACATCCCAGAACACAGTGGATGTTAAGGTCTCTCTCAAAAAAAAAAGTAAGGATTGTATATTACTACCACATATGATCATTTTCCCCAAATATCAGATTTTTTCCTGTTACTAAAATTTAATTTGAGCTTGAGAGGGTTAAAATACCTTGAGAAGATTTTGGTGCGATTTATTACTGTCAGAATCCCAAGAATTAAACTAAAAAACGTATAACTTTATGTTGACTGCGCTGAAATGCATCATGGGATATGTAGTTCCCCACGTGTATTAGCTGTTCCTGCTAAAGAACAATGCGTTTAAGCAAAGCAACTTATAATTCAATATATTGTGACAGCTCTCAATATTACTGTGAGACTTCTGACGATACGATATCACGATATTTCGGTTTCCAGCTCTAGTAACTAATAATATCGACTAGTACAGCACGTTCCCATTAACTTTTTATTGCTATTTATTTGTCATTAATTAATTATGGACGTATTTTAGCATGTGCATTTTGCTGATCTTGATCTTGAACGTGAACTGACCTGCTAAGAGGTATGACAGAGTCCGCACGGTGCTCTCCAGCTGCGCAGTTGCCGCTGGGTTTTTCCGCACATACTCGATATACCGCTCAAAATACTCTTTCACATTGGCCATTAAATCCGACATTTGTTAAACCGCTGTACGACACATTAGTTTCGTGTTTTGCAGGAAATAACCCGATCTACCGCAGGTTTGTTGACAGTTTCGTTTTGTAGAACTTCTTTAGGTAAACTTCCTGTCAGGTTGGTCCCACTGCAAAAACCGTTCCCACCGAATCCATAGTACAAACGAAGGTTCCGGTTCCTAAACGTCAGCATAAAGTATCGGCTCATCTTCCGGGCACGTTATTGTTGCATCAGCACCCAACCATCCTCAGTCTACAATGTCGACCTCAGGAGAGCCAGGTGCAGTAAACCAACTCATATTTCTTATTTATTTGTTGTATAGAAACATGTATTTGATAGTAGTAACGGATCGGGTGCGAAGTTTACGAGAACTGTCATTGACGCTAGGCTAACGCTAACCGGCTAATTTGTAGTCCATTTGTAGTCCATTGAGCAGAAGGTGAATGCGCCAAAGAAACAGCTGATAGACACTCTTTAAAACACACGTGTCTTTAAAATTATACGCGACAATCTTAATCTAAATGACAAACAAGGATTCGCGTTTCCTGTGACTTTTAAACAGATTATGTGAATGAAAGTCCTACTATTACTACAGTAGTATTAGTAGTAGTACTAGTAGTTGTAGTAGAAGCCAGGAATGGTCTTATACGTGAATAATGTATAGTTTTACCTTGAGAAAAACAAAGAAATCTCAGGAAACATGCCAGTATTGGAAGTTGAATTGATTAAGATAATGTTATAAATATATATTTATCATATAGAGTTGCAAAACCGGATTAACTTCATATTTTAAGGTGGTTTAATTAGCCTACTACTAATTGTATGCCCCAAATATGGTCATTGATGTATAAACTATAGCTCAAGAGTGAAATATTTGACAAATTTAAGAGATTAAAGAGAATCAAAACACAAATACTACACCTGCAGCAGCTGTTTAGAGTGGTTACAATGGAGCTTGCATCAGACAGTGGATTTTGACAGCACTGTTTCTGAATGTAAACATTTACATGTCAATTACGGCTGCAAATTTTGTAAGTAATAGAATATTCTTTGCAAAGTCTTCTTATTGTAGTATTAAAAGTATACAAAATCAAACCATGTAGTTTAGACATCTACAGACATTTTCTCAAATGCATAATTCTTGTATTTGCTTATCAGTTTTTATTTCTTCTCTAATGTGACTGCTCCAATATCTGTTTAAAAAATGTATACTATGAACCTAACTTCTTATTTAATCCTAATTCCTAAACTTGTAACAAAAAATCATACATTCTAACCTTTTTAGAATGAATAAAAGTATCATATGTAGGACAATTGCTGCATATTACCCACTCTAATATACCCATGCTTTCTTATGATTTAGTTTATGGTAATTTATATTGAATTATTGCATGTAACACAGCCACTTCCACTCATTCTTCAGTCTTCTTTCTATATTAACTTTCATAATTTGTTCTTGGGCTCATTCATGTTTTATTCTTACAGTTTCTTTATGATTTGCTTTGCTTTCTGTTTCATTCTGAATAAGACCCCACACCTAAATGTACCAGTGCAGAGGATTGAAGAGAGTGCGAGGGGAGGGTGAGGAGGAAGGGCGGCTGTTCCTTTTGTTTTGTTTTGTTTTTTTACAGTCTAACTCTGCATGACTCCTCTTTAGCCTCTGTTGGGTCATCTCACTTCATTAGGTCAAAACAATGATTACAGATACGATATTAAATTCATAATAATTCATATTTATGTTATGTCTGTCACTGCTGATTATTTGGATAAGAATTTTGTTTTCTAGAGAGACGATAGTGTCACAGATGATTTGTTTCCGAATCATTTTCATTTCTTTCTGCAGTTACTTTTTGCTTCTGCACTTGTGGTTATGAGCTTTAGAAATGTGAATAGATAAAATTTTACTTTCTTTATAGCAGTGATTTCAATTTCGGCAAATATATTTAAGTGCAAAAAACAAATGAAATAATTCGTAATAAAGGAAATGCTTTGACAAAATTTAAAAAATGAGATGGCTGTTTTTGCAAATTAACTCTCTCATTTTAACCTCAGCAAAGTGAAGATGCAAATCAAAACATTATTTTCCTTTTAAATCATACAAGCTCTAGTCAACAGTATAAATTCAACTAATCATGTTACAGACACAAAATTCTCTCTAAATAATAATTTGGCAGTAATAAAAAAAAAAAATGCAAGACTTGAATATTTGCTATATGTTGTCAAATAAAAATCAAAAACACGAATGAACTCTTCTTTAGTCATTTGCCAGTTTCTCTTCTGTCTCTGCTGTTTACAGACTAGTTCTTCTCTTTCATTTTGACCACACTTTTGGTTCAGATCCTTCAGTTTCATTTTTACCGTCTGATTTTGTGTCTTGATTTGAGTCGGTTTCAGTTTGAGTCAGTTAAGCCCTTCCTCAGAGTCTCCTACTGACCCTGAGTCCCGCTGCGAGGACAGGAAACCAGACAATGCAGCGTCACTGAACAAACCGTTAACCCAAAATATCAGGCAAAAAATGACTTGTTTACGATGTGTCATGACATGCTAATATTGATTTAGGTTAAATGAGATGCACTGTCTGCTTATCTCCATGAAAATGTTATTGCTCTACCTGAGATGTTCCTCAGTGGCATGAAATGTACAGTATCTATCTCGCATTTATTAAATTCAGTGTTTTTACAATTTTTACGGTGAGCACTGTAGATGGTAAATAGTGTCATTTTTATATAGAGCTTTTTCACTCTCAAGAGCTGCACATCAAGCAACAACTTTTACCATTTACACACACACACAGACATTCATACAGCAGTCTATGCACTAGGGGTTGCCTCTCTACAGAACTGACTTGACCTGATGGCATCACCTGCTTGTATCCGAGTTTAATGCCTAGTGTTGTAATGATACTGAAATTTCAAACTCTATTTCAATACTAAGGAACAGACATGAAATTTGATGCTCAATACCGATTCCGATACAACAATGATAATAAAAACACAATAGAATGTGATTTTCAGCATTAAATCGTAGAACTTTCTTTTCTATTCCCATGTGGTTCAGGTAGATTCCATAATGGTCCATAGGCGTATACTAGTCCAGTGATTCTTAACTGTAGGGCTGGAACCACCTCCTTTGGGGCTTCACAATCAGTACAATATAATGCACTGAATATGAGACAGGGCCCCATCTTACTTTGTTCAGAAAAAGCTGGGCCCCAAGATTGAAAAGGTTAAGAACCCTTGTACTAGTCTTTGTGCTCTTATAGTTGTTCTGATACAGCTCAAGTTCATTTCTGTCCCGTGAATGCGACTTTTTTTGTATCAATACCTGCTCAAATGAGTATCTAGTTTCTATACAAGTTTTAGTATTGATTAGTATCTGATTTTTGCTACACAGCAAAAAGTGGAGTGTTAAAATTGACTCTCACAGAATAAATTTAAACCTTTTGTCAGGGTTTATATGAGTCCAATCTGTTCTGGAGTTAATTTAACATTTTTGGAAATGTTAATTAAGTAACACTGGACCAAAGTTCCTGTTTAACCCTGAAATCCAGAATTATATTAACGTGTTGAGTAAACGGATAACACTTTGTAGGGTTTTCCTGATTTAGCTAAACAACACACAGAGGTGTTTTGTTTTTACTTTTTATTTTAGTTAATTTAACATTTTGGTCAGTAGTAACTACAGACTGTGAAGTGTAAATTAAGGTACACTATAAAAAAAAACAAAAAACATTGTATGCATGTAAAGCCTTTATTTTCTTTAAAACATTGTAAAAGATGAAATTATGTACAAAACTGGTTCAAACTGGTCTTCTCTCTCATCCTAATGAACACGAGGGAAAGTTGAATTAACTTCAGTCATATCAACTCTGGAAAATAATCCCAACTCGAACTCCCGTTTAACTATTAAATAGTTAAAACAACACTTTTTGTGTTGAAAACAACTCTGAAATATTTTACAGTGAAATTTTAACCCTCCAGTTTTTGCCGTGTACTTTTGACAGCCCTGTGTTATGTCATGCTATGGAACATTTCAGGCAAAGCACTAAAGCAGGTCATAAAAGTTACATAGTGAACCATTAACCTCTAGATATCGCGTTTCAAAAATGTATCCAAGGATATAAGAAACCAAGATAATAATATAATCATATAAAACAATATAATCATATAAAACAAATTTTAAAAGTCCTTAAAATTTCACCTTTAAACAAGAAACTGAAGAATATGGCATCCCCAGTGACAGTCACGTTTATAGTCTTGCCCCAGCTCCGTACCCCCCTCTAGTCCCTCTGCCTCTGCCCCAGCTGCAGTGTCTGTTTGTGGGTAACGTTTCGCCCTCTGTCCCCCTGTTGTGTCCCACAGTGTTCCCCTTCGAACCCCTGCTCCAGATCACAGACGCGACCGAGCTCTCCGAAGCTCTGGACCGTTACCTGGAGACACGCAGTTACCTGAGCGGCTTCGGCCCCTCCCACATCGACCACAAAACTGCTAAACTGCTCCGTACCCCCCCGCCCCCACGACTCAAGCACGCCCTCCGCTGGTACAGGCACATAACTGCGCTGCAGCCACTCGAAGACTCAGGGCAGGACTCAAACTGCAGTGAGTAGACAGAGCACAGACTGAGAATGTGGTGTGGGTCTCCAGTTTGAAGTTTGTGTAGTTTCTAGGTTGTAGATTTTAGTTTTCATAATCAATTAATCGTCTATGGTGACTTTTCTAGTTGACAAAACTTTTTACTAATCATTTTATTTGGAGGATAAAGGATTCATGTGCACAACAGCAAAAATGCCCATTACTTTCAACCAAGAATTTCTTTTTTAGTGTGGTTTTATTCAGAAACACCAGATTAGAGATCGACCGATGTGTTTTTATTCATGGCCAGTGCTGTTATTGATTGTTTAGAATTCAGAATCTGAACTTATTTGTCATTTCAGTATAAAAATACACAGAAACAAAACACCTTACTCAGGTCCAGGCCATCAGCAGCATAAAAAAACAATAAATAGTTTAAAATATTGTATGTCAAATGCAGTCTTTCAGATAAGATTTGCTGGGGAATAAGGGCTGATTTTGATTATTTTACCCAAATGATGTAATTAAAATTTACTGCAACTTATCCATAACTGTTTTTTTAACCATAAACCTATAAAAGAGCTGTATTATCATGTTCTCAGCAGTTTCCTTTTTGCACTAAAGCGTTAAAATAAAGCTTTGTGTGTGTGTGTTTTTTTTAGCAAGCAAATTCACCAAAACAAAGCATCGGCCTGTGCTGGAGATTTAAGGGTGATAGTTGATAAGATCTGTCGATATTTTGGTTCGATATCTTGGGCTGATTCTGATTATTTCCCCCAAATGATGTAATTAAAATGTACTACAAACACATCCATCGCCATTGTTTTTAACCATAAACCTATAAAAGAGCTGTATAGTGCAAAAAGGTAACTACTGAAAACTTTGTGTGTATTTTTTTGGCCGCAGATCAACCAAAACAAAATATTGGCCTGTGCTGGAGATTTGAAGATCAGTCAATCAGTCAAACTTTATTTATAGAGCGCTTTTCGTACAAAAAAAAAATGCAACTCAAAGCGCTTTACAGTGATTAAAAACAATCCCACAAAACTAAGATAAACAGTTTGGTCTTGAGATTACTATCTGTGACATAATTATCTTTTTTTTTTTACAATGAACTATTTGGAATCTGGGACACTAACAATCTGGAACCAGTACATAAAGAAAAAAGAAACCGCTCTGCAACATCAGCACATACAACAAAAACACAGTACAGACATCGGCCATCAATATATCGGTCCGTCTCTACGCTGGATACACTTCCCTTGCGTTTCTAGTGTTTGATTTCCTGCTTGGCTAATCTCACTGCTTCACCTTAATGAAAAACCTCTTAAAAACACAGACCGGTCTTGTTGTGAATACTCTGTTCTGCGCCCATGAGCACAGCGTTCTGCAGCTGGTCTTTTCTCATGACTCCTCTTTCACATCCAGGCCCGTCGACAGAAATTTGGAGGCCCAGGGCAAGACGACTCACATGGGCCCCCCTGTATATAAATTAATAAGAAGAGGGTCCAATTCTGGGCCCCTAAAACCCTTGGGCCCGGGACAATAGACCCTTTTGTCCCTCTGCTGTCTACTGCTCTGTTACCACCGCATTCAGTTCGTTCAGACACAAAGGGAGGGCGTAGTAATAGATAAACTAAAATTGTTTTGTTTGAAAAAGCAAAAGCATGGACTGATGTTGCTTTGTGCTTCTTATCGGCAGCAAAAATGTATCTTGGAGTTGTTGTTTTTTTGACTCAAAGTGCTCATTAGACGTGAGCCGACACTGTTTTTACCGCTGTCTCACCTTGTACTTTTCTAATCTTTTGTTTCCATTCTCTTCATTTCTGTGACGTCTGAACAGACACAAAAATGAAACCTGTCATCAGTGGTAATCCCGAAAATATGTGAAACTGTTTGACCTGTTTGCATGTTTTATATTTAAGTTGTTTCTTACTGAAAACTCTATGCAGCAATGTCTTTCTTACAATATATTTGGTCTGTACTAACCTGTGCTGGCAAACCTCTGGAGAGCTTTTAAAAACGCAACATTTGGCAAAATATAACTTTAAACAACGCTAGTGTAGGACTGTAATGTATCCATGGGTTTCAGAGTGATTATTAACATTCAAAGTAAAATATTATATCTTTTCAGTGCTCAAAAGTCCTCAAAACGTCGTGTTTGCCTTTAAACAGAAAGCTGAAACCCATGAATAAAATCTAAACTAAACCTGTCTGCAGTGAGGAGATGTTCTTCTTTTGAGTGTAGCATGTAGTGGGATTATTATATTTCTGTTATCAATCATTTATTAAACATTGTAAGGTTCTCGGTTTTATTTCTCGTCTTGTTTTGTTTTAGTGAAAGGGAAGCGTGTGCAGCCGTCCTGGTCGGCTCCATCAGGAACTGAAGTCCCTCAGCTCAGACTCTACAACAGCCTCACCAGGAGCAAGGTACAAACATGTTATAGTATTAATGCTCTGCTCTGTAGGGGTGGGACAAGACAACATTTTTACGAGTGTAAGAGAATAGTAATTTAAAAGTATTTTAAAAGAGAATTTAAAAGAGAAAAGTAATTTATCTTCCACGTACATCTCACTTAAACATTGACTCACAAAAGCTATATTTACACTATGATCTTCCCTTATCTAAATTATCTAAAATTATTATTATCCCATTATCTAAATTGTGGCATATTGTTGTCTAACCGGTGTCTACTGGCCTTCATAGTCTCACCACACACTTATTTCACTCAAACACACCACGTTGAATTGTCAAGTTCCCCCGGGCTGTATTATTGATGGTAAATAAACTTTTCCTGCGTAAGACGTCCAGTTGGTCCCCAGCCTTTTACTTCCACCCTTTCTTGGACAAGCTGAAAATTTCGGCAACAACAAGACGAGACACATCAGGAGATTAGGTCCATGAGAACAAGACAAAACAAGATTTGTACATAATTTGTAATAAATAGGTAGTGCAATCCATTTCACAATTCTGGCTTCACTTTTTTAAATTTATTTTTTGTAATATTTTAGTAGCATTGTACTACTGCTTTTTGGAACTACAGCTTCTCAACTCATAACTCTTTTTTTTGTTTTGTTCTTTTGTTTCTCATGTGCACAATCTTGTGGCAATTTTTTCTCATGAGATCTTGTGGTACAAGACCTTCTGCAGAAAGTGAAAGCACTAACACAATAATAAACATGTATTACATATGCACACACTCCAAACTCTGCCCCTGCAGACAATCAATACTATCAATACTAAAAAAGTCACATTTACAGGACAGAAATGAACCTTTCCTTAATAGCTTTAAAATGATCTGGTTCAGAACAAGTATAAGCGCACCTAGACTAGTAGACACCCATGGACCATTATGAAATCTGCCTCATTCTGGTATCAGAAGCAGTAACGATTATCCAGTCTGTTCTTTAGTATCAAAATTGAGTTTGAAATTTTAGTATCATTACAACAGTAATTTCGAAGCATGTGTGACTGCGAACTGTCCTCATTTTGTTTTTAGGAGCTGTTTGTTCCTCAGAAGGGAAACAAAGTCACATGGTACTGCTGCGGCCCCACAGTGTACGACGCCTCGCACATGGGACACGCCAGGTACACACACTCTACACACATGTAATTTACACACACTCTACACTCTACAGATATTTATATAAACATAGCTCTGCATCTGTGCACTTTCCACATGTCTATCTCTATCTGACCTTTACATTCATATATGTCCCCATCATTTCCTTCTAGGTCGTACATTTCCTTTGACATTCTGCGGAGGATACTGAAGGACTATTTTAAATATGACGTCCTTTACTGCATGAACATCACAGACATCGATGATAAGGTAAAACCGGAAATAAAAATCTGAATTTCAGCTCATAGTTAAAGGATTGCCGTGCAGATACATGTAAAAACCTGTCTAAGACCCATGCTGCGATGATTCACAAGACCCAAACGCTGTATTTTTGTTGTGTGTGGACAGGATAAAAAAGTAGATTTTATTTGTCTTTGTTTCAGATCATTAAAAGAGCGAGACAGAACTACCTTTTGGAGCAGTACAGAGACAAACATCCCTCAGCCGCTCAGATCCTGCAGGACGTCGTGAGCGCCCGAGGGGTGAGGGAGAAACTTTTAACTATAATTTACTTATAATTATCTTCATTTATCTGTGAGTAACATCTCTTCTTCTCCTCCTCTTCACCGCTTCTTTCTCTTCTCCTCGTCTTCTCCTTCTCTTCTTTCTCTCCTCCTTCCTCTCTCTCCTCTCCTTCTCTCCTTCTTCTCTCTCCTCCTCTCCTCTCTCTCTCTCTTCTCCTCTCTCTCTTCCTTCACTCCTCCTCCCTCTTCCTTTCTCTTCTTTCTCTCTCTCCTCTCCTCTCTCCTCCTCTCCTTTTCTCTCCTCTCTCCTCTCTTCTTTCTCTCCTCCTCGTCTCCTCCTTCTCTTCTTTCTCTCCTCCTCCTCCTCTCCTCTCTTCTTCTCTCCTCCTCGTCTCTCTCTCCTCTCTCCTTCTCTCCTCCTCTCTCTCCTCTTCTCCTTCCTTTCTCTCTCCTCTCCTCTCTCTCTCCTCCTCCTCTCCTTTCTCTCTTCTCTCTCCTCCTCCTCTTCTTCCTCTCTCTCTCCTTCTCCCTCTCTCTTCTTTCTCTCTCCTTTCTCTCTCTCCTTCTTTCTCTCTTCTCCTCCTCCTCTCTCTCTCTCTTTCTCTCCTCCTCTCCTCCCTCTCTCTCCTTCTCTTCTCTCTCCTCCTCTCCTCCTCTCTCTCCTCTCTCCTCCTTCTCTCCTCCTCCTCTCTCTCCTCCTTCTCTTCTCTCTCTCCTCCTCCTCCTCTTTCCTCTTCTTCTCTCCTCTCTCCTCCTCTCTTCTTCTCCTCCTCTCTCTCCTCTCTCTCCTCTCTCCTCCTCTCTCTTTTCCTCTTCTCCTCCTCGTCTCCTCCTTCTCTTCTTTCTCTCCTCCTCTCTCTTTCTCTTCTTTCTCTCCTCTCCCCTCCTTCTCTTCTTTCTCTCCTCCACCTCTCCTCCCTTTCTTCATTCTCTCCTCCTCCTCTCCTCTTTCTCTTCTTTCTCTCCTCCTCGTCTCCTTCTCTCCTCCTTCTCTTCTTTCTCTCCTCCTTGTCTCCTCCTCCTCTTCTTTCTCTCCTCCTTGTCTCCTCCTCCTCTTCTTTCTCTCCTCCTCCTCTCGTTCTTCTCTTCTTTCTCTTCTCCTCTACTCTTCTCTTGTCCTCCTGTCCTCCTCTCTTCTCATTCTCTTCTTTCCTCCTCTCCTCCTCTCCTGCTCTCTTCCTCTCCTCCTCTCCTCCATTCCTCCAATCCTCTTTTCTTCTTCTTCTCTTCCTCTCCTTCTCCTCTCCTCCTCCTCTCCTCTTCCTCTCCTCTTCTCCTTTCTTCCTCTCGTCCTTTCCTCTTCTCCTCCTCTCCTGCTCTCCTCCATTCCTCCAATCTTCTTTTCCTCCTCCTCTCCTCCTCTCCTCCTCTCCTCCTCCTCTCCTCTTCTCCTCCTTTCCTCTCCTCCTCTCCTCCATTGCTCCAATCTTCTTTTCTTCCTCCTCTCCTGTTCTCCTCCTCTCCTCCTCTCCTTCATTCCTCCAATCCTCTTTTCCTCCTCCTCTCCTCCTCTCCTCCTGTCTCCTCCTCTCCTCCTCTCCTCTTCTCCTCTGCAGCCGTTCCAGTCGAGTCTGTCCTCCACCACAGATCCCGATAAGAAGCAGATGATGGAGAGACTCGACGCCGCTGTCACTGCTGCTCTTCAGCCACTAGAGGCCGCTGTGAACAACAAGGCCCCAGACACAGAGCTGCAGCCGCTCGCACAGGTACGATGTGTACAGGATATTATGACAATACTATTTCTACTAAGCCCCTAACAAAAAAACAGTGGAATAAAATGTCTCGTATTGTCTCTTCTCAGACCCTGTTGGAGAGCTCTAAGGACCTGCTCTCTGATTGGTTGGACAAACAGTTCGGGAGCTCCGTCACCGAAAACTCCATCTTCAACACTTTACCTAAATACTGGGAGGCCGAGTATCACAAGGACATGGACGCACTCAATGTAAGACAGTTTATGAACAATTTATGTACAACCGCTCACTAATGTTCTTTTTTTTTTTTGTGGTGGTAAGGGAAGGCGGCTCAGGATGGTAGTTATGTTTCTGTCCCAGGGCAGCTGCAGCTACGAGAGAGAAATTAAACAAATACCTGTTTTTCCAGGTCCTTCCCCCCGACGTCTTGACTCGGGTCAGCGAGTACGTGCCAGAGATCGTGGAGTTTGTCGAGAGGATCGTCAAAAATGGATACGGGTGAGAGCTTCATTCAGTCTGCTCCACTGTTTGGGTTAACTTTAAATGTAATATATAGTGGTAATAAAAACTATTTTTCTCTTTGTTTTCAGATATGAATCAAACGGCTCGGTGTATTTTGACACGGCGAAGTTCGATGGCAGTCCTCAGCACTCGTACGCCAAACTGGTCCCAGAGGCAGTAGGAGATCAGAAGGCCCTACAGGAGGGAGAGGGTACTACAAGATTATATTTATGCTTTGAACAGCTTTATCGTACTTCATTTGTAAACTTGAACTGTATATTTTTTTCTCTGTAGGAGACCTGAGCATCTCCGCAGACAGACTGAGTGAGAAAAAGTCTCAGAATGACTTTGCCCTGTGGAAAGCCTCCAAACCTGGGGAACCGTCCTGGGACTCCCCCTGGGGAAAGGTCTGGAGACATGTTTTTATGAAATATTATTACATATATTTATCCCAGAGGAGTGTTTGTGAAATGGACCGTGTGCTGTCTCTCTCAGGGCAGACCGGGCTGGCACATCGAGTGCTCTGCGATGGCTGGGACCATTCTGGGAGAATCTATGGACATCCACGGAGGAGGCTTCGACCTGCGCTTCCCTCACCATGACAATGAACTCGCTCAGTCCGAAGTACGTTTTTTAATGTTGTTTATCTCTAGTATGAACCGTTCTTGTATAATAAATATTTTAAGTCACATTCTAACCTCTCTCCTGTGTTAGGCCTACTTTGATAACGATTACTGGGTGCGTTACTTCCTGCACACGGGGCATCTGACCATCGCCGGCTGCAAAATGTCCAAATCTCTGAAGAACTTCATCACCATCAAAGACGCTCTGGCCAAAAACACCGGTATGATCCTGCTGACCACCCATAACACTGAATGATTCCCTTTCCACATGCACATTACCGTATTTTTCGGACTATAAGGCACACTGAAAATCCTTTAATTTTCTCAAAAATCGACATTGCGCCTTATGTATTAATTTTGGTTGTGCTTACTGACCTCCACTGAGTCGTGTCCTTTAGTCCAACAGAAACTGACCGCATCAGGGCACAAGAAGCAAGCTGTTTTTTCAAAGCTTATAGTTTATGCAAATTAGACATGTGGTTTTAAGTTTTGTTTCTGTAAAATGTAAACAAATGTGTGCAAAGCTTCATTAAACACATTATTACTCAATGTATATTTGAGTCCTCCTCATAGGAAATAAAAAAACAAACTTAAATTATCCACCAACATTCACATAATCCACATTCACCAAGACAGGAAGGAAACGCTGGGCGAATTACACCACGATCTGCCAATGGATCGTGGACGCCTGGATTAAAGGATCCGTCTCAAGTGTCGTCCGTTTGTTTCGCTTAATGCACCTTATAGTGCGGTGCTCTTTATAGTCCAAAAAATACAGTAGGTCAGTTAATAGTAGATTATACTTATGTTGTGTTCCTGTTTTCAGCTCGTCAGCTCCGTCTGGCGTTCCTGATGCACGCCTGGAAAGACACGTTGGATTATTCCTCCAACACCATGGAGTCGGCCGTGCAGTACGAGAAGTTCATGAGTGTGGGTGGATAGTTAATAATATAATTTAAACTGTGCCTTTTTTCCATTCCATTTATATTTTCTTCCTTGTGTAGGAGTTTTTCCTGAACGTAAAAGACGTCCTCCGAGCGCCCACTGACATCACAGGGCGCTTTGAGAAGTGGGAGGAGCCAGAGATCGAGCTCAACAACAGGTAAAAAAAAAAAACTTTCATGCTTCAGGTTCACTTATAACTTAAAATGTGAAAGAAATGTAACCTTTTAGCCAAAATCGACTACAGTTAAAGCATGTTTTTTTTTCATTTTGGATGAGGTTATTGCACTGAAAAAGGGTAAAAAAACATTTATCTTTATTCTGAACAGGCTTGCATCTTCACAAAGCTGACACAAAACTGACTTATTTGGCCTGGAGTAGGGCTTCCTTCTGCTTATTTCTGTGGAAGTGTCGTTTCTTTGACAATAATATTCCACAGTATGGCTTAAAACATATCTATCTCTAAGTTTAGATGTGTAGTTTTAACTTTCCGTTTCAGTGGAATCATGCAATTATCTCCAAAACAATACAATTTTGCAATATTAACCATTTCTTTTATTTATCTTCCACCTCTAAAACGAATGTACTTCATAAATGTAACATCAGATTTTAAAATGCGTTTTGTTTTCTAGTTTCTACGAGAGGAAGCGCCTGGTGCACGAGGCCCTGTGTGACAACATGGACACTCGTACGGCTCTGGAGGAGATGAGGCTCCTGGTCAGCCACAGCAACAGCTACGTCGCCAACAGGAAGAGCGCGAAACTACGACCCAACAGGATGCTACTGGAAAGCATCGCAACCTACCTCACATACATGCTCAAGGTGAGGAGCCGTGGGAACGAAACACTAAGGAGATTTGGCAAGAAAGACAAACCAAACTGGGAAAAAGTTTGATAAGCATTATGTAAGTTAGGACAACACTTCTAGTATTTTCTCAAACGAGTCCCAGAGTTGGACAGAGACAGAGACTGAGGCAGGAGAAGTTTATTTACATCAGTCCAGGACCCGCTGAACTTAATTATGCTTCCACACAAGGAGGTTTAAATAGGAACCAAAAACAACAGCCTGGAGACGAGCTGGCCGAGATAAAATGAGAAGAGCACAACATACCGCTTCTGTGAAATGAGTTAACCAGAGGAATTTATAATGTTAAAGGGCCACTAAACACCAGAATCACTTTTTTTTCTCCTGATTAGCTGTGAAAATTTGTCTAAAATAGAAGTGTATACCTATCCCTGACCTTATTTTAGTGCGTATTTGTTAAAAATCTAACTTTTGGGTCAAAAGCCTTGTCTGTAACGGCCTCTTTAGGACCAACTACAGCCATTTGAATTTTCAGGCTGGACTAACGGCCGCTGATGAGTTAGATGCAGGGTATTAGGTGATGAGCTGGTGTCTATGGGCGGCACGTGAGGAGCCCCTCTCAGCCCCGCCTCTACCTGACACCGCTGGTCACTGCGATGTCCCGCCATGTCTGGAGAAAAGGGAAACTGTGTGATCAGAGCACAAATGTCCGCTCTCTTTCAAAGTCCAGAGCGCACCGTTCCTCGCCGTGTTTGGATTGTTGTGGCTGTCGGTCAGCTGTCAAACATTGCTCCAGAGGCCGCCCCACACTCGCTCCCCTCAACACCGCTAGAGGAGTTTTCAGATTTTGCTTAACAGCGGAGTAAAGCTTCAGGAGGGTGTTTAATGGGTCTTTAAAGAAGGACAAATTCTGTAATAGTTGGATGAGGCGAGAGCATCACAGAGAAATGTCAACCATGAACTGGAGAGGATGCAAATTCCACAACATGTTTAATAATCAATTATCCAATTATACAAAGGGTAGTTGTTAAAATGTCAAAAATATATTAAAATTAGAAATGTAACAATAACTAAAATATCGTGATATCGTATTATTAAAGGTCTCACAATAACATCGTGAACCGTCACAATATATCAAATTACAAGTTTCTTCTCTTAAATTAATAGTTATGGTGCAGCAATAGCCAAAAAAGCAGAGGGAACTACATCGACCGTGATCCTTTGCTCTATGTCAGTGCAGAATACATGAAGAAATAACTGTTATGAGAACTTTTAAATCTTAATTGTTTGGGTTAAGTCTTGTCAAAGGGTTTTAAGATGAAAAAGTAGCATATTCACAGTTTTGTTTGCAGCCTCCACAAAATATCGTAATGGATATTGTACCGAGAGATTTGGATATCGATAACAGTATAACAGTATAGTTTTATTTCATATTTTCACAATAAAATATATCCACAATTTCTGTTAATAAGCTTGATAAATAATACACTTTTTGTTACATCTTAAATATGTCATAAAACATATAAGTATATAATTGAGGTTTTAAAATTGGATTAAGTGTCATTAAACTTGCCTTTATCTTCTGCATAAACCCTGATAACCCCCAAGCCCGTGTAACATTATGACGTCTTAATCTTTCGTAGGTGTTTGGAGCCATTGAAGGATCAGAGCCCATTGGTTTCCCAGTGGGAGGACAAGGCCAGAGCGTGGATGTGAGTCATGTTGGAATCTTTACTCTTTAACAGCGAGATAATGTCTCTGTAATCTGTAAAACATTTATATATTTTCTTAATATTTTGCTTCCAGTTGGAGAGCACAGTGATGCCGTACCTCACAGTGTTATCGGACTTCAGAGAGAAAGTTCGCAAAATCGCCAGAGAACAGAAAGGTCGGTGCAGATTATTTTGGAATTTAACATTTGTGAATCAATTAAATTATAGTTGTTATCAGTTAAAGGTCTTATATTATGCAAAATTTACTCTTGTCGAATGTTGTTACCTTGTCAAACACCTACCTGGAAATATGTGCCTACATGTCCAAAGCTCAAAAATGCTCTGTTCCACCTTGTGATGTCATGAAGCAGTAGTTTTCAAGTAGTTCAGTAGAGCAATGTTTCCAAAACTTTTTTTCTGGGGATCCATATTTTAAAAGTCACAAACTTTCGTGACCCAAGTCAATAGACATTATTCGTAAATCACAAAATAAAGGTGGATTTGACCATTATTGAACATTAATGAGGATATTTTATTGTCAACTGAGTGATCTTGTCTCTCTGAACAGTTATTATTACCGTATTTTCTGCACTATAGGACGCTCTGAATTATAAGGCGCACTGTCATCGAATGGTCTATTTTCAAACTTTTTTCACATATAAACCTCACCAGGACTATAAGGCGCATTAAACAAAACACAACAGTTAGTTAGTGTCAAACTTTATTTAACGCATTCACAATAACTCTCAACTTTGTTCAGTTGTAACGCGTAAAAAAAAATCCTGTCTGAGACGCTAAATTGATTATTCACAGTAACTCATAATTGTTCAGACAGTTGGGTGATTCCAGCGTCCAGCACGCCCACATCCCTCTCATCATTATCCGAGTCAGTGTGGTTACTGTTCCCTGACAGTTCAGTGATGATTCTGGTCTTGGTGAAAGCTCAGACCACAGTTGATACTGATCCTTAGCCCGGGCGTCCACGATCCGTTGGCAGATCGTGGCATAAGTCGCTCGGCGCTGTCTCTCTGTCTTGGTGAATGTGTGTTCTCCTTCTCTCATCCACTGCTCCCACGCAGCTCGCACTTTCACTTTATAACAGCCTTGAGTTTAAAGTCGGCGTTGTAATCATGTCTCTTGACAGGTGCATTTTGATATTAAAAGGGATCACAGCCATAAGTCGCCTATTTGGACATTGTATTGACAATGTAGCCCATTTCATTTTCTTTTCAACATTCAACTGAATCAGCAACATTATAACAAAATAATCAATAAATAATTACAAAAAGATTCAAAATTATGCAAAACATGTCTTAACATTTCAGCACGTGTCAGAATTGTATATTTCAGACCTACATGCAGATCGTTACAAGGTGACCCCCAAAAAAATCTCTTGCAATTCAGTCTTTGGGAAACAATGCCTTAAAGATTGGCAATTCTAGCTCTGAAATCATCCAGATGATTCTAGTGAAGGTGTATGGAGTTTAAAAACACAGTGGAGCACCTCCTGTATTAATTATCACCTATAAAATTATACAGAGGTTAGGGGTTTAAATGTCAGGAAAATATATTAAAATTAGGAATGTAACAATAACCAAAATATCGTGATATTATATCGTTAAAGTTCTCACAATAATATCCTGGACCATCACAATATATCGAATTACAAGTCTCTTTGCTTAAATTAGGAGTTATGGTGCAGCAACAGCTAAAAAAAATAGAGGGAACTACATAGACCATGATCCTTTGCTCCATTTCAGTGCAAACTACAAGAAGAAATAACCTTTCTAAGCACTTTTAAGTCTTAGTTGTTTGGGTTAAGTCTTGTCAAGGCATTTTAAGAGGAAAAAGTAACACATGCAGAGCTTTGTCAGCCTCCATAAAATTAAATATTTAAGAAACGTCACATACCTTAAGGAATTTATAATCTTAAATTCTTATATTTCAGTGACTGAGTTGTTGCAGCTTTGTGATGTGGTTCGTGACGACACTTTGCCAGAACTCGGCGTCAGACTGGAGGACCACGAAGGTAAAAAAAAAAAATCAAACTATATGTAAAATTAACATATTAAATTAAATGTTTTGATGAGGAGAGTTTAACTAAAGTGTAAATGCTTTATTGTTTTTGCAGGACTGCCCACTGTGGTGAAGCTGGTCGACCGAGAGACGCTGCTGAAGGAGAGAGAAGAGAAGAAAAAGGTAAAAAAAATAAAAAATAAAATGTATTGATTTGTGTAATTTGAGATTTCTTAATAGGTTGTGTCCACAGTAATATAGAGTTTTAGGGCGTAAGTCACTGATTTGGAAAGAAATTACCAACAAGAAAAGCTACCAATATTAAACTTGTGCATTTTTGGTCTAAAAACATGCCATATTTTTAAATTTAAAATAGTTTTTTATTGCATTACAGCTTAAATAATTGTCATTTATTGTGTGTTGTGTTTTGTTTTACAGTTGGAAGAGGAAAAGAAGAGAAAGAAGGAAGAGGCAGCTAAAAAGAAACAAGAACAAGAGGTCCGAAACTAACTCTGTATTCATGAATTCTGTTAAGATAATTTCATTCTCAACACATATTTTCTTTTTTGTTGTTGTTGCAGATGGCTAAACTGGCCAAGATGAAGATCCCTCCGTGTGAACTGTTCCGCTCAGAGACTGACAAATATTCAAAGTTTGATGAAACGGTGAGGTCCCGGACGTTATTATGTGGGGAAATGTGTCCTCTGTGTTTGACCCGTCCTTCAGTGTCTCTGGGATTAAACTCATCACACAGACTTACTCCAGTCCTCTTATAAATCTTATAAAAGGAAATGATTAAAAGCGTTAGAATAAGGAGTGGAGGTGACAGTGGTTTGCGCACTTGTCCACCCACTCAGACCCGAGCTCTGTTGTTGTGTCCTTAAGCAAGACATTTCACCCAACTTGCCTAATATGGTGCCAAAAGCAGGAGGAAGTAATTAAATCTTTACTAATTCTCACTAGGGGTGTGCAAAATTATCTAAATATCGATGTATTGTATCGTTTAAAGTGATGATACAGTATCGATATCGTGGGCTGCTGCATCGATATATCAGAAAGAGTATTTTTTGATTTATTTTACTAAGTTATTTTGTTACAGAGCTACAATTTTGTTGCTTGTTTAGAGGAAGGAAACTCGTTCATGTGACACATTTGACATTTTCACTGTTTTGATGATTAAAATGTTTGTGTTTCATTTAAACTTTGCACAAGAAGTGGATTCAACTTTGAGTTCAGTGTAGTGAGTGTAGTATGAAATAGCAGAGTCTCCTATAATAATAACTAAACCTTCCCTTCTTCTTCTTCATGTATTTCCTGTCAGGGCTGCTCGATTATGGAAAAAAATCATTATCACGATTATTTTGGTCAATATTGAAATCACGATTATTCAGACTGGGCAAAAATTAAAAATATTAATCACATTAATCGCATCAGTTCGAATGTGATTAATCGTGATTAATCACATGTTATACACAAAACCAATTAATGAATTAAAAAGTAGCGTTTAGTGCACTTTTATTGGAAATGTAAATGAAAGAGCCACACATTTGTTGTGCAAACAGCATTTCTTTCAGAGGGAAACCCTCAGAGCCTTCAAGGTGTTCTGAAGGCTCAAGAAAAAATACTGAATGAATTTTTGTACTACTAATATATTTTTCAATATTTTTTTATTCAGTGAGTAATAAACACTACACTAGTAATAATTTCTAAATCATTGTTATAAACTTGGACTAATATTTCTTGAGAAACAAAGCGTTAATATAATGGAATGGAAATGGAGTAATCACAGTTTTTCTTCCAGTGGAATCTGGGTAAATCAGTGACTCCCTCTGCAGCGCTGAACTAAACAAACACCTGCAGGACCTTCGGTGGCTGGAAAGGAGTTTGAGATTGACAGTTGTCTGAGCCGATCATATTTAATTGAGTTATGGGCAGGATCATATCACAAAATCTTCCGGGCCTTCGCAAAAACCCTGTGATAGCAAATGTAAGCGAGACCGCAACGACAAAAAACACACTGGACACCTCGATTTGGATGCATCAGGGAGGTCTGGAAGAAGAAGAAAGAGAAAGACCCGTGAACCCGAGCTCGTGACCTGCGGAGGCTCAGACACTTTGCATCTCACGTGGTCAGAAAAAAGTGAAAAAAGTGTAAAGAAAAGACATCAAACTTAAAGAAACACACGTGGTGGACTTTTTCAAAATAAAATCCAGTGAGCAACAGACATTTACAATAAAAAAATAAATACATAAAAACTGCGTTAACGGCGTTAAAATAATTGTCGGCAATAATGAATTAATTAGTTAACGCAAAATTAACGAGTTAACGTGCCTGGCCCTAAAATAAAGACATAAAAAAACATAAATGTATCCAAAATAGCATATAAATATCCAGCTAAACGAGTGCATCTTTCAACTCAATTATGAGTTTGGAGATCATTTGACACACAAATCAAAATCGCAATCGAAAAAATGTATTTACTAATTAATCATTTGTTTTAATAGTTTATTTGTGTCTTCCATTTTCAGGGTTTTCCGACTCACGACACAGAAGGGAAGGAGCTGAGCAAAGGCCAGGCCAAAAAACTGAGGAAACTCTTCGAAGCTCAGGAAAAACTACACAACGAATATCTGCAAATGAACCAAAACGGCAACTGAATAAAGACTTCCTGTTTTATCTCCTACAAACAACTTACAAATAATGGGGCCATTCTAGTTCAACACATCATACACTTTTGTAGCAAGTTCATTTTTTAATATTTTGGAAATGGTGGATGTAATTAAATGTAATAGAATAATTGATAAAGTAGGATTTATATAAAAAAACAAAACTGGTGGAACATCTGACACTGCCATATTACTAAAAATAATTTCTTATTTTTGGTATTTTTCCAATGAAATTTAAAGTTACAGTGGCAGAAAAAGAATAATAATAATGGGTCAAATATTAGTTAATTTCATACATTTTGAATATTGTGGGCAAAATGTGTAATTAAGTAAAAAAAAAAAAAATAGGCAGAATTGTATAAATAAGTTGTGCAATAAAAGTAAATATTAAAAATGGGGAAACCACTGCTCATCGGAAACTACAATTTGTGATCTGACAAAGCAGTTGCTGAAAATTAAAGCCTCACTGCGTAACATTTCAGCCATTAATTAGACTATAATGAAAGTATTAAACATATTTTCATGGTATTTTACAAAAACTCTTGTAATAAAAAAGTAATAATGTTTGATTTTAGTTTGTTTAATGGTTGAAATGTTACACAGTGTGGCTTTAATAATTACATATACGTAGTGATTAGTAATAGAAGGAAATAGATGCAAGAATGAAAAAAATAAAAATATATAAATGGCTGAATAGGACTCTTTGAAATGAAGTTTTTAAGAACTAGCTGAATTTGCTTTGTCAGTTTTCACAAGTTTAAACTTTTAAACTACAGCGTGTTTTCATGTTTTTGGATCATTTATAAGAGAAGAGTTTACTGGGTTTTCTGAGCAGCTCTTTCACATAAACGTGTGTCTCCTCTACAGATATTACACTGAAGGCCTTTATTTCTACATCCTCCTCATCCTGTATAAAGTTTTACATAGGGAAGTATTGTCTTTGTTTTTGTCATTTGTATGAGCAGATTTTTAAATAAAATCTACCGTCCGTCTGGTTATTTTTGCTTCAGCTTTTTGTCGTCCAATCAGAGATATCAACCTGGTCCCCCTTAAAGCATCGGTGGGGGCAGTTCATCACAACAGAATCGGCTTATGAGGAGCTCAGCCCATATTACATGATCATTATATCCACAATACAATGTGTGTATCTGTACAGGCCCATGAACATTTGGAAATGGAAATTATTTTCGTTCCAATTAGAATTTTAACGGCTACACTGAAAGAGAAAGGAACTCTTATAATTAGTGATTCTCTTGAAAACTATTATATTTGACTATACAAATGCATAGAATTATAAATAGATGATGATTTTTCTGAGATTTTGAGACACTCCCGTTGCTCTAGTTCGATCCTTCGCGGAGTTATGACCAAAAACACATATTTGACCTTGGTTACCTTCAAGTGACCTTTACGGGTTTCAACCTGTAACATCCAGTGTGCCTCGGTTATGTGTGTGCCAACTTGTGTGATGATTGGGTGCATATTGTAGCCCGCAGATGGTTTAGAAATTGCCAAAATTGCCGATCCTTTATAATAACCTTTCAATTGACCCTTGTGACCTCAAATGACCTCGGATCGTCACCAATATTTTTTTTTTGGCATAGGGCACTGGGGCTTCACCCACGTACAAAATTTGGTGACAATCGGTCTATAAATGGTGGAATTATCGCGGGTGGACAGACACACAGGGTGAATACAAAACCTGGTCAACCCTTCGGGGACCAGGTTTAACAATAACTGGAATATTGTATCGTATTGTTAAAGATCTCATAATAATATCATAGGCATAGACTGAATAAAGAACAGGGTTCCTGCGGTGTCTGAAAAAGTCTTAAAAGCACTGAATTTATGAATTTGGAAATAATACCTTAAAAAGACCTGAAAAAGTCTTGAATTTTTATATCTGGGTCTTCAAATTTGTATAGTACGCAACCTCTCCATATCACATTTCTCCTGAAAAGTTTACTTTGTCAACTGCCATTATTTGGTTAAATAACGTAGCCTAAAAAAAGAGTAGCAGAACCAATAATTGAGAACACAACAGCCCTGGGTCAAAATCCTCTGAACATCACACGCTACAGCAGCACAAGCAACAAGCTCAGCAGAAAAGCGTAAAATCAAAGACTATTTTAGCAGGACACAAAGTTTTATTAACTTTGTGTTAATGCAACAGAACTCTGTTCTGTTGTTTTTAACGTTGGCTTTACGTTACCGAGCGACACATTTCATGCTGAAGTTATGGGGAAGAGTCTCTTCACTCCCCAAATGCCTTTGTTTGATAAATTAATGGACACAAATTTGAGAATTGTGTTTTTCTTTGCCATTAGGTCCATGAAATAGGTCGTGAAATAGGTATTAAGTTTTTATATAAATTGTCTTAAAAAGAAACCTGTAGGAATCTTGAAAGAAGCAGACTAAGGGAGTGTCCAGTCAAATGAAGCTCATTGAGGCTTGCAGTTATAGGAGCGAATATGTAGCAGTGTTTCTGTATTAGGAATAGGAATTTACTTAGAGACAAAATGTTAAAATGGCAAAATAAAAATACAGGGATCATGTAGAGCAGGTTTATATGAACATTTTAGGACCAAAATGACGTGGCTCACTGCAGCAGTTACAGAGAGAGAGGGGTGACAATTTTCCAGTGTGAAGTTTGACGTTAAATTGGAGCAGGTTCAGAAAAAGCTGGAAATGTCCCATGAACACTTTCTATTCGGATGATTGTGGGCCATCACAGTATACAGAATTATAAGCTTCTTTATTAAATGCATTGTTTTGTTGATAGCTAAAAAAAAAATGAGGGAACTACATGGACCATGATCCTTTGCTCCGTTTCAGTGTAAAAATAGAAATAGAGAAGAAATATCTGATTGACCTACAGCTCTAAAGCAGAAAAAGCAGATGTACACAGAAACAGTTTGTAGTAAAAGTTTGGTTTATTGTTGCAGATGTGTCCGGTTCATTTTGCTGTTACATTGGTATTATTTTGTTTGTGATGTTGTTGTTATTGTCTTTAGCTGAATCGAACGCGCCTCATCGACCCCACGGTGCTGTTCTGGCTGCCCCAGTCGGTGAAGTTGTTGTAGTCACGTTTCTCCAGGACGTAGTGAGGCCCCCTGTAGTTTGGCTCCTGGTACACCACCCACCTGCTCAAGATACGAGGAGATTTAAGTACATCTGAACTCAAAAGAAGTTGATAAAAATGGGAGTTAAGGTCCTAGACTACGCAAAATTGATTCTTGTGAGCTTTAAGACATGTTATAGTGTTGTTTCCTCATTAGAAATGTACCTGGAGTTGAGTCATTCACACATATTTGAGTAACTAGGACTGATCCAGGTCCCGAACCAGACCGTAACCAGACCGGGACTGAGACCGAGACCAGACCAGACCGGGACCAGACCGAGACTGAGATCAGGACTGAGACTGGGACCAGACCGAGACCGAGACCAGACCGGGACCAGAGAGGGACTGAGACCGAGACCGAGACCGAGACCAGGACCAGACCAGGACCAGACCTGGACTGAGATTGGGACTGAGACCGGGACCAGACCGGGATTGAGACCGGGAACAGATTGGGACCAGAGCAGGACTGAGACCGAGACCAGACCAGGACGAGGCCTGGACCAGACCGGGACCAGACTGGGACTGAGACCGAGACCAGACCGGGACCAAAGTGGGACCAGACAGGGACTGAGACCGAGACCAGGCTGGGACCAGACTGGGACCAGACTGGAGGCTCAGAGCCCATGGCAGGGCCGGAGCTCGAAGCCGAAGCTCGGACCCCGCAAAGGCTCGGAATTAAAGCTTGGAGTCCGCTCTGGTCCGGTTCTGGTCCCGGACCTGGATCAGTCCTGGTTCAGTCTGTATGCAGGTGCAAAAGTCCGGCTTCGCGGTCACGGAAATCACATAAACGGGAAACGGCCGCTATCCGTTTATCCGTTTTTTTCATTCTTCATTTAAACACAAAATCGAAAACTGAAAAAACGAATCATTATCCGTTTTTTCATTTTGGTTTTGCAGACAAATAATGAAGAAAACTGTTGTTTTTTCATTTTCTTATTTTTGGTTTTATATTGAAAAAACGAATGAACGAATGATACACGGATTTGTTTGTAATGAGGAAACAACATTGTAACATCGATCTGAAAATAGCATTTTACGGGCCCTTTAAGCCTTTGTTCATGCTTAAGTAAGACTAATTGGAGTGTAGTTTTTATGAAATGTTGTTAAAGTTTGTGTGACTCACGCTCCGCCCATGACCCTGATGGAGGCGATGCGGTTGAGGCTGTATCTGCTCATGAGGTTGGGGATGTCGTCCTGGATGTCCATCTTCTTTCCAGAGTATCCGGCGCGTTCAAAGAGCTGAGCACGCGCCGGGTTTGTGTCCTGGAGCAGAGTGAAGGATGGAAAAGGAAAGAGGAGACACGGGTTAATGCATTTCTGTTATGACGACTCTGGTACAAGAGATTCACATCAAATAGAGATGGGATGATATTGTTTTTTTATGGACGATGACGATGCCGATTGTTTGGAAACCAGAGCAAATGATGGCCAATTAGCTCTGCCGATATTTTTGGGCCAATATATAGGGACAATGAAGCTAAAAGTCTCTCCTTTAGTCAAGTCGTCACCTGAAATAATATACTGGCCTATGTTGGAGTTTCAAAAGTGCAAATATTGGCCCAAAATATCGGCCAACCCCTATATCGATCTTTCTCTGATATCAAGGAGTTTACAAAAGAGTCAATGCATTCATTAAAAAATCTGTTTACAGTTTCTACGCCGGCCTGAAAAACCAAAAGTTCCACCTAAAACCCTGAACCTGCCTCATGATGTTCACACTTGTCATGATTTGGTCCTAGTTCGATATCGACTGGTTTGGTCGGTTTTACCTGTTTGACGGAGCGCACGGAGGCGATGTGGTCGGCCTGAGCGCACCATTTGTCGTAACAGTTGTACTCTCCTCTGTCCGACATGTCCCACAGATACTGACGCCCGCGGAAGTTCTCATGCTCGTACCCGATCCATCTGGAATATACAGAGAAATAAAGACTTTAACACACAAACTTCAGGGAGGATATGTAACCCTCAGGCTTCAATTTGGACATTTCTGTACATTTTGCCTTTTTTCTATCTTTGTTCGCCCACTATTTTGGTTGAGTTAAGGTTAGTGACACCAAATTATGTGAGCAGGCATATTTCTTGTCTAGTTTCTGGATTTTAGTTTCAATATTCTTTTTGCTACCCTTTTGAAATGCTCAAAAAATTGTCACACTTATGACCCTAAGGACATAAATGTTCACTTACAAAAACAGCTGTAAAATCTTGATACATTAATATTCTTTCATAGTTTTTTTTTTGTGCCAACTAAAGAAACATTATTGTGAATTGCCCTGCCGTGTCCTTCAGGGGGCGCTGTACTCACGCTCCGCTCTCCACCTGCACAGAGTTACATCTCTCGGGGAAGCTGCGGTCACTGAGACGAGAGCAGTCTGAGCTCAGGTCCAGACGACGGCCTGCAAAGTTCCTCTGCTCGAAAAGGGTCACCTGCTCCAGACCAGAGGAGAGAGGTCAACCTTTTTTATAATTTATGCACATTTTATGAATACTAATAAGCTAATTATTACTAATTACTGATCATATTATTTTTATTAAAACAGGGACAGTGACTCACCCTCCCACTGGACCCGTAGAAGGCACGTTGGAGCACAGACCCCAGCTTGCTGCAGAGACAGAAACAACAAAAATGGAATGTAATAGCCGATTTTTGACTTGTTCATTCAGTCAATATATAGAGGAGCAACATGTCTGTATCAGTGACAGACACATTTTCCTCTTAGAATAGAAACTCACTCTAAGTCAGCGGTTCTGAAACTTTTCACACCAAGTACCACCTAAGAGAATATTTGTCTTCCCAAGAAGTCTTTCCACCAAACCCTGAAGGTATAAAGTGTATAAACTGTATAAAGTATAAGGCATGATCTAAAATGAGATTAAACC